AACACCTGGTAGACTATATGGTCTGTGGGACGTCCGTACCATGAGCGTGAGTGATAGTTGGGCAGCCATTCGGGATAGGCGTAATTTAGGCGAATGGTCTAAGCGTAGGGTCAAATCCGAGTGACGGTTGCAAGGGTGAATTTATAACATGCGCTCTATTGGCACAGTTGGCAGATTGCAATTAGGAAGTTATAATTGATTATCATAGAGAACGGTAGATGGTGTTGTGTTAGGCAGCGATGTTAAAGTCGTTTCCTGCTTCCGTTTGGGAGCCATGGTTTTGTGGGTCGGTCTTCTTCTAGGTGACTGATACTCAGTTAATTTGATAAATCCCCTGGGATATCTAGAAGTAGCTCGATATTCCCGTATACATGTGCAGATATGGCGACACTATACAGAATTTGTGCATTCGTAAAATGAGAAGTACAAGACTTTCAGAGGAATCATTATAGTCAGAGTCATTGCCGATTGAGTGAATCTTTCAAAGTGCTTAGCAGGGGCTGCAAGAGCCAGGAGACAAGATGTGTCACAGCGTGTTCGTTGATGCACTCGGGAACCATAACCTTGCCGTCGAAAATCAGACCGTACTTCATGGAAACAACGCGGAAAAGGCGGACCGGCATTTTGACCCGACAATCTCCAGACCTGAGAACCTGACCTTGGCGATCGACAAACTACATCTTATCGCCCTGTAGGAAATTTGTTTGCTTGCTACGATCGAGAGCACGGACTCACAGTGTTTCACTCTTGTCGAAAGTAGGGGTTGGATTACACTTCGGAATTCCACAGCGTATCTTATCATTCACTTCAGGATATCGTACTGACTGTAAACCATATCTAGTCATTTCACTGAATCTAACTCTACAGTCTAGTAAGGGAACATGCAAACTGGTGTAATGTAAAAAATAGAGTCTATAGGAGGAAAGGATGAGAGGTAAAGAAGGCTGGACAGTGAAGAACGTACCGAGAAACCAGAAAGGGCAGAAGGATGAGAGAACGCTTGTGGGTGTTGCCTTCTAAGCTACACCCCACGATCCTCTAGGACCTGCTTCAAACGTTTCTGGAAAGAGCGCACATGAGTCGTGATCATGTCGTAGTGTCCACCGTCAACACGATGGTACCCTACGTCGCCCTTCACAAAGGGTGCCCACTCGGCGATGATAGCATCCCACTCTTTCATTGTAGATGCCACTTCGGGTAGTGGTGCAGCATAGAAGCAGTCGAGCCTCGCTACTTTACCAGTGGGGTCATATTCCCGACCTATGACTTTGAGCTGGAACGCAACACCGGCCCAATCGGCCAATTTCTTCCTCGTGATGGCCAATTCGTCGACACGATCTTTGGGTGCATTGTCAAGAATATGCGACAGTGCATCTTCCCGAGACAAGTTCCTCAAATGACATCCGAGGGTGTGCTTCGCTTGCTCTTCGGTGATCAGACCGAGAAAGAAGGAAACAAAAAGCACACAGTCCACCCAGTCGAACTGTTGAGATCGCGCCGCGAGGTGCGGTGGCTGATCAAAAGCCCCCAGAAATTTGACCTCATCTCCGTCTGCCTCGATGAGCTTGGCGACTTCAAAGGCAAGATTGGATCCATAGGAATAACCTGCGATGGCGTATGGGCCTTTCGGTTGGGTTCGGCGGATCGACTCATGGTAAGCCTGAACGGCTTCAGAGATGCTGGTAAATGGCTGCTCGCCGTCAAGGCCCCGAGCTCGAAGACCGTACACTGGACGATCTGTCATGTACCGTGCGAGTTGGATGAAAATCAGGACCTCACCCACTCCAGGATGAACCAGCCAGAGAGGGGTCTTGTTGCCATCTGGTTGCAAGATGGTCATTGGCTCGTACGGCGATTCTTGCAACGCGGCAATCGCCTTTCCAAGTTGACGGATTGTGCGATTGACTAAAAGAGTGCCAATGGGCAGTGACTTGGAAAGCCGAAGAGCAACGTCGATGCGCGACTTTAGCCTAAGAATTTCAACAGAAGTCACACCCAAGTCGGAGAAATCGGTATCGATACCAATCTTGATGCTCTCTGCTATGTCCAAACTGCTTCGCACTACGTCCAGGAGTTTGGCTTCGGTTTTGTTTCGCGGCGCGGTATAAAAGTGCTGCTGGTACTCAGCAACAAGACGATTGTTCATATCCACAATCTCTTTGAACTTGCCCTCCTCGAAAGCGCGACGAAGTTTAGCCCGCGAAAGTTTGCCGAGTGACGACTTGGGGAGATGTTCAACGGGTAAGCGGGAGTATCTCGCAAGGCCGGACTGCACAGATCTGCAAGAGAACCTGCGACACACTTCTTGCAACCTTGACCCTGGTTTCCACATGCTCAGGGCTGTAATCGGGAAGATACACAACAACTATAGCTTCTGTCGAAGACCCTTTGACACGATGCGGGAATATGGCTGTGTAACTGGGCGTCAGGCCTTTTATGTCAGCCTCCTCAATTGCTGTTTCCAGTTCCTGGATTGGGTACTTCAGGCCGTTGATGTTCACGGTGTCCTTGGCCCGGCCGGTCATGGTGAGCTGGCCTGCATCGTCGATGAAAGCGAGATCACCTGTGCGGAACCATTCCTTAGTCGGAAAAGCTTCGGTTGTTGCGGAATAATTGTTGTAATACCCGCTAAACACAACCGGCCCGGAAACCTCCAGATACCCGACCTCGCTACTGTTCAGTACCCTGCCGGAGCTCTCCACCACTCTGACAAACATGCCAGGAACACAAGAACCAAGAGATGCGAATTCCAGCCCTCGCGAGATGTCATACTCCGGGCAGTTCTTCCCATAAATCGACCCGGCGCATGTTTCTGTCATACCGAAGCCTGGCCTGATGAGGCTCCTGGGTGCACCGTAATCCATCAGTATCTTCGAGAGATCGTCGCACGTCTCGACAACGTTGGCTTCGCCACCGGATATCAATGCGCGCAGGCGGGATAGATCCATGCTCGACAGCTGCTCGCCCTTTTGGAGGCTACGAAGAAGGGTTGCTAAGAAAAAGTTTGGAGCGAAGGTGTACGACACACGGTGTTGCGCACACTGCTGCAGAAACAATAGCGGATCGTTGATGACGTCTCCTGCGGGAAGTTGGACTTGGTCGGCACCCAGATGCATGGCATGGAGATGGATTTCCGTAAGATTGGCGACATGGTCCATCCCAATCCAACTGAGAAAGACGTCCTCCGATGTCGTTTCATGATATTGGCTCTTTCCATTGAGCGCAGCGACAATTTGGCCATGCCGTAATGTTACAGCTTTCGCGTGCCCAGTACTTCCGGATGTCAACATGAGAGCGGCAATGTCGCTGCTTCCCATGACTGACGAGCTTGTACCACTCCATTCTGAACTCTCATCGCCAAATTTCTCAATCGGTCGAATTTGGAGTTGGAACTGAGAATCTGAGGTGGCTAGATCGCTCTGGAGACGGGTTGACGTCAATACAATGGGATCTTCCAGGAGGCGGTGCAGGTGTAATAGATGCTTCTCCCGCTGTTCACCATCTGAAACCAATGGAGTAGACATTGCTGGAATATATCCTGCGAGAACCACGGACCAGAACCAGACAATATTGTCCCAATGGTTGTCGAAATGAATCAGGAATATTGGACTGCCGCGCCCTGCGAGCTTTCGAATCTGGGCCGCATTGATCTCTGCAATACTGAACAGATCGCTATAGGACGTGTGGCAAGTTCTACCATCCTGGAGACAGGTGATTCCCTTGTTGGGAAAGGCTGTAGCACTGTGCTGAAGCAACTGGGATAAATTTGTGACAGCCATGTTGGTAGTAGAGAAGAACTCAGTGGTGCGAAGTGATGCTTCTTTCTTCTATCAAACCTGGAACGGAACGCATCTTAAATTCAAACCTTTCAGCTACTCGGACGCCCATCTTGGATATCGACGGACTTCTCTCCCTTGTCTCCCAACTCTACCGTCGATATCCTCCACCCCAACATTTTGAACACTCCTTCAGCAGCCATGATACCGTTATCAGTTTAATTGCATATTCCGCGATATGAATCCTACTAGGCACATCTGACTCAGACCAATGCACCGTGCCTGCCCGGTGGGCTCGCAGCATCCAGCCCGAAATGCGCATTAAATATGAACTCTGTTTCATCCAAGCCGGCGCAAGGCTTATGTCTTTGTCTCTGCATCCCAAAGCAGTCTCCTGCAGGATACGTGGGGCATGGAAAACATCTGTAAGTTGAGACAAGTATTGACCGTGAGGCCGTCAATCCCCAACGTCTCCTACCTGGTAAAAACAGCCCATGTGTTTGATTCAAGCCTGTAACATCAACTGCATCCTTCAAGTTATCGGCTTCCGTATATAGCAAAGCGGGCATGATGTTGCACATATTTGGTTCGCTTAACACAAGCTTATCTGCCAAGGTTGCTAGGCGTGGGGTGGGGTAAGCTTACTGTTACACAAACAGCATCTACTTGCCAAATCCTTCTGCATCGGGCGTACATGGGTATTACCCGGGTATTAACCACGATTTGTCTAAGAGCAGGGTTCAGGTTTACGGAAGTTCTCGGGATGTACTATGCCAGGCGGTGAGACGGTGGGAGCTTAGAGGCCAACGTTACACCATATCTGGTCGAGCCAGGAACGCCCGCCCCAGCTCGTACTAACAAGAGGTAGTCGGCCTGACGCTTGAATCATAGCAATAAGCGATAAACTAGACTCAGAGAGATAACGTGAATCACGATGGACAACAGGTACTGGAGCCTTGGAGATTATCAGGCGAGTAGGTAAGGCAAATCTCATGTATTGGCAAGGTTCTATTACGAAAAGTTCTATGGAAATCCAACACGCCACCTAAAAACCTTATAAAATATGGCTACCAATGACTTTAGCAGCCATTATCACTATCCTCTGGTGTCAGAGTGGCGGTGGGCATCACCGTGCGTCGTAGCTGGACAGCCTCTGCAAGCCTCTCAAGGACCTGGACCGTAGCATCCCATCCAATACACCCATCCGTGATACTCACGCCAGGAAGAAGTCCGCCTGCACCAGTGGCTGGAACGTCCTGACGACCTTCGTATATGTTCGACTCCAACATCACCCCAACAATGTTTCGCTGTCCCCGTGCGACTTGTTCGGCGATCACGCCAGCCACGATGGGCTGGTTGCGATAGTCTTTGCTGGAATTTCCGTGAGAGCAGTCGACGATGACCACATCTCGCTGCCCACGGAAGCGTAGAGATCCCAGAGCTTGTTCAACACTGTCGGCATCGTAGTTAGGGCCTTTAGAACCGCCACGGAGAATGACAGCTGTGTCGCTGTTTCCACTCGTATGCACTATGCCAGTAAGGCCGGTTTTGGTCGCGCCTAGAAAGCGATGCGGCGAAGCAGACGACTTCATAGCGTCCATGGCTACAGTAAGGCCACCATCGGTTCCGTTTTTGAAGCCCACGGGAAACGAAACACCTGAGACAAGTTCGCGATGAAGCTGGGACTCCGTCGTACGAGCACCGACAGCCCCGAAAGCGATTGTATCGGCGAAGTATTGTGGAGAGAGTGTGTCGAGCAGCTCTGTAGCGACGGGGAGGCCGATACTGTTGATATCGACTAGAAGCTTCCGAGAAATCTTCAATCCATCGTTGATGGCAAAGGATTCGTCTAGGTAAGGGTCGTTGATCAAGCCTTTCCAGCCAACAGATGTGCGTGGCTTTTCGAGATAAGCCCTCATAACAACGCAGATTTCACCTGAGAGGCGCTCACTGAGCTCCTTCAGGCGTCTCGCATATTCCATTGCGGCGACAGGGTCATGAATGGAGCACGGACCGACTATGACAAGAAGGCGATCATCTAGCTTGGCCAACACTGCAGACACGTCTTGTCGGCTTTGAAGGACAGTGTCTAGAGAAGACCCCGAGAGAGGGACCTCGGATTGCAACAGGCCAGCCGGCACCAAGGGCAAGAGCTGAGTCACTCTTGTTCCTTCGGCTTGGAGACCTGCAGCAGATGCGAGCTTGAGCTTTGTGGTGAAGAATGGAGAACTCATTGTGAATGATAAGTGGATGTTGGCAGAAAGATAGGAACTCTTCTGGAATATGACTGAGCGATGGATATATTCTTGGGGTGTCCAGGCCGATTTATATAGTTTGATATGCCCTTGTTCGACCTCGGAAGTCATAACTCCAGCATCTCTTGACCGCTCTCGTGTACCTTGATACAAGACACATGAGCCATCGGTATAACCATCCACTCTACTCATCTGACATGCGTCCACGACGGGATGGTAAGATTAACACACTGTGTGGTGTTGCAGGAGGTGGGTCTTTCAAAAGATCTGCGAACCAAGGAGCTGCTCTACGTTACACAAGCTTCCATCAGGATCTAACTTTGCACACATGTGATCCAGGCATGGGCTATATCTGCTTCACAGATATGAAATCAAGGCTATCTAGGTAATTACTATCTTCTAGGGGTCCTTGTACGATTACCCGAGCTCTGTAGTCGGAACTGACTAATTCCTAGGACTGAGTCGCGCGCCCTGCATTGCAGTGGCTCTGCAACCCAGATAAGCCCACCAAGCTTCTAATCCTTATCGAGTCTTGAATTTAATAGGCACAGATAAGCAAATAGGAAGCGAAGGGTACCTTAACTGCGTAGGGGTAAGCGGAAGGGTAAGCGGAAGGGTAAGCGGCGTGGGGGTAATCGACGAGTAAGCAGTGTTGATTAATCCTCCAAGACTGGCGCCATTATCCGCTCTCAGCCGCTCGCGGCTTGGCTGGTAGACTTCCCGATAAAGTAATAAGATGATGCCAAGCCTCGTATCTTGACCACTGCTTAACTCAGCTCACCCATGGCAACTGTGCGCCTCGATCTGACCTTGAGATCAGGTGCCTAGGCACTCTCTTTACACCTACAGTACAAGCTGGCATCCCAACCGGACGAAGTCAGAGCCTGGTTTCTAAACATGGTAGAAGCCTGTGCTTTCTAGACTTGTACTCAGCCTCAGGTTGAGGCCTAGGCTCGGTCACATTGGTACATGGCTTTCGCTTCTCCATACTACGCGAGCAGAGGCAAGCCACAGCATAGTTCAAGCCACAACATGTTTCAAGCCACTCTACCAATCCAGTCTCACGCTTAGCAACGAGAGATTGAATCCTTCATATCTGCATGATAACTTTCTTGGTCGAGTTTAGATATCACCAGTAGCAAATTTAGTACACTTTATGCCCGTATCAGCGCTGAACAGATGGGAAAACTCTCATCAAAACTCATCATCTCTATCACGAGATCGATGATGAGGCTGTAGATAGAAATGTCTCAGCTTTGTCCACATCTCACGGTGCAGTTCCATACGGAGTCAAGTTTGGACCCAGCTCTGACGACCTGATATCAGCGCCCGTCTCGGATTGTTTGAAGGCCTGATGGGGTGGCTATCCTGAAGCCACGCTGAGGATGTGTGTGCTTAGCCACGCTGGAGACCTCGAGATACGCTGGAACTCACGGCGGAGGCCGTGATGAACCTGAACTAGAGTCACCGACGGAAGAGCGTCGTGTAGGAAGAGATACATAAATATGTCTCTTTGCCGGGTGTCTGCGAAAACAGCAACGACAAGATTTACAGTCTCTCATTTCCTCAAACCAGCAGTCCATCTACAATATGGTCAACTCATCAGTCATTACGAAGCTTTTCGCAGGAACCATTCCATTCCAGCCTGCTCTTCCACAAAGTCAGACCAATGGCTTATCCAACTGGGGCACACTAGATGCACCTCTACTCAATAACTGGATCGACCGCGGCCATGGAAACCCCTGGGGAGGCCGGAACTGCTGGAACTCGAACCCATATATTGATGCCCCACATACGGGCCAGACGGTTAAGGTTGATTGGACGCTTGAGCGAAAACCACTATCTCCAGACGGCTACAGTAAGAACGTACTTCTTGTGAATGGCCAATTTCCCGGACCTCTACTCGAAGCCAACTGGGGAGATATGATCGAAGTCACGATTCATAACAAGATTGCTGGCCCAGTTGAAGGAACCGCTATGCATTTCCATGGCTTCACCATGAAGGATACACCCTGGATGGACGGAGTTCCGTCAGTATCCCAATGTCCAATTGCTCCTGGAGAAACCTTTACCTACAAGTTCAAAGCTGATCTATACGGCACGTCCTGGTATCACAGTCATTACTCTGGTCAGCAAATTGGAGGACTTATGGGCCCCGTTGTAGTACATGGTCCGGCCTCTGAGGGCCACGAAATCGATCTCGGCCCTGTATTCATCAACGACTGGTGGCATAAAGACTATCTCGAGCTGATCGACGATGCAGTCGGCACAAATCAAACGCTCTGGCGACCCTGGGCAGACAACAACATGATCAACGGGAAAATGGACTTTGATTGCACGACTATTACAGATGGCAGGCCATGCGTATCGAACGCTGGATTGTCAAAATTCCGTTTCCGGGCTGGCAAGACACATCGATTGCGCTTGGTCAATTCCGGCGCAGCTTCTCTACAGCACTTCTCCATTGACGGACATGAGATGACTGTTATCGCAAACGACTTTGTCCCCGTCAAGCCTTACAACACAGATGTGATCACATTGGGCGTTGGACAGCGCACTGACATCCTTGTCAAGGCAAAGAAAGACCGGAAAGGCGCTTTCTGGATGCGGTCCATGATATCTGATCTATGCGCCGCTTCGCATCAGCCTCTAGCTCTGGCAGCTATTTACTACGATCAAGCGGATGAACGTCAGCGTCCCAATAGTACCGCTCACCCCATCACCGATGTCTACCATACCTGTATCAACGATCCTCTTGAGAAGACAGAGCCTAGCTACCCTATAGCCGTCAAACAGAACCCTACCAGCATTATCAACCTTGATTACGATCGCGTCATCAATGCCACTGGCCACCAGACCTGGACAGTCAACGACTCAGCTTTCCGCGCAAACTACAACAACCCCATTCTAGAGCTTGTGAAGAACCGCAACACTTCATACCCCACCCACCCAGAATGGAACGTGCACAACATGGGCCAGAACAAAACCGTGCGCATAATCATGTACAACAAGTCCAATAACACGCACCACCCTATGCACCTGCACGGCCATAACATGCAGGTTTTATCAGAGGGGCCGGGACGTTGGGACGGCCATACAATTGTTCGTCCACAGAACCCTCACCGTCGCGATGTCCACCAGCTGCGCGCTTCAGGTCATCTGGTCATTCAGTACGAACAGGACAACCCAGGTGTCTGGTCGTTGCATTGCCACGTTGCCTGGCATGTTTCCACTGGCATGTTTTCGAGCTTGATAGAGAGGCCGCAGGACGTTGCAAAGATGAACTTTCCAGCGCAGAACAAGAATACTTGTCGGGCTTGGGACAAGTACAGTAGTCAGAACGTTGTAGATCAGGTGGATAGCGGAGTGTAGGGTGCGTGTATCTAAGGTTGCATTCGCAATTTTTTTTCATTTTGTATATAGGCATGTATCTTCAGTTCTTCTACTAGTACACTTGTTTGTTTGGGCTTAGTTCTTTTCTTACGATAGACGAGGTTGTGTTTTTCATGTTTTGCGCATTCGAGTCTTTCTATAAATACTATTTCTAAATCAGATTTGCATAGTTACCGTATATATCTTGCATTGATCATTTCAATTACAAATACATGTTGCACAACGCTGGTAGTCTGGTCAAGATACCAGGTTGACCTCTACCATTCCTACATGCTTAATTGTGTAGACTATTGTCCATTAGGATTTTCTTTGCTGTGTGCATGCTGTGATATTGATCCAGAGCTGCGTTTAGTTTACATGACTGATAATCGTGGCAGAATGGTGGCATTTTACCGGTCCCTAGAGACCTGACCACCACTGTTTTGTGATTTTGCGCAAGGGTTCGGGAAACAAAGAGCCTATCATGTCAGCTAGAGTTCTGACCGCCATAACTTCGTGGCGTTGACGTGGGGTCCGGGAAACAAAGGGGTCATTATCTAAGCGAGTCCCGTCTGCGGTCAGCTTACTTTATCCCACGCCCTCGGATCCCGAAGCGAACATGGTTACATGCTGTGCCACATGAACGCCAACGCTCGGACCATCCCAGCTGTGCAGCAGCTCAGCCTTGCTATCGTGCTTGTGGCCCCGTCTCTTAGACGCAAGGGATGAATGTCAGGTTGATTCCGATATCTCCGTCTTGGTAATGCGATAGTGCTGCGGTTACATGCACTCGATATCAGAAGTAAATCCCGGTAATGCCGCTGTGATTCCCGTTAAGGCCGTGTGTCTCACATCTCTATGCTCGACAGTAAATACATAAAGGACTCACTATCCTGTCTGCTTGATCAAACATCACTTTCACATCCGCATCTCCGACTACACTGTACCCAACACTCCAGGAACTCGATCTATCTCACAGGTTCACATAAGCACCGGTGCGCTGACCCCTTGATCTTTTCTCTAGTCTCATACCCATCTCTTTAAGTCACCACAGTATCTGCACCATGGGCTGTTTTCCCTCCAAGGAGAAGTCACTAAAGGAGAAATCCTACAGTAAAGCCACCATGTCCGAATACTCCCCAGCATGCTGCTCCATCCCCCCGGTTGTGTCCAAGGGCTATACCCCCAAGGGCCGCTATGAGACTATTGGCGACACCAAAATGTGTAGGAATCTCCCAGCAACAAAATGAATTTCACCATACTCTTTTTCACGTGGCTGACACTCATGTAGATGTCACTGGTCCATCAGATGCCTCCAAAGCTATCTTTGTCGTCTACGACATCTTCGGTTTCTTCGACCAAACGGTGCAAGGCGCTGATCTGCTTGCGCACTCAGGCAAGTACCAGGTCTTCATGCCCGACTTCTTCGACGGAAAGCCGGCCGAGATGAGCTGGATGGCACAGGGTATGGACGGACCGCTGGGAGCTTTCTTCGGATCGACAGGCAACCCTCAGACCGCAGTAGGCAAGCTCCCCGGCATGGTCGACGCGATTGGCAAAAAGTACACCAGCATCAAATCTTGGGGTATCCTAGGAGTAAGTCCCGTATCCAGAAAAGAACGAAACTGGGATCGTCATCTGATAAACATACGCGTAGTTCTGCTGGGGCGGCAAGATCGTTTCCGTCGTCACGTCCAACAAGCTCTGCAAGTTTGCGGCTGGTGCCCAGTGCCACCCGGCCATGCTCGACCCCAAAGAAGCGGCTGGCATCGAAATGCCGCATCTCATGATTGCTTCCGGCGACGAAGAAGTGGAGGTGGTGAAGGAATTCGAGAAGGGACTGAGCGTGCCCAAGCACTTTGAGCGCTTCGATGATCAGCTCCACGGCTTTATGACGGCGCGTGCCGACCTCGAGGACGAGAAGGTGAAGGCTGAGTACGAGAGGGCATACAAGCTTGTCATCGCTTTCTTCGACAAGCACGTTTGAAAGCGGCATTACTATCGTGTGGGATGAGAGTAGAGTCGGGCTAGGTTAGAAATATATTCTGTTCTGAAAACATCCAAATTGTTGCATTTAGGCCGTATGACTGCTTTGTAAGCGAAGCCGAATTCGAGATCATTTTTGTGAGAGACTAGCCCTTCCAACAAAGGTTCGCGGAGGAATCTTTTCGCTGCGGCTCCGGATTAGTCTACCTGAAACTGGTGGATTTGAAGGTAGTAAAGTCATGATGTAATTGTGTAAACTCTTGTTGGTACGCTAGGCTCCCCTCAACTACGGTTTGAACGAGAGCTCTACTAAGCTTCACTCTTACCTCTTACCTTAACCATGGGACTCTGCTAGCTGTGAGGTTGAAACCCCATTGAAATTTCAATGCTTTTTTTAAGAGTTTGACTGTGTCGTGTGTGTAGTGCAAGACCGTATTTTAAGGATATATGCACTGTGTCGGATCGTGAGTATCGGTAGAGACGTCGGCTGCTTGACACTTCGGCCCGACTTCGGCCCACCTTGCGCAGAGCTTAGGTGTACCTTCGTAGCAGCTATGTTCGTAGACAATCAATACCAATACCAGTCACCAGAAGAACCTCGTTGTTGTTATTCACCCGTACGATCGTACAAGGCCTACCAACACACTGCGTCTAGTCTACATTGTACAATTACCTAAAGCCTAACAATTCGTTTGCACCCAGATAATACTATATGTTGCCCACTTGTTTGTTCCTACTGGTTATTATCTGTCGAGCTGGTTGATATCCATTAAGCGAATACAGCTTTATGGTGAGGCAGGCTGTGAGGAGTCATTACATGATGACACGATTACGCGCAACGAGCAATCAGCATGCTTCGCCGTACCCACTTTGTGTGTGAACAAACACCTCTAACTATGGTTCACTCACCAAAGTAATTGAGTAGTGGGGGCAGTAGCGCGAGCCTACTAAGTATATAATAACCTCTCTTCCAAGCCTAGGACAACTTTCCTATTATTACAGTCCAGTAACGTCAGCTCAACTTTGCTTCGAACTCCTGATCAAACTCAACTCATCGACCAACCCCTCGAACTAGCCGTTTGCTTTCTTGACAAGCATTCAGAACAACTCTTCGCACACACCTCAACAACAGTTACAAAATAGCAGTTGACATGACACCCTCGCCTATGACCCAGATGTTCGCCACCACGAACATTGAGAGAATCCCAGCTGCTTCCCCGACAACCGCTTCTACCATGCTCACCGAAGCTTTCGTGACCACTTTGGGCCGAAACTCGCCCTCCGACGCTGAATCTCAGGCATCGAACACTATCAGCATCTACAATTTGTCCTTCGCTGACCGCAAGATCCTCGCCAAGGGAGCTCAGGTGCACATTTGCGACCATCAGGGTATCACCATCTGCCAACTGCCGCATGCTCTTTTCCGCGCAATCTCTACCAAGAAGGAATTGGTTAAGCCTGGCAACCAGCCGGGTATTATTACATTGCCTGAAAACCTCGACGAACTGATGATTATCAACTTGATTCAGCACTTCATGGATCTAGTCACCTGGAAGCAACACGCTCGAATGTTGCCCTCTTACGAGTCCACCTACCACGACCTGCAAACTTGTAGCGTGGGTGAGTACCTCGGCATGAAGATGTACACCCAGCACATCTTCAACTGGTACTTCGCGAGCATCAGTTCCGGTCACCTCCCAGGTTACAGCGACATCGACGCCTTCACCTATGTTCGGACAATTCCAGGCGAGGCGCTCTTCCAGAAGCTCGTCAACTTCGTCGCCAAGCTCGACTTCGAGGATAGCATCCCGGACCCAGAAGACTACCAAGAGTATCTTCAGACCAACCAGCACTTCCGCGAGGCGGTCGCGGTAGCAAAGGCCAAACGCCAGGCCTACTTTGTATACCTCGAGCGAAAGAATCGCGAGGAAGCCGCGGCAGCTGAGCGGGCGGCTAACATCGCCGAGAAGAACAAGGCACGCGTAAAAATGGCCAAGGACAAGGCAGCGCAGAGCAAGGCCAAATGGGAGGAGAAGAAGAAGGCGGAAGCGGAGTTGGCGGCCCGTGTCAAGGCTAAAATGGCGGCACCAGGCAAGAAGATCTGGAAAGCTCATGAGGCTGGCTATATCCGCCGCATCTATGGGAAGAACGTCCCCACCTAGAGCTATGGTCAGGGTGGCGATCGTACGCGAATGATGCGCGGGTGCTTAGTTGGTATGACTCAGCCTGAATGTTTGACATGCAGCAATGATTCTCCAAGTCTAATTCTATTCATGCTTCCCATTGTAGCTTAGCTCCACAGAAGATGCACTGTTCTTTATTCACACTATATACATGCCGTCCGCAATTTTATCGTGAACTATACGTAGTTACCTTCTCATGGGTACACAAACAGCTCTTAATCTATGGTTGTCTTTTCCATTGTTCTTTCTGTCTTCGCGGTTTGTTGAAGCCGAAAACTGCTGATTTAGGTGCTCGCACCTGGGTGACATAAACTACTTGACATACTAGTGTAAAAAGGCCATTTTAGTCGCCAGGTATGCTTGTTAGGTGCTTACCCACACTTTCAAGTATTTCATGTCACCCACGTGCTCGGACTTTGCCACTCTTTGTAATAATTCGATCGTCATGTTATACGATCTTTAATTTTTCTAGCGGTAGGGATTGTAGAAATTTCAGAACTAAATCATACGCAATCTCTTCTCCCCCAAGTGGCGAGAAACGTAACATTATCGTCCCAAATCTCTCGTATTGACGAGAAGTCACTGGCAGTGATCGCAGAACTAGTGCCCATATAGTACCTTCGGAGCGCTGAAAAAGCTGTACCTTCAGAACAGTTCCTGTTGCGTAGGGTGGAATGGCAGTCGTAGGATCGTAGTCGTTGCGTAAGAACACACCCAGGTGGCAGTTTCCCCACTCGGCAGGCAAAGGCTCAAATGACATAGGGTACCTCTGCCCATACTTTCGTGGGAGGGTGTCCCGAAAGTACTCAGCAGGGTGTTTCAGAAGGTCTTTCAATTCCATCTGAGATAGTCCGTCCGGGTCCGTGATAGTCAGGGTGGGCGCCTTTACTACAACGCTAGCGTCCTTGACTTCTCCCAGGTACGTTGATCCTACAGCAGTGTAATCTAGACTCACAAAATCGGCCATATACGGGACTGTCGGATCTCCGAGGAACGTGATTTTCATCCTTGGATATGAGGCCCAAGACCAGGAGGGCTTTCCTCGCTGATGGAGGGGTGTGCGACGGCCAGGGATCATCGGACACCACAACATATCAGAGATGATGCTATCTTTCCATAACCCAGTAACATAGATATCATCTGCTCGCATCGTTCGTGATATTCGCTCAGCCACGGCTGCAATGGCCGGTAAACGGTCGGTTTCGTAGGTCAGTTCAAGGCCCGTGTATTCCGTGACAAACCTGTGCCAATCGAACGAGGGATTCTCAGTCCGATTTTCCAAGCTACCGAGGATGTTGACACGGCAAAGGTGTCGAATATCACTGTCGTTGCAACGAACAAAGTATATGATATTTGATTAGTAGTGAGCAAGAGCTGGGTGGAGAGATCTCCATATGTACGGGTGCGAGCTAAGCGGGAAGCTTGGTCTAACTAGTGATCCAAGCTTCCGGCCCGGAAAAACTCGCCGGGCTGGCTGTACGCGCATGTCCCGACAGAGGATGTCCTGATTTTTTTGACCATATCATATCTTCGCAACCATCCTCTGAAGCAAAGTAATGGTCACATCTCCAATACACTTGATATTTGCCAAAGTGTATAGTACGAGGAGAGAACATACGTTCTTGATATACCCAAGCCCGAGCAAGTAGTGGCCATAGATCCAGGTTTTGCTCGGATAGATTGTGAGGGAAGGGCACTGGTGCCTCCATGGCGTGAAGATGAGGATGCAATTTTAGGCGCTTCGCAAGAGCCGCAGGATCACGGTTCGAGAACAAACCCTCATTGCTATTCCACGCGAACGTAGCTGCAATTGTGACATGTGAATTTTGGTAGATGTTGGCCATCGTAGCAGCTGCTTCTTCCCAATCCTCCTTACTATCTTGCAAGATGCCTGTGCACCATACAATGATTAACCGCCTGATACATGAGAACAACTAGACTTACATAACGCATCAATCCAAATATACGATATACCAAGGGACTGGCACACCTGCACCGCGTCTCGGAATGTCTTCGGTAGTTCGGATATCGGATAGCCCTCAGTCAGGTTCTTCACAGTATGACTTGTGAGCTTGATCGCCGGGCCTTTTGAACCCCAGCGATGACTGAGACATGCATATTCAGCCAACCCCATGGGATGCTCTCGAAGATGGATGCTGTCAGCCATTATCTTGAGGATCCTCTTTGGAAGTACACCAGATGACTTCCTTTTGCAGCATCCATGATGTATGATACAATCTGCAATCCATGCTGCAATTTGACGCAATGTTTCATCAGAACATGTGTTATGTGATAGTGATCGGGGTCTGATGATCTTCCAGGTATCGCTCTCATCGCCCTTCCATTTAGAATGATGTAATTCGTGATCTACATACGCTGTGAGTTCAAAAATGCGCATTTGCGTTATTTTTCGAGATACATACTCACAAGACGTATCACTTTGTATCTGTATTCACTGAGCTTTATCTCAATCGAGCGTCTCGTCCTCAATTCACTTATTGAGATAAGACGAGCAGAGGCTCGGAACTTGCTATCGGTATAAGCCGAGACGGCGTCGACGACTAGACCGCAAGTTCTACATCCTTTCTTTGCCGCGGCTATAAGATATTTAGATGAGGTAGTGATAGAATCGGAGAATGTTAGATCTCCACTAACAATGTCATCCGTTTGCCACGAAAAACAGACGGAGCAGCGACTGGGCGAATGCTTCTTTGATTCCATTGGACTTCTGGGAAGGCTGAGAATAGAACTTAGATAGGGGTCCCAATTTACTGCAACAAAGAGAGTAACAGGCTGCTGCCTTAGATCCAAGCTAGAGAGCAGACACGAAGAAAGCTGCCAAGTTTTTTTGCCTGTCGCTGTGCCCCGCACATCGTGTGAAGACAGGGCGGCAAACGAAAGGCCCGTATCAACCTGTCAATCATGCAGGATGCCTACCAAGGTAAACGACAAGAATGGCCTCGACGGCCTTCCCGCGTGGTTATCAGCCAACAAATTCATATCACTAGTATGATAGAATTGTTGTATACAGAAACCAAATGAATTGTGACAGTCAAATCAATGTGCTTTCCTTCGTCTGAAGATGTCATCTAAGAAGGTGGGTCGTGCGCTGCTGACGTAACACAAGCTCGTCCTCACCTGCGAAGCAACTGCAAGTCGCGGCTCAAGAACCCCACATTTACACCGCGACAATGGCTTCAGGATACGGACTTGCTGGTGGTACGTATAGCGAATCAACTGCCCGACTCTAGAGAAGCTTGCGAGATCGGCCGAGGCTTGGAGGCGAGCGCAATGGCACGACAATGACGAGCCAACCCGGAACAATTGCGGATAACGACTACGAACACAAGATGAGGAGACTGCGGGCATATCTGAGACTTCATGGGACATTGAAGGAGCCTGGAAAGGGATGGGTTTCCGGTTCTACAGCATAGCAGGTAGAGGGTGTCAGCGAGCATAGAACGATTGCGACAACAACGACATTGCAAAAGGCCGATGGAAACGAGCACACAATACCGACTCCCGGCGCATGCTCCCAGCAGTAACAACGAAACGCTTCACGTCTATTCATATCGCTAGTCGTCGATACACTTCCAGGCCTGCCGCACATCTCCGCCGTCTCCATCCAAGCTCTCCACTACAGTCCAACAGCTCACCCAAACCTCACCTCCACCCTCTCCCGCCAATCAAACGCTAACAAATCCCCTTCTCAGGCCCCTCTCGCTGCTTCCCCTTCTGGCAAGAAGTCCTCGCCTGCTACACGACCAACACAAACGCCGAAGACGACTCTGGCAAAGCAAAATGCGCCCCCGTCCTTGAAGACTACTACGAGTGTCTGCACCACAAGAAGGAGGTACGACAGTCCTTTCTTACATGTCATGATAGCGACAACTAGCCTTGCTCCATTTCCTGCTGCCCTACCACAAGAAACAAAGTACATTAAATTAACACTTACCTCAAAAAGGCTGCACGTACCCTCGCCCTCCAAGCGGCTTACCGCAAAGCCGAAGCAAACATAAAACGCGACGATGCACCCAGCGCGGGGGAAATAAGGCGATTGGGTGTGCTCGATGCGCCGCTAGAGGAGAAGAACCTCAAAGCGAGCAAATGGTTCCCGCACAAGGAGATTAACTAAGTGGGGTGGGTTGTTTATGTACGAGGGATCACACGACAAGACATGGGAAGCAGAAATGAATTCAATCTTTGATTTTACCAAACTGTTGCAATGGAATAGTGATATAACATGCCCTTCTCTCTCTCTCTCTCTCTCTCTCTCTCTCATACACATAGACATACAAACACAAGAAACAAAAATGCCAGAAATCCCCTTCTCGATAACCCCTCAATACTCATGAACCAAACAACTCATGTCCCCTGGATCCCCCTTCTCGTTCGGTACAACCAGCGTCTCCCCCGAAAGAACCATATCCGGATCTACAATCTCATTCGCCTTTACAAGATCGCATATGCCCACGTTATTCGCTTTGGTTATGGATTCAAGCGTGTCGCCCGGTTTGATAGTTATTGTTGCTGTGCCGGGAGCCGCTGATGGAGCTGACACTGCAGCTGTCGAACCAAACGGCTTAAACGAAACCGTCATCGACCCCATGATACTGGTGACTAGCGTTGTTAGCGCGTCGGGTAAGCCTGGTATGGGGATATTGGGAGGTGGGGTTAGACGCGGTGGGACTGGTATGGTGTTGCTGGGAGGAACGGGTAGACTGGTATTGAGGGGCGTACCGGGAAAGGCTGGTATCGTCATGTTGGGAGAACCAGGTAGACCGGTGCCGAGAGGCATACCGGGTTTACAGGCGCAGTTGTTGGAGTGGATGTGTGGGACAATAGATGTTGCGGTTACGCGTGAGGCTTGGAGAAAAAGGGCGAGAAGAAGGAGAGGTAGATACGTCATGATTTTGATTCGTGAGTTTGATGCTGGTTCTGGAGGTGGTTTGTGATTTTTATAAAGTGTGGAGATGTGGTGAGAAGGGGGAGGAGGTGCAGGATGTTATAAGGAATTTAGTAGTGAAGAGATATGCTGTGATGGGCGTGAAGCTGCGGACTTCAATGGGATATATGGGTGCAGAGTAGTGAATGCTTGCTTCCATGCTGCTGGCGGACAGCTTGACTGGCAACGTGGATGGACACGTCGCCTTCGCGTTCTATGAGTGATCCAGAGATGATTGAATAACTGGCTGCGTCAATAGCAGCATATTTCATCGTGTAAAACATACGAGTCGTCTATCCAACTACATCCAGTCTCATCACAAAGACATTTCTACGCCACTACGCCACTACTCCTCTCTACCCATGCCCGTCTATGCAGCATCCGTAAGATTGTAAATCTTTTGGATATCCCTCAGCTGACCCTCATGATCGAATTTCAGATCCTTCAGCAATCCATCTTCAAACCCAAACACCCATCCGTGAACAACGGGGAACTCATTCTCGGCCCAGCACTGCTGCACCGCCGCCGTCTTGATGATGTTGCGGCACTGCTCGTACACGTTCAGCTCAACCAGCTTGTTGTACTTGTCGTCTTCTGTGCCACCGTTTGCAACCACATCGTCAATCTCCTTTTGATGTAGGCGGTATACGTCGCGGATGTTTCGTAGCCAGGGGTTCAAGAGGCCCATGTCTTTGGGTGTCATAGCAGCTTTGACACCGCCGCAGCCGTAGTGTCCGCATACGATAATGTGCTTGACTTTCAGATGGCGCACAGCATAGTTTACGACCGACATGACGTTGAGGTCAATGTTGCAGACGAGGTTGGCAATGTTGCGGTGGATGAACATCTCACCGGGTTGGAGACCCGTGATGGCTTCGGCGGGAATGCGCGAGTCGGAGCAGCCTGGGGAAGTTTTGTTAGCATATGTTCCGTGAGGTAATGGTAGGCTTCAACTCCAACTACAAGCTTCTGATTCACAAAGCAGAACTCACCAATCCATAGATACTCGGGCGCCTGGCCAGCGCTCAGGTCGGAGAAGAACTCTGGCTTCTTCGCCTTCATCTCCTCGGCCCACTTCTTGTTGTTCTCAAAGATGCGGTCATGGCTTTGCTGCAGGTACTTGCGCACCTCCTTTGGTTCTTCCTTTCCAGTCATTGTGGGCCACGAAAAGTGTCGCTTAGCACCGATGGGCTCTGTGGTTGTAGTTGTAGCGTGCAGACCAGGCGGTTTACATGCAGTATGGCAGGATCGCACGGGAGATATCCGGTTCAGCAACGAGATCGCGGATAATGCGGATGCCGAGGTCGGGAATGGGGTGGTTGATAAGAGTTGCGATCGGGATGGGGAGCAGAACTGCCCCGCTGCGACTAGCTCTCGGAGAGCGTGGGGTAACCGGTGTGGCATGACAGGAACAAATGGCAAAAGCGAACTGCGCCAGCACTAACTACTGGATGACTGGATATATGCGGGCAGTATCGGTGGAGGGGACACGCGACAAAAAAATGTTTCTGTCGAATTATTTTGCGCTGCCGCGCCGATTGGGCGCTCTGGCGTCCGGAGATTGGTTATAGTGTGAATCGGACCTTGATGCAGATCGGACGTCGATTTAGCGTTGACATCCCGATCCTTCCCTTGTGGGTATTTCCGTACGACACGTCAAGATTCTTGTCCCGATCGATACGTTGCGCAGAATAAATTGCCCGACCAGTGCAATGGCTCTCGACGATGCCCAGCGCGAGGTCATATTGCGCCATGCCGACCGCCTGTTGAGCACAAGGGCCTGGCCCAAAACCATCTGCCCCTCCGAGATCGCTCGCGCCTTGTCACGGCAGGAGCTGGAAACACTTGACGCGTCGGAATGGAGGGACACGATGGACGCCATACGGGAGCTGGTGTGGGAGAAGCGTGCTGCTGGTGAGGTGGAGGTCATGCAGAAGGGCCAATTGGTAGAGGCTGAGAGTTTGGAGCATGTCAGAGGACCGATACGAGTGAGGAACATCAAGAAGTGACATGTCGAAAACCTTGTACAAGTCTGTGCTCATTACATTACTAGAGGTGATGGTGATGCGATGCTGGAAATGCCGAAAAACTTGGACTGACCCAAAACGCTAATGCTCTCAACGCCGATTTCCCAAACATGGCCATGTCTTCCCAACTCCAAAATCATGCTTTCATCTCAACACTCCGGATGCTTGGCGCCGCTTACATCGATGCCCTGCCACTTCTCATCCCAGCCCATGCTCGGGTCTGTTGCATTGCCCGCTTTGCCCTCTTCGGTGAGATTCTTGATATCGCTCCAATATTCCAACTTCTTGCACTCGTTGTCCGCTGCCTCGATAGCTTTGAGCAGGTTGTTGATACGCCGTTGCTCGGCGTCGCCCTCGGGCTTGTGATCTTTTTCGTGTTGTTCACGGTGGTCTTTGGCAGCTTCAAATCGGTCCATGAGTGTGGAAAGGAGCTGGCGGCGCGAGTTTTGGAATATGAGCATAGACATGATGGCGGGTATCTACAAAAATTAGCTGTGGGTATCGAAGAGGCGGACATGGTTGGTTACCTGTTCTGCAAGATAGTGTAGTTCCTCGCCTCCATCGTCAATAAACTTGTGGATGTAGATGATCTTCTCGCGATCAATTGCCGCCGCCTTCAACTTCTTCATCAAGGTCGGTATATTCCCGATCTCCTCGTCTAGGGAAACTTGAGTGCTATCCAACAAGCCGCTGCCGGTACCAAACGTCGTCGACCTGGCTAGTGTTGTACCGATGCTGAAAGTCTCGCCAAACATGCGCTCCCTGGCATTCGCCTTTGTCTTGGGTGGCAGCTTCTGCTTGACTCGCCTCCGGAGCCAGCGCCGTCGCCGCACAAAGCTATGAAACCAAGGGTGGTTGCCGTGCCATGGCGAGCCCTTGAACAGGAAACTATACTGCCATCCTTCCTCATCCACATCCAGACTCATGTCAACATACCAGCTCTTCCAATCCCATACCCAGCTAGGGTCAGGCACCTGAGCATTTGTAATGTTGACAGCGGACGGCCTAAATTTGACGTCCTGCCAGGGCGCAGGGTCGATCCTCAAGTTCCATAGCGCTTTGTGGGAAAAGAGTGGTATGCCGAAGACGAACCAACCGCGCTGGTTTTCATAGAGGACTTCGACGTGCGAGTCTGGACTGGCCTGCCGTTCGGGCTGCGTACTCGGGGTATTCGCGCCATTTGTCGTGTGATCCACGAGGTTTATTTGTTGGTCTGCCATGCTGCCCAGTTTTGTGTAGGAGGGGTGGAAACTAAAAGGCCGGGGCCGTTGCTATCGTAAATACATGAGGTCGATGAGATCGGGCAGGCACGGTACCCTTCGTCTTGCTGGTTGTAGTATGCAGAGTAGGAGCAGCTGTCGTATTAGGGGGTGTGGCAACGCCTTGTTGACTCGCACGGCAGGGCACAGATGCACTCGCAACGCAACGAAGAAAGATGCTATGATATTGCGCTAGATGCAATAAATAAACATAAGAAATAAATGCGAATAGACGTGGTGTGGACCAAGCCCGGCATGGCTTCGATTGTTCACAGGCAGCTAGCTGGCGATCTGGTTCGCGCCGTGGTCCAAAGTCCGTGCCGGCTGCTAGTGTGACGTCACGCCTGGCTGTGCTGCCTTGAAAGCCTCTCAAGGTTCCCCTCCCTTCTCACTGCATCTGATTCTTCATCTCTAATCTGCAAATAATACAGCTTGAGTTGTTCTCGAAATCCAATCAATTCATACACCCACAAGTCCCCAACCACATCAACAATGTCTCGCAGATTCGCTACATACGGTGGTCTCGCTGCTGTTGGTGGTGCCACCTACTACCTCTACAGCGCTGGAGGTGACCCAAAGCTCGCAGAGAAGAAGGCTGAGCGTTCGTGTATCCCAGACCCGGATGACCGCATAAACTAACAGTCAGTGTAGACGATGCTGCGACTGCCGCACGCAAGCTAAGAGGCGATTACCCTGGCCAAGACAAGGAATTGAAAAAGGCTGGTGAGGAGGGTTACGAGGCAGTACGTGCCCGCGCCGAGCAATACGTATGTATATCGGAGTCTGAAGGCTGAGTGACATCTGACATATTACAGGCCGACCAAGCCAGGGCGGAAGCCAAGAAGGCTGAGCAAAAGTTAGACACCTATAGCAGAGATGCGAAGAAACAGTATGAGGATGCTAAGCTCATTGCTGAGAAGGAGTTTCATGCAGCTGGCAAGCAGGTCAACGCTGCGGCAAACAAGTTCGATGCCGTCGTAGAGGACAAGGCCGCCAAGACATCGTCATGGTTTGGCGGATGGTTCGGCGGAAAGTAGGCGAAGAGTGCAGCATCTAGTCATGTAATGTTAATATGGGAAGAGAAGAACTGTTATTGGGACCTTGCATGAGCTTTGGAGTCTATGGGCGGCTTCTTTTCATCTCAATACGACTTGATACATTTGCGCCTAGTCCTGGATTTCGATGCGTGAAAGCAGACGATAGAAGTAGCATAATACAAGAACTTCCATGGGAGAAAAAGGAAAATCAACTCACTGCGTCGGCAAAAGCAAGAATTAACAAGTTTGGTGGAGGCATGACGGTAGTGTGGAGCAACGGCACGTCTGCATTAGGTCTCAAATTAGTGGGGCGGAAACGCGTCGCGAACGCGCAGAGGAAGCGCGTCGGGCGTACCTTCCACCCCCTCGGCACTTAAACACTCAACCCTCCCTCGATCCGCCTACTCACAACAGATCGTTCATCGACATTGGTACCGCTATCTCATCCTTGTATTCATCCCACTATTCTATCAACAATGTCGCCCATTGCTCCCGGTCAGCTCCCGACAGAGCTTGTCAACCTCCTCGCCCTGCACTCATCCTTTCTGACGGCGCTTTCATTACACTATGCGCACAATGGCACTTCGACACCCGCTGATCTTCGAGACCTCGTGGCATCGACGACACTAGTCTGGCGGCAACGTAAAGTTACCAATGATGATATTCGGTTGCTCATCGGTATCCTCGACCACGGTCCATCCGGCCACAACAACCCATACTACCTTTCCGACTATGGCCGCGGTAAAATCTGCATTGAGATCAAGGACGATAGCTCGTTGATGGGTGGAATGTCACACATGAACGAGGAAGGACTGCAGGATATGTTCAAACAAGGCCTAGACACGCTGTGGTCGGAATGGTGCACCTCGCAGAAGATGATGACTCGACCGATTGCAGTACCCAAACGCGGACGAGGACGCCCAAAGAAGGCAGACGCCAAGCAAGCACGCGTGGAGACGTTCCTCGATGAGAGCAGCATGTCCAAGTTCCTCGCCCAACTCCCCCTTGCCGACATCACCACCTGCGAATCTCTCACTGCCCTCGTACCCGCACAAGAAAAGGGCCGCAAGCGATTGAGAGAGTTCAAGGAGAGCGTACAGCAAGGTCGTGCTCAGAAGAAGACAAGAGCAGTCTCTGGAAAGGAGAATGAACCTACATCCACCACATCAGCCCAGCCCGCGCAACCAAAGATCACCGAATTCGCCGCCGTCCGCAAAACAAACCTTCTTGATCGTATCCTCGCAAAGCAAGAAGCTGCCAAAGCCGGTCCTGCGGCACCGTCGCCTGCTGAACTTCAACGCAAAGCAGCGCTCCAACGTACTCCAGAGGTCCTCGGCGTTCTCTCCCTTCTCTGCGCCAACAGGCCTGGTGCGCGCGTTTCCTTCTCCACAACTACCCTGCTGCAGGCACTACAGGGCTCGATCCGCTCCCCCATCTCGAAAGAAGAAGCCATGAAGTGTGTGGAAGTGTTAGCGAACGAGGTTGCGCCTGGATACGTTTCCGTGGTTAGCATGGGCAGTATTTCTAGCGTTGTTATTAATCAGATGATGAGGCCGACGGATATCAAGAGTAGATTGATCGCGCTGGGCGCGTAGACGGCCCGTTTGTTTGGTTGTGGTGGACTATTTTCTCGGTTGTATTATCTTTTAAATTAGCGTTATACATTGTTCCTGATAGATTGAAGGAGGTGAGGGTTCAGCCAGCGTGGCATAGCGTGTGTATTTGTAGGGAGGGAGCGTTGTAAATGTTGATTTTCTACGGTGCAATTTGGTAAACTAGTAATATTGTAATCTTTCTTCGAACTTATTGACCACATCCGTGTATGCATCGTCCCCTTGCCGTCTGTTTGCTGCTTGCCTGATGTGAGTATACGCAAGGTCGATATTGAAGCCACTGCCTAGTTTGACACCCATTTCACTTCTCTTTTACACTAAACTCTTCCTTCATAATCTTGTTAAAGTATATGGTTACACATACAAGACTTTACCCTTGACCTCTTCCATTACACTTTCATGAATCCTCTACTCATTTCTCCTTGTCCTCGAATCCCCCGCCTGTTTGTCCGTCTGGCACTCCTGCCCACCGCACAGCAAAAATGCATGATTTCACTTTGAACCGAACCATGTTACCCCTACTCCTCCCAATCCCCAAACTTAAGTCAGACCCAAGAGACGAGATAATACATATCCCGGATGTCGATTTTTGGACGCCTTCCACTGCTCTGTAATGGAATTCGAGCTCTCAAGGCTTTGACCTAGGATCTACATCGACGACGGTGGCATTCTGTTACAATGATGTTCATTAGAGTATCAGCGAGTTGGAGTATACGGACGGCTAGACAGACAACGAAGTTAGTCAACATTCTCCATGTCAGTAACATAACGCGGCAAAGCGAGATATCTCCAGTCTTTCCCGCTAACCGCGCAGTCTCCACTAGAGTTTTCGCGGCATAGTTCAAACGCCGATGGTTCGTTCACGGAGCAGCAGATACCATACCCCATCAGAAGGCATATGCACACTGAACCCATGAATAAAAGTAGCACATCCTCTACCCACTTGATCTCGGACTAACTGGTCCCGTCTCAAATCCAGTGCAACTGCACAAAAGCCTCCCAACCATTATGCGTGTCTCCTCTTTCTCACCGTATTCCCACGGCATCAAAGTTACTGTCTCATCCCGCTTCTGGTCTTCTACCCCTGAGCAACTTATTGGATCGTGTCCTAAAAGTTAGTGTGGCCTTGTCGATCGCTTCGTGTTGACTGCGATGATCTATCCACACTTCTTCCAGCCCTGCGTACGTAACCTCGTACTCGCCAGATGCGTTGTCTGGTCTCCGTGATCTTCATATATTCGTTCTTATTCTTTTCCGCTTTCAGACTCGGACTCGCGGTGAAGGGTAAGGCTCAAAATTGCTCTCGGCTTGGTACCACGAAACGCGACGTGCTTCTCGGGCGTTTCGGCTGTTTGCATGCAAGACTGGTTGCTTTGAAGATGCGGAGCAGAATAAACACGCGTTCATATGTGTTGTGTGACTCCCCACATGCGCTCGCTGAAAGACTGCAGAAAAGCGATGCTGACTAAGTGAATGCATTGCGCAAAGCCGTGAAGGCAAAAGAATGAGTGACTGTAAGAGCACAGGGGAAAGAATGGAGTGCTGAGTACTGGGTATGCCGGAATACGAGGCAGTGGGTGTTGCCGGCAAAAAAACCCCGAAACCTCACCTCAACCACCGTGTCCACCAGCAAAAAAGAACGTACAAGCCCGACGTGGGGGTCGAACCCACAACCTTGAGATGTACTGAGTAATCGTGTCTGTTAGGACGTGAGTGCTAAGAGTCTCACGCTCTACCGATTGAGCTAGCCGGGCAGATGCTGTACAGCTGTTTGATGAAAGAACGATGCTTTAGTAACGGTATATAGTGAAGCAATAAACGAAAGAGACGAGAATGAGTGCCAGGGCTGTACTGTACTGTGCCCAAAAGTTGGAAGTGGACCAAAGAAAATTCGAAAATGCGGGGTACAGTACCAAGTTACCAATGCCTCAGTGCCGATGTTTAAGCAATCGAACGGCTAATGCTACATGCCGAAAGTGTCCGGGGTTGGCAGGGGTAATGACGTTTTGAAGCATTTTAGCGACCGGGAAAAATGAGACATGTGGTCGACGACAACACTTCAGCGGTCTCAACGAAAAGTATGTTCTAAGCAACCCTCCAGAAATCTAATCGCACACAATGCTCACACCAGATAACGGGAATCACGATTCACCATATGTCGATCAGTTGCGGAGTACCGTCAATGCGACGTCGGGTAACATTCCCAAACCACATGTAGGGCTCTCTAGTGCGCAAAGCAATACGACCGTGGTGCCTGATGCTCAAAATATCTTAGCGATAGAGTGATGATGACTGCTCTCTCGTATTCAGCAGATCGCATTCTTCTTTCGCCTTCCTAGGGATATTATAAGTACACGAGGTTACACTGCATGTTAGGCAGCCCCCAACACGTCTGTGCTTGTATTTGGGCCACGTTCACATTCAGGCGTTTCTGGTAACCTGTACACAGGAATCACGAGTAATTCACTTGCTTACAGCCCTGCTGTGTGATGCAGCTGAACGGTAGTGGCGGCGACAGCATCTCCCGGAAATCACAAATATCAGCATCAATGACGTGCTGTGCTTTCGTACGGAGCTTCGGATTAGTGCCACGTCGACGGGTTAGAGGATATTGTTTTGCCGTCCCGCCGGACCCTAGCCGCAATGAGTTTACTTAGTGTTTGTAGTTGACTGGGAAGTGTTGAAATGAAAATGTGGTGGCCATAGGATAATCAACAGTCGCATGTGGGGAGACGAGTATTTAAAGCGTCTCTTTCACAAACGATATGGGAAATCCGGTCAGAATAGCCGGCATCAATAAGCCACACGGATGCACTCCAGCTGAGATATGTGGTTCATTAAACTGACGTTCGGGTGAGGCCAGCGGCGAGCGTTTCAAAACATGGCCAACCTAGCCAGCACAGCCTCATGATGAAAAACGAACCATCGCTAGGACCTCGCCTCGTCTAACACGAGGTAGCATTCGGCCATGTCCTATCCGCTTACCGAGCTTATTTGAAACTACCAAGCCAAGGGAAGCCCCTATAGTTGGGGCCATATTAACGTAAGATTTACCTATAACCTGGCTCAAGCTGCGGTATCCTAGATTAAATCATCAGCCGCAACTCCACATGTACTGACACGGATGGGGGTGGGCGGTCGCACTAGATATACTTGGTAGAAGTTCAACTTTACATGGCCATCTTCGTCTTTGACAAGTTGCGCTCTGGCAGCCCAGTCCTTGCTAGATTCGCCCCCTGCTTTGAGGCCGTATTTGACCGTTCCGTACAGCATAACTTGGTCTGCGTTGGGCCCAAACGGAAATATCTTCACAGGCTCGTGCGCTCTACTGGCAACCTTTTCCCACATAGCTTCGCGCAGGGATTTGATCTCTAAGAACGGCTAAGGATTAGCCAATGCGCCGATGCAAAAGAAATAGAGTTTTGGGGTCAACAGGGTCCTCTCATGCCGGAGCTGGGCTTGATGAGAAAAGCAAAAGTGCGGCTAACCTGCACGCCCGGCGACTTTCTTGGAAGCCATGATTAGCGTTGCATCTTCCGTGAAATATTTGGTGTATTCATCGTGCGCCTGCGCTCCCGGCGTGTCGGAGGCGGCATAGAAGCTCTCGAAGAACTTCTTGTACGCAGGGTCAAAATCGATAGATGGCGGGTACTGGGAGGCGTAGGAAGTCATGACTATTTGTGGAAACGTTGGAATTAGATGAATGGTTTGTTGTCTGCTCAGGATCAAGGATAGTGAGCGTGACTATGAGGCCTGGTCAAACAGCCAGCGAAGCCTGTTCGGATGTCGCGGGCCTGACGTAACAAATGACCGCGCCATCAGATGCGGGCCGGGCGGGAGCGGCGTTCTAGGTATGGATGTCTTGGAGCCTCAACCTGCGTTCCACCACTCGGCCTGTTCGTCCGAGCACTTGCCAACACAACATGGCCTCGACAAATGTCGTGTCCCGGAGAAACGTTTACCTGGCTTTTCTTTTGATGACGGTTGAGAAATCTTAGACCCTGGCGGGCCTGGAACATGTTGGTGCTGACACCGAGCCCGCCCTGACAAGCTGCGCTACTCGTAGCGTTAACCCTTCAAAATTCGCAGAGTTACCGAATCCGAGTGCGCTTCTGCGCGAAACCCCGCGAAATTGCGTAATGTGGGTCTGTAGAGTACTTCTACGAGGCTTCCAGGTGTTGGCACACTCTATGGCCGGGACGACATCGGGGTTTCATCACCGCGACACATTTTTAGTACCGGCACAAGCGTGGCGGAAAGTAAGTCTCACCGAAACAGCGGTCCACGTGTGGCACCGCGGCGGAAGCCTTTCACCCTGGGACCTGCGTCGACCAAGTCAAAGTCTGCATGAAATCTCTTCAGCCGCCATTTTCCCAGCAGCCTAGAGCCAGACAATGTACAAGCCCGACGAATCGATCGCAGCCCCCACCCCCAACACGGCTTCTGTCAAGCGCGATGCTTACAAAATCTCCGTGCACGCATTTTGACACAGGCAGGAGTTTCCCCGACTCAGTCCTACTCTAGTGTGTCAATTCGCGAAATCTTCCAATGGTTCAGGCTATGGCAGTAGTCTGACCGTTCGGCCACAGCATGTGCCATGGCCACAGCGTCAGCCTACGTCTCGAACTATTCATCCATCCCCCGAGGTCCCTTGTTGGCCTCCGGCGTGGGAGCTCACTGCATCGACCCGGGATATACCCCTGGCTCTGACTTTGGCCTAACACCGTCGATCTGTCATGCATGTCGTCCAATATTGGACCTTCCAGCAACCTGGTCCAAGCACAAACATGTGTGAAGGCGTACAGTAAATGCTATCACTGGCGTTGCTGCGTTTCCAGTCCTTGCCCACTGATTCGTACATACTGTTGTTTCTACAAATACGACACCTGCATAAGTTTATCCAGATGACTGCATGTCTATCATCCTCTGTCCGTGGCAAGCGCCGGTGATGCGTCTTGACTGCATCGCAACAGCCCGACGAGCCTAGTCGGCGTCATCCAAATGAAGCCGTTCGAAACACAGATCCTTCATTCAGCTAATATCCACGGAAGCTAGCTAAACTGAATCGTCTGCCTAGCGGCGTAGACTCCCTTTAGGTTAGGCCTAGCCCTCAAAGTCACGATATCTCCACCATCTGTGGCGCATAATTCGACACGCTTTCCAAATGTGCCTGAGGGTTCCCACACAGATCGACACTGGGGTGCACCACCGGCCACCATGTGGGTCAGTGACACATCTGATATTTCAAGAGACGGATCGCCCGATGTCGCCGTCCGTCTATCCGAGTAGAAATACAAGGTATCATATCTGTTGTTGGCCCCCTGCAATTAACGGGGTACACTACCTTCGCCATCCCCCAGACACAAGTACCTTCCGGAGCCATACATCCTTTTGTTTAATCTTTAGCGTTTACTTTCACTATGCCGTCTCCTTCAGATCACCCATACGGGTCTGCCGTACCTTCCCAAAGAGCAGAGTATTTTGATAGACCTGCTGCTACCCGTCGATCCAGCGAGATCATCCCCTCTCCTACTCAAGATGTCACAGTTCCCGCACATCTGCTCCGCACTGTGGGTAAACTCGGATCGAAGCGGGACAACACACACACCACACACGCCGGTGGATGGGAGCCCTCACAAGAAAACCCATTCCTCGATCCGGAGCGGATGGGAAGCTTACGTCGCAATCACACTCAAGGCTCTGCCCACCTCGAGCGGACGGATACACAGGGCGAACGAAAGAGGCACAGCAGATTATCATGGTTCAGCAACAGTGGCAAGAGGAATTCACACATGAGTGGACTAGCATCACCCACTGAAGAAGACGAAAACCCAAGAGCCTACAGAACTCTCTCTTACATCCAGGGCGACAACGAAATTCTATCCACCCCTCGAATGAGTCGTGCTCCTTCGCGTGAGAACCTCAAGAGGAGTTCCAGCACATCCAAATGGTCTGATAGTGATCCCTTTGCGTCCAAGGCAAACTCTATCCGAAGCAATCCTTTCGCAACAGAGAACAACTCGGCCCGCACATCAGTGGACAACTTGCCCCGACAACCTGCGGCTACACACGATGGCATGCCCCAACGGAAAGGAACAGTGCGAACTATCGTTGACCGTATAGTGCCTGATGCTCTCCAGCGAAGTATGACGAATGCATCTTACTTCAAGAGAAGCGAAATGTACGGAACATATGAGAAGGCGAAGAAGAAGGGTGTTGACATCCAGCGAAAGAAGTGGGTGCAGAATACTTTCGAGGGTTCCATCTACCTGTTCTTGGTTCTTTTCGTGTACTTTGTTCTCATCGGCTTGCCTTTGTGGAAAGGCGCCGTTTGGTGGATGTACTGGGTGGTACAAACCAAGTTTGTTCTACCTGGTGGATTTGGTATTACCCTCGGAATCGCGCTATTGTGAGTTTTCTCGGCTTCTTGAACAGTATGAACTCCAAACTGACTCATCCACAGCTACGCATACGCTCCTCTTCTCATCCTCTTCGAGAAAGACCCTCCGCCTGCCGACACGAGTGGTGAAACCAAGATTCAGTCCAACGTCTCAGATACCTGCCTCATGATTCCATGCTACAAGTCTGCAGGACTCATTGCCAACACACTCGAAGCCGCTTTGAAGATCTTCCCTCCGTCTCACATCTTCGTCATCGCCAACGGAAACAGTCCCACACCGCTCGACAACACTGAAGAGGTCTGTCGCCCATATGGTGTGAACCATATTTGGTCACCTATCGGTTCCAAAATCGTTGCTCAATTCGTTGGCTGCTATGCTGCAAAGGCATTCAAGAACGTTCTGCTCATCGACGATGACTGCGCTCTCCCTGACAACTTCCCTGTCGTCACCGAACGTCTGACCGGCAGAGTAATGTGCATCGGCTACACTATCAAAAGTGTCGGCCCCAACTCATCGAAAGGAAACCTTTGCCAGCAGGCCCAGGATCTCGAGTACAAGCTCAGCGGTATTCAGCGCGAGTTTGCAGGCAAAGTCGGATCCGCCACCTTCCCTCACGGCGCCATCTCACTTTGGGACCGTGAACTTCTCGTTAAGACCTTCCATGAACACCCGGGCTTCAGCGTCTCTGAGGATTGGTTTTTTGGTCACGTCGCCCGCAAACTGGGATCGCGCATCAAGATGTGCTCGCACGTCTTTGTCGAAACGGAAACCCCGACCGCAGTCTTCATCTCCAGCGGCGGCTCGCGCGGTGGCTTCGGCGAAATGACAATTTTCAGCCAACGCTTTAAGCGATGGAACTTCTTCTTCGTCAACGGAATGTACTACAACATGGCCTACATCTTCGGTAGCTGGAAACTCGGGTGGTGGGAGGTCGGCGCAAAGATTTTCGTCTTCCAAGAAGTAAGCACCCTAACTTGACCGTTCCAATACACCAGCATGCTAACAAATTCTCCCTCTAGGTCTACGAAACTCTCCTTTACCTACTCACGCCATTCATTCTCCCCATTTCCTTTATTGTGCGTCCTTCCTTCTGTGGTTACCTCCTCGCCGCTACAATCGTCATGTACCTCATCAACGTCATCATCTTCAACGAGGTTCACCTCCGCAAGAAGAACGAGCGCGTAGGCTGGCAGCTCATGTACGTGTACTACCTACCGTACAAGATCGTCTTGACCTTTGTCAACGTCGCAAGCTGCTACTGGTCTCTCTACAAGTACGCCCGTTACTTCGCAAAGCGTCATCCCAAGGTCATCGAAGACGAAAAGGCCGTCGAGTGCGTCATCCGTCTCGAAGAGGAACAAGCTTGCGGTGTTGGTCGTCGCCTTACTGTTCGCACGGTTGGACAGAGAGGCCGTGGTAACTCTGAGGACGACGAGGTGCGTGGCTCGGCGGATCTCGATCGTGTCGACACGGGTGGTGGCATCTCGTATGCTATCATCACTGAGCCTGAACATGCGCACTCTCCTGGTCTGCATCCCCCACAGTTCACGGGTGCCAGTCGCCCGAGCAGTGAGCAGCTGAGGAGCGAGGGTGTTGTTGCGAAAGATTACTTTGCTGAGGCTGCCGAAAGGCAGAAGCGGTTGAGCCAAGTGAACGAAAAGTGCTAATCCTCCTTTGTTTTCCTGTTTGGGTTCAACCGGCGTTTCCATGCATTAGACGCATATTCTGGCGCGGGCGGAACTTCTGCGATATACCTCTTTGTATTATACATACATAATTTTCCTTTCTTCAGTAGCAAAAATTTCTGATCAGTCCGCGACAAGGTCGTGTGGGAACTTTAACCCCTTTACCTCTTTTGCATGGTGATCGTGGTGTTGTACCTAAGCTTCGGCAGTCGTATCCTTCGCATCTTCACCTGCTCTTGCCTTGCCTCCCCTACCACGACCGCCTCTACCACCTCTTCCTCCCCGTCCTCCCCTATTGCCTCTCTTGCCATCACCGATCTCAGCCTCCCACTCCTCGACATTCACAACCACCCCCTCGGGCAACTTGCCATCACTCATCAACACACCCCCATCCTTCTTCCTACTCTCCACCAGCTTGAAGAAGGTATATGACAACAGTCCGTTCTCATCCCCCTCCGTCAAAATAACGCCATTCTCCGACACGAAAAATTTGATACCAGCAGCCATGGCAGTCTCGATATCAACATAGATGAGCACAGACGAATTCTTGCGCATACCAGAGATGACAGGCGCAGCTTCCTTCTCCTCTGTAGACGCAGAGCTCGAATCGAGGGCCTTGAAGCCAGCGGGCAAGCCCGACGCAAAGTGGATATGATTCCGCCCCATACGACGCAGGCCGCCGCCCTTGAGGATAAGGTTCCACGCACGCTCATCGGTGCCGTGGACAACTGTGTCGGGGATGTTGCCGGTCTCTTTGGTGATTGGGACGAGGAGACCTTCGGAGTCGACTTTGATGGAGTGGCCTTGGTTTGCGCGGATCAGGTAGTCTGCTGGGTTGTCGGAGTCGGAGATGCTTGGGAACGGTTGTTCCGGGGCTGGCTGATCAGTGGTGTTGTCGTCGGCTGGGACTTGGTCGAGTGATGATGCGGGGATCATGGAGAAGCGCTGTTTGTCGTTGTTTGCGACTATGTCGCGGAGTTCTACGAATGTGATTCTCAGGCTCTTCAGGGCGTGGGTGTTGAGCTGTGAGAGGGTGTCAGTATGTAGTTGACTCCAATGTATTCTTTACTATAGAAGTTCATTGCAACTTTGAATTTCCGCGAGTATCCCTTGCTCTTTGATGGTACTTTCTTTCTTTTGGATGTGACCAGATAGACTTTGCAGATAATGACTTCAATCAGACTTACCGCGTCCTGCACATTGACATAGCCACCCTTGCCCAAGTTCAATCCTTCTTGACTGGCACCATGCCTCAGCAGCCAACTGATCTTTCTCGATACTTGCACTTCTCTTGGCTGATTCCCTGGGTTGCGACTACCTCCACCCCGGCCGCCTCTTGCCATGGTGTTGACTGCTCTTGTAAATAGTCGTGAAATTTTGGCGAGGTACTGCAAGATCTTCCCAGAGTCAATATGGTGTGAATGAGATTCAGTTGGGCGAATGCTTTGCTTTGGATGAATATTGAGTCACGTATGGTGGCCTTGGAAGGTGGTCTCGTCTTGGTGATGAGGTGTGCGCAAAAGGTTAGTGCGAGAAATGTGCAGCGACCCCGCAGTGATTGGACGCGCTGAGGGGCTATGATAATGTCAAAGTGACAAAACAGCCAACGTCACGAAAGTTCGACATGAAAATAGCAGAGACAGTTATTGTCTAGTATGTCTTTGATTATAAAGATTTATATATGTTCAAGTATCTAAGGTGACTATATGAATCGTTACTTGTGAAAGCGCAAAAGAGTGGACCAATCGACACGGCCCTGATATCCAAATCCACACCTACTCATACCCCTTTTCCCTCTTTTACATGTAGTACACAGTTTCGCCTATGAGCTGCAGGGGTAACCATCATACGCCAGTGATAGTATGGATGCCCACAGTCGTCCACTGGTTGTGGCTGCTTATGTTCAATGTCGTAGCAGAGCCAATCCTCCTTCATCTCTTCTCCAGGGCTGGTATTGAGTTCTCGCGCAATACGCCACAACTCTAGCTTGATCTTATCAAGCATCAGATACTGGTATCTATTCATCTGCAATACAGTGTGGGCCTCGTGCAAGCCTTTAGGTAGCTCTTCAAGAAAGGCAATACCAGAATGTACTGGGTCAACCCAAGGATTGAAATCCCCCGGAATCCAAAACTTGAGGCGGAGGATCAGCGACAGGTCCTTAAAAAGCGGAAGATCGCGCAAGAAAGCTAGTCGCTTGTCAGGAAAATGCTTCACTCTTGGGCTCCAAATTATATTCGAAGTACCGTTTGTTTCTTGCGTCCAGCTTTTGCGTTACATGCAACGTATGAACTATTGAGTCGTCAGAGCTGATGACATGGGCATGGTCTAAGCGAAGACCATGCGATCCGAGTGGCGTTCCGTGTAGTTGTAATGGCGTTTTGGGACCGTTCATACAGTAGAATTCGGTATATGGGCGGAAGTGTTGGAGACATTTGGACTACATTTATTTGTTGAGCAACATCCACGTAGGTGATCCTGTTGGTAGTTTCTCATAGTACCTGGTCCTGTACATATTACGGCGAAGATAGTTGTGTTCGTCAGTTCTTGGAGGAGGGTATACTGCTCCAATCCGCATGTTGATGTGATTGAAAGATACGCGCAGGTTGGCAAAGGTATAATCCAGAATCCGCCACCTAAGCTCGAGGGGTAAATTGAAGAACAGTGATTCTTGTTGAGCCATTTGTCCAGAGGTAGTTTTCATTGTGCCTGAAGAAGGTCATAGAAATTCCTCTAGCTCTGTTGGTGATATGACACGTTGGGCAGGTTTCTCAGATGAGCTTTTGTTCTCCATCTTTGGGTTTTGATATATGCGGCCAAGTGTCTGGAGCGCGAGGAGTAAGAACTGTAGGGAGGAGTCTGAAGAGGTACAGTAAATGAAAACGTCAGTGTACAGGACCGCACATGTGGGGCAGGCTGACAAGCTCGGCAAAGCCTAACTAACTAGTAGCTGTCGAGTCAAGACTCCGAGACAAGATATGTGTGGTCTGAGCACACGTTGTCAAAACAGTGTCTAAGCTGCGGCGAGAAACATGACGAGAAAGAACGACCCAAGGCTTCTGAATTGTAGTGATATCATGTGCAATTTATGAACTATGGTGTTGCTCGTAATATATGTGATACTATCCCGTCCAGCGCCTGATGTCGACAAGAGAAAAATCGAATAGAGCTAATTACTAACGATGGAGGACGGGTATAGGCTTGGGTAAAGACTGGTTTCTTGGTGCACTGAAATTTGGTCTAGAAAATGATTACAATGTGGACGCCCAACCCCTCAGCATGCGCAGCCCTCTTTGGGACCCTCTGTCCGCGCGCTGCCCAGGTTCACTCGCGCATCCTCCTGCCTGCCGAGGTTCGTCTGACCGCCCACACCGCGGGGTCCTTTCAGACTTGTCTCCGGAATTGCGTTCGCGATGGCTGTAAAGACGTCTGCGACATTGTGCCCGGTCTTTGCACTCGTCTCGAAGAACAGTAAACTCTCCTCATCCGCATATGACTTTGCGGTCTTGCTGGGTACTCTCCTTGAGTCGGCGCCGTCTTCTGTTGGCTCCTCGTCGCCCTCAGCGGCTGGCGCAGCATCTGCGTCTTCCGGGCTTTCCTCGCCAGCTGCAGCCGCCAAGTCGAACTTGTTTCCCACGAGCGCGATAACAATGCCCGGTGAAGCTTGGCGGTGTAATTCAGCAACCCAATGTTGGGCTTTTGTGAGGGAGGAGGGCTTGGTGATATCGTAGACTACGAGGGCGGCTTGGGCGTTACGGTAGTACATGGGTGCGAGTGAGGCGAAGCGTTCTTGACCTGCGGTATCCCAGATCTCGAACTTGATAGTCCTGGTGGGCAGATTGCATTTCTGCGTAAGGAAGGCGGCTATCGAGCTTCAGTTAGCATAGTCCCAGCCGCTGAATGGTTCCTGCAACAGAGTCGCCGCCGGGCCCGGCTTATGCACTTACCTCCAATAGTAGGCTCCTTGTTCTCTTGAAAGTCATTGTTCACGAAGCGCATGACCAGGGAAGACTTTCCGACAGCTGCCTCTCCTAGCAGCACCAGCTTGACGCTGCTGCTGGGCTTCGGTTGCGCGGATGCGTCCGCCATTGTGGAAGCGGTAGAAAAGTGCTGTCGGAGACTTATGGGATATATGCGCTAGCTTGGTTCTTTCCGGTTTGCGAGACAGTGGTTGAGAATTGTGTACACTGTGCGGGTGCGGTCAAGATTGCGACACAGGCAGCTGTGTCTGGACATGGCTGCGAGCAGTGACGAATGTACGTCACGTGAGCGGCTGACTAAGGAGTGTTGGAGTTGCACTGCCATCGCACCTCGGACCTTGCTCACCGTCACTGAGGCCGAACACATTCGCTCAAATCTCAACAAATTTCCAGTCAAAGTGAGGCAACGGATGCCTTGTTTGTTTGACACTCGCCGTAGCTTAGGCTTCTGGGCAATCGACAGCAGCACATTACTCGACATGTCACGGGTCCATGGTTCGACAGTCTCATGTAGAAACAAGTGTACGACGCTTGCAACTGTTACGTATCTGCAGCAAGAAATTGTCTTGACCGTTTCTTTTTCTCGTCGGCATGGAAGCAGATTGCGATGTTGGTGACAAGCAATCTGAAGACATTTAGTCTTGTGTCATGTCCCAGTGACACCAAGGCTGCCCACGTCATGATGAATGATGGATTGTAGTTATGTTACTTGTGCTGTTGTGACATTGATTTTTTTTTATTAAAATCACGACTGACGTCACACGAGTGATATGAAACTTGCTTTGTTTGGCTTCAGACTGGCAAGTTGCACGTGCTAGTGACAAGCTCAGCCACGGTGGACAAGGCGGAGGTTTCGGCCGCGGTGGATCTTTCTCCTCTTTGTCCGTCGGGCAGGGTTCCGGGCCGAGTGGGAAACACGGTGGCAGTTAGGGTACTAGTTGATGAAAGATGGGATGCAAATGTATACATTCGCGCGTCTCTACCCCTCAGTCAGGTGTGCAATCTGTCAGTGGGAGGAAATCCAGTGCCATGGCACTCCCGAATCGGCAGGCGCGAAATTGAACCCCTCTTGCACGACGTGCATATGAATAAAGACACGACTGGACGCTGGAGTTACGTACAGTGTACTGCTTCCCCACAACAAAGCCGGCTCGGGATCCAGACTGTGTGAGTGGTTCTTTGATTGGATGCCAATACAACCGGATCGTATCCGACATGTGTTGGCTATGGCATTGTCCTCACCGGAGCCATCGCATTCGCAAGCAGCCAACCGCAACTGCAACCGCGATTGTGGCGCTCCATGTACCCCTGCGACAGGCCGCGATCTCGACCTTGTTGATCGTGGCCGATCCCGACAGCTACATATTACGACGGCAGTGGTCCAGCCATGAGTTGCAGTGCAGCAAAGGAGCGGCTTTTTTGGACGGCTGTCAGGTCGTCATGTGTCGCTCAATGTGTGGTGCGTCTTACAGGCAGCGCCCCCACAGGAGCGAATAGCGAGACTGGGGGGCTCGCCTGCGCGATAATGTGCAGCACAGACGCCCGGCCGTCGACCGATCGCGATTGCGCCAAGCGTCTGTCTCGCTATCCGAAGGCGTTGGGAAATGGCCTCTAGTCTCTACTTCGGTGTCTGACAAAGTTGCAACCAAAGCGATGCGTGTCGCAGACGAGCATGGCGCAAACACATGTTGGCGGCCGATGATCTTTGTGTAGCGCAGGGCCAGACACAGCAGCGATCGGCTCTTGGTTAGCCACAAGTCTCCAGACGCGCTCGGTTCCCCGTGTCCTTGATCCGCCCGAACCGGACTGGTCCAAGCGGCTATGGCAGCGATCGGCGTTACCCATTGCGGTACATGGTGTCCTGACATGAATTCATGCTCGAATCACAGAAGCGGGGACGCACAAGAGGCGGTCCACTCTGAACGGTGCCTCGATAAGCTGGGTTGGGCCAGGAACAAAAAAAGGTTCCTGGATTCCTGCATGGCCATGGAAGGTGGAAGAGAGGGAGGCAGAGTCAGAGGCTGGTGGGCAGAGGCCGCGTGTAGGAGCGCTGAAACACGCAATCAGAGGGTGAGGGAATGGCCGCGTCCCATCACTTCCACGGACCAGCGCGGCTTTAATAGAAAGTGGCAGAGGGGGCCTCGTCGCAGTCGCTCGCGTCAGCCACTACAAACTGTCTTGCCGGGTACCTCGAGAGGAGGCGGCCGGGGGGTCAAGTTATCAGTCACGTTGGTCGGGCTGAGGGCTGTGAAGCGTCCGGCTGACCCCAGATGCCGCGTGCCATGTTTGCGACCAAACAATAAAAAGTTGCTGCATGTGTAATTGTTGCAACAATCTCCATCGTCCCCTACCTTAGCTACGACTGCTATCGCGTCTGAAACTGGGCATATTGGCCGCATTTCTCAGGCTGCGCAATCGAGACTCTCCGTTGGACACAGTAACTCAATATCAGAAGCTCGGGCGTCCCCCCACTTGTCGAATAGCATTCCGGGACCTGTCCACACGCTTTATTTTTGAACGAAGCCGAAGCCAAAAGCGCCTGTCCAGCTAGCAGACGCCTCTTCGCACACATCCGCTGATAATTATTTCTACACGCCCACGCCCACGCCCGGCGCTGCCCTGCATTTGCCCTGTAGCCCCGACGACTCGTAGGCTGTGCAACAAATCCGCGGCGCCCTGCTGACGAAGCTGGGAGAACAAAGCAAACACCCGAGGTCGGCGAGACTTTTTTTAAACCAACATGACTGTCCTCAAGGTACCTACAACACACTGCCGACGCGGCAATTGCAGCTCTTGGATTGCGCTGACCATATTCGACCTGCAAGGAACCCATCAACGTCCGACCTGCCAGCCAGCAACGGCACTCGTCCAGCACCATGGCCGGCTCGCTACCCAAGAACCGGCCGCACTCGCACTCGATATCGGCCGCCAGCCTCAACCCGGCGCATCGCGTCACCCGCAGGAAGAGCATGAGCCAGACGCCCGTCAGCAATGTCGCCGCTCTGGCTGCTGCGGCCAAGGGCATATCGGGGGCTCCGCTGGAGGCTGGCAGTAGTAGCAGCAGTAGCAACGGACCGCGCCGCTCGTCGAAGCCGGCCTCGCAGTTCCGGGGGCCGGGCATGGCACTCAACTCAGCGGCCATGGCCTCGAGCATGCCAGGTAATGGTGCGCATACGCAGTTTGGCCCCAGTAGCTACGGCGCGGCGGCGGCCAAGAGCGAGGCCCTCACCGACGGACCCTCGCTGGCGACGATGCTGGAGCAGGACAAGGCCGGCTCCAAGTCGCGGAATCGTCGCGCCAGCGAGGGCTCTCGCCTGTCAAAGGCCGACGCCAGCAAGCGAAGTGGTAGCGATCTGAGATGTGAAAAATGTGGGAAAGGCTACAAGCATAGCAGCTGTCTGACCAAGCACCTGTTAGTCACCCTTTGCCAACAACCATGGCCCTCCCACATACTTTCATGCCTCATGACGAATGCCCTTTCCTCACTTGCACGCATACACAAATTGCAATGCTTCTCTCACGTTCTGCGTTGACTTTTGTTCTAGTTGGGAGCACACGCCAGAGTGGCAGTACACGTCTAAGCTGCTCATCTCAAAGCACCAGCAGGTGCAGCTGCTCGAGGCCGCCTCGGTCCTCGTCGCCATGAACAAGGAGAGCGACGGCGAGCACAGCGACCGCTCCTCTCCCCCGGCTTCCGGCTCGTCTGACCTGCGTGAGGAGTTGAGCTCCACTGAAACTACCCCGCCCCCGCAACTCGATGACCATGACCATGCCGTGGGCTCCTTCCCTCACTCGCACTTTGGCTCCCGCTCCGCCAAGCGCTACTCCACAAACAGCTCCGCATACAGCCAGTCGTACCAGTCCACCGTCTTCTCCGACCACGGCAACAGCCACCACCACAACAACAACGGCGGCCACTTCCGTCAATGGAGTAATGTGTCTGACCGTCCCACCACTTCAGGCACCTCGGTTGCCGGCTCCTATCACGACGACGGTAATGACCATGCTGACCTCGCTGCTGCCGTCGGCCTGCTGAGCTGCTCTTACGGCACCCCCAAGACGGGTCCTGTCGCACTGCCGCCGGACGTGCCTCCCGTGCCACCGCTGCCGGCCAAGTTCCTCGACTTCCACACGCGCTCCTTGTCTGGCAGCACCACGGTCACGGCGCAGCAGTCAAGCATGCGCAACAGCTACCGCTACCACAGCGAGAGCAAAGATGTCGACATGGATGACGACCACTTCGCCGACGAAGAGGACTACCGCTATTCAAACTCGCGCAGCACCGGCCGCATCGACGAGGACGACGACGAAATCTTTGGAAGAATGGAGGAGTAGTTCCGCGTTCCGCGCTCGACATGCCCTTCACGACCATTTCGATCCCATCTCTCTTGCCTTGATCTTTGCCACAAATCTCATTCTGTACCACAACAACAAAACATGAGCCAATCAGCCATGTCCATCTCCGCAAAAGATGCAGCCTGGACACCGATGAGAGGGTCTTTAGCTCCCGTGCTGTCGACACCCTTGAGGTTGAAGTGCAGGTTCAACTCCGAATTGGTTATCTTTTTTGCGTCGAGAGCCTGGCAATACCTCGATTATTCATACAAGCCAGAGTTTTTTTTTGGTCTTGATTTTTCATCTCTTTCGCCGACAACTCTCTTCACATTTCAGCCTATTTCAAACAGAAACTCATATAACTTTGACAACAACAACACTTTTTCGACAGCGGGGTTTACTTGGGATGCGCTGGCTAGCGCAGCCTGAGGGGGAGACAAGATTCATGTGCGTGTGCGTGTATGTTGAGCCACCTCCGTGTATATTCGGCAGGACTGAGGGGTGGTGGGGGGACATGCATGAACAGTAGTAGTGGGGAGAATGTTAGGATAAGTTTGCGAGAAAGTAGAGATTGAATGCGCAAAACACACACATTTCAATCACAAAGAGGAAACAAACCTGCGTCCTTTGCCGTGAGGTTTGACATGAGGGGGAGGGCGGTGAGGGAGCAGCGGTCCTTTTGCACGATTCCAAAGAACGGCCGAAAGGTTGATAACGGCGCGGATGAATGCTGCCTTACCTTCCCTCCTGCTTCCCTTCCCCTCTTACTGTGGCCAGCAACGGCTAGGCTTGCTAGCTTCTTCGGTGAAGCATCGTGATTCGGGGAATGCGGGCACCTGGCATCGGACTAATGCTGTCTAGCGCCTGGTCGAGCTGAAAAGGGCGCTGCGGAAGCGATGGCAGGCAGTGTTGCATGTGCAGAAGCGCAAGAGGCGAAGCAATGCGACATCGAGGTGAGGAGTTTACATGGGAAGCGTCGATGTTGGTGTTGTTGTATCGTAGCAGGTAGTCGCCATGATAGTGGAGTTCGGAAAGCCGTGAAGTTCATGTGACACGACGAAGCTTTTCATCCACGCACCATACGGACGTAACAAGCCAACAACAGCAAGAAGAGGAGAAAACAAACACAGGCAATACACAGCCTACCTTAGCCAGCCCTCTTTATATACGCTCCCCCCACTGCTGGGGCATAAGCTCGAGTGGACCCCCGTTGAAAAAAAAACAGAGCACCTGCAGCTGACGTACCCCCCATTCATCTAAGACTCGAGCCTACATACGTACCTTCTCTCCCTTACCTAGATTCTGCTAAAAGGCGCTTAGATCGACGGTTGATCTGCGCAAAATTGACGCATGTCATAAGGTGTTTTGTGGGGCTGGGAGACGTGGGAGCGGGCGGGCTGGTTTGCGAACGCGAATGAGGCGCAAGGTGCTCGTGTGCTGCGGGTTTGGTTGGTGTTTGAGGTGGAGATTGGGATCTTCATGGTACGTATGTAGGTGTACTGTACGTACATGTCGTGGGCGCGTATGTACGGGAGAAGGGGATCATGCTGGGTGGTGGTTGAGGCGGAGCGGGTTGGGGGTTCGTATGGCGGGTACATGGGCGGGTGAGATGTTTGGAGGGGGGCTGGTGACGATGCTTTATGGGGGAGGTACGTGGTGGGAGGCTGTTCGTTTGGGAAGGTACGGCGGTGGATAATGTTGTTGCCCGTCATCGGAGGGGCAGTCACGCGGACGTCGAGGGGAGGCGGGATGGTGTTTATGCGTATGATGTAGTAGTTGCAAAAGCTTTGCGCTATGTGTTTCATGGGTGCCGAGTAATCATGTTCATATTGTGATAGCACGTGTTGTACGGTACATGGGTACATGGGTTTCCAAGATTCGCTGCAATCAAGGCCGGTCTTGCTGGCGGTTGCGATTATCAATGAAGAATTGCCATGTGAGGTATTCGTTGCATACTGCTTAACGGTTTCTTGGCCTGTTGATAGAGGCAATGCCTTGTGGAAGTTCCGTTGCGTACCAATATGCAAGTCTTTGCGTCCATGGTATACGCTCAAACACGACTTGTCATACGCACGGTCAATCGCTCATAGACGGAGACATCTCACTTTGTATATACAAACTATAGTCTGTTTGTGATACAAAAGAAAGCGCCCACCTCGTCATACCTGGTGCCCAGCAACATGGCGTCACTCGACCCTAGGGATCTGTGCGGCCCTTCCGCGCCGGTCTTACTCGGACACGCACCAAGCCATGGCTGTCACGACGACGACAATCTCGACACATGCCAGACAACTCAATGCCCTCCGACGAGCGCTGACCACTTGCCCCAATGCACCCGGCCGTCTCCATACTTGCCGATAATGTCGTCGCTCCACTGCTCTTCAGCGTCCTGGCAGCCGTCGGACACGTGCACACGCCTGCACAACACTCGCTCCTCATCACGACGATATCATGGCTAATTGTATGGGTGCCGACAGTCTTCTGGGTGGGCATATATTCAAACAGTAGCAGGCCAAAGAGAAAGACGAGCTGGCTGGCTGGCGCACTGCTGGCCCTGTCCGCCATATGCGACCGCGCGGCATGCGACAAGCACGGCATTGGGGCGACAAAGGTAGCTTAGACAGGGCGGATGGGTATAGGGGACAGCATAGTAACGTGACTACAGGCTTTTCTTCCCTTCTTCGCCGTCCTCTTCTCCGAGAGTGAACTCCTCGCCAAGCATCTCGCATTACCTACCCACGCCGTGCCCGATAGTCCTGCGGTCGAGTCCAAGACACTCTTGGACCGACGAAGCCATACCGATTCATATGGTACGCTGGCAGTACTAACCGTCGCTGCGAGTGCTGCGCTCGGCATTTACACTCTGTCCAGCACGTTTGTCATTGGGCTGAGCAGCGCCATATTTGCGGCCGCCGGGCTGGTCATACTCGAGTCCACGATAAGAGCGACAGGGGAAGAGGGCGAGGGTAGCAGACGCGGACTTGTGTCTGCCAATGGGTCCATTGCGCGGCGTGCCTCGGTGAGCGTCACCCAGAGGACACAGCGACTGGCTGTGCTGAGAGATGTCGCCATGGCTACTGCGGCCGTTTGTGGTGCTGCCTGCCTTCTCATGGAGCCATCATTGACTGCCAGCTCCATTTCTTGGGAGCCTGTATATTCACAGTATGACCGTGAGTGGAGAGACGTGCATAATTTCCGCATTCTGCAGCGTTTTCTTTGGATGTTGCCAGTGAACGCTATTGTAAATCTTCTTACATTCATCATGGTACGTACTCTCCATACCGTCTGTCACTTTGGCCTTCACAACCTCGTGTTTGAGACATTCACTCCACTAGTGCCCGTTGCTGGTTTGGTCTTGTCTAACTGCTTTATAGATCTTCAAGTTTGGCGCTGTAGCTACAACTCTGTTGACTGTATTTTCGCACATCGGTGCAAAACTGCACTCGGTCCTGACCTTTTCGTTTGTCCTTTTCACCCTTATATACGACTCCGCAGCGCTACTCTACTTTTTCGAATCGCCATATTCGTCGATAACTATAGACTTGCGACACTCCAAGCGGTTAAGATTGGTCGTCATAGTCGTCACTGTCTTAGCAATGGGATCTTTGCTATTTGGCCGCTTCAATACAAGCCAAATCAGGCTTGATGGTTCCGCTACCTCATTCCCTGTCAATCCTCCTCAGTCATTGCTCGCCCCAGTACCCATTGATCTGAGCAAGGGACATCCGGCCGCTCAACTGATCGCTGCGGCTGAAGCAGACTTCCAAAATACTCTCAAGCGGCAATCAAAGTCTTTGGGCGAAGCAGTTCAAGAATATCGCCGCCGGAACGGAATATCGCCGCCTCCACATTTTGATAAATGGTACGAATTTGCTAGACGAAATAATGTCATCATGATCGACGAGTACGATACCATCAACGAGATGCTGTTGCCATTCTGGGCGCTCAAGCCGGCAACTATTCGTTCACGTATTGCAAGTGCCCTAGGCCATGAAGATAGTGCACTTCTTGCGGTCGCGGTGCGCCATGGGGCAGTAGAGAACTTCCAGGGCGGGGAAGAGTGGCAACAACAAGCTACCATTGGTATGATGAAGCCGTTCGTACAGTATCTACCCGACATGGACCTGGGCTTCAACATGCACGACGAGCCACGGGTCGTTGTGCCTAACGATCTCCTGGCGTCTATGGTAGCCAAAGCCCGGGATGAGACTCTTCCGCGCGCTGCGAAAAACACTGCGCCTCGCAACGCCTTCTCGAATCGTCCCGACGATATGAACGACGGGACACGTTTCATTGAATCGAGCACGACCAAGTTTAATCGCTTCGCGCATCAACAGACATGGACGCATTCACGGCTGTCATGCTCTGCCAATACACAAGCTCAGACATTCGAAGACTATGCTGCTGACAACCTTACTGCATATGCCACGAGCGAGCTTGGGTTCATCTACAACACGACGGCCTTTTCTGATATCTGCAATTCACCTTCGCTTTCCTCAACGTATGGGTTTTTTGAGCGCCCGAACGCCTTCAGTATCATCCACGAACTCACGCCCATCTTTTCGCAGTCTAAGATCTCCAGCTTCCAGGACATCTTGTATCCTAGCCCTTGGTACTGGATTGGTAAAGTAGGCTATGATGAAGCGCACGACACGACCTGGGAGAACAAGACGAACAGTCTGTACTGGCGCGGCTCCACAACGGGTGGCTTCAGTCGCAACGGCGGATGGCGACGCCAGCACCGCCAACGTGTTGTCCAACGGATCAACGCGCCCGATACCGCTCAAATCCTTGAGCCAGTAGCCGCAGCACCAAATGCAAAGCCAGCTACCACAAAATACAAAGTCACCGACGTCGATCGCAAAGCGCTCCGAAACCTCATCGACGTCCATTTCTCCCACGTCGGCCAATGCGACCCTGGAGATTGTGATGCGCAAAAAGAATTCTTCAAAGTTACAGAGCGTGTCGATGGCCAGGACGCGTGGTATTACAAGCACCTACTCGACATGGACGGCAATGCCTTCTCCGGCCGTTTCTACAGTTTTCTCAAAAGCCGTAGTTTAACCTACAAAATGGCCCTCTTCCGAGAATGGCATACTGAATGGCTCAAACCCTGGGTCCACTATATTCCGCTAAGTCTCCGCGGCGACGAGCATTTAGATCTTGTGCGCTGGTTCAGCGGCACGCACGTCTTTGATGACGACGAGGATGGGAAGAAGGACAGAAGCGATGCTGATGGTGGGAAAGGAGGTAACGGACAGAGTGAGGGGGAAAGAAAGGCTAGACTCATCGCGGAGAGAAGTACCGAATGGCATGATAGGGTGCTGCGGAATGTGGATTTCGAGGCGTGGTTTTTTAGGTTGTTGTTGGAATATGGGAGAGTGGTTGATGATAAGAGGGAGGAGATTGGGTATCCGGGGCCGTGAGTGTGTTGTATGTTTTCTTTGGATTAGCTTGGTATGGGTTGAATCGAATCGAATCGAATCGCATTTAAAATGTTTTGTTTGAATTTTCTGTGCCCTCCTCTGGTCACCATACCCTGAAGGCGGTCAATTTATGCAAATGGGCTTACACTGTTGCTACATATCGTACGATTCCATCGGCCGTTTGGCTGACAACGCATCATTGCGGCCTATAGTTGCCCCAAATATCATGCTCTAACATTACAAAAATTTCCCATATCATACATAGATATATACACATGTTATTGTTGCTATGGGGTTGTCGTATATCAGGTATTGTTGGATCACGTCAGCGTTGTTCTTGATCAACCAATTGTTGGTGGCTCGGGAAGTTGGTTATGAGACTGAGAGAGTTACCAGAGAACTGTCCCTTTTCTTCTACTTCACAGTCCGACATACCTAGAGATGGTGAAAGCGCTTCATCTCAACATCACCTAGACCAAGAACGAGTGGTAAATTCATAGTAGTGAAGGGATCACGGAGCTCTCTTCGTACATAATCCACTTTCTCGTCGTTTAATCTTGCCACGTGCGCATCTTATACGAAAGTCTCCGCCGCTAATTTCTTACAGCATATTCAATGGTGTCCGAAAGAAGGACATGAGATGAGACATAAATAAGTCGATAGGAAGGTAAACTCCAATACCTCCATCAAGAACCATCATCACACATCTGCAAACAACACCATCATGCACATTCTCTCCCAACTCTCCATCTTCCTGTATGCGGCATCGCTTGTCTCAGCAGGATGCTCAGTTTGTCCTGCAACCTCGTACGTCTACCCTCTACACGCCACAGTATCCACGTCGATCCATTCGTCTTACTATCCCAATCTCTCTCAACAGTGGAAGATGTACTGCGGAAGATGGATCAGGGTGTAGGGAAGTCACGGTCAAGTTCGATTGGCTTTTTGTGCGAAACTACTGCTGTCGGGATGCTGAGCATAATTATGACGGTAAGACCAAAGTTGTTCACAATAAGAAGAACTGGCAGTGACAAGTATATAGTGGGTCTATTGGGCTGGCACATCTAATCTATGAAACCTTGGTCTGACAGAGTTCGCTACCGGCCATGAAAGTAGGGTAGTTTAACTAGCAGCACCGTATAATTCAAGTCACGATTACTGCTGAATGTATGAGAGAAAGGGGTTCAAGAGAAGATGTATTGTTGCATTACATATCTGGTGGAAACGCTTTCTCTGTCTAGTAAATGTATCTATAATAATCATTGTTGCCAACCACAGCACATCACTACAGAGAAATTCAGGATACAGCTGGATTATTTGCCACGATATATATTCACTCAAATCCATATTATTCGACTTCACTCTATAGAGAATAGTCTCAAGGTACTGGGTCGTTGGATAAAGAACGAGAATTTTGCTTCTTACCCAAGTATCGCTCGAAAACGATACTTTGCGTAGCCTACGTACTTCAATAAAATTTAAGATATAAATAGAGGCCGATATCCTACCATGTCGCTTGCTAGTTTTCCGACGAGAAACTAGCATAGTTTAATAAACATGAATTACCTGTCTTTTCCCGTCATTTTCCTATTGGAATTGGTTCTATCGCTGGACTACAGTTCATGCATGGTTACTACAAGCACAGAAGACTCACAAGCGGAAACGGTAACCACTCTATGATGCCCTGCCCTGGGCTTTACGCTCCTTATTCATCCCGTTTCACTCAATAGATGATCCATTCATGTAAGTGAAATCGTATCATATTTTCCAAATCCTGCTCGTGTACTGTCAATAAAGAGCTTACTTCAGCGGTTACCCCACCGTCATCCCACCCTTCAGTCCATTTGTAGGCAACGCAGCGAAGGCCACCCCACGATAAACCTTAATAAGTTGACAGCCCGCCCAACGGTATCACCCACAAGGAAGAAATTCAGCTAGCTCTATGCTCCCCTCCCTCGTATCGACGGTTCGGCTTTACATACCCACATCGGCTGAATAACAGCACGTGGGGCGAGAACGTTTGTTTGACGCGGACCCCTAGTCGTTAGGCCAGCCATCCCATCGGTCCGATTATTGTACAGGTTATCGCGGCGAGTGGCGAGTATCCGAAGCCGGCGTTTGCACGTGCGAGGATATGAATTTGCAGACGTGAGTAATCCGTGAGTAATAGCAAGTTTATTGAGACATGACTCGTTGGTGTCTCGGTATAGATGCCGTGGTCTACCGACCCTAGAGAGGTTCTGAATTGATGTCACCACTGGCGTGATAATGTGGGACTCATGGTTTCTCTATGGCGTTGTGGGTCTAGAGACCCCGACTGGGTGACATTTTGGTGACATTTGATCAACTTTGTCATGTCCAATCGTATCATGTCGGAGTATTGAATGCGCCTTACAGCTGCAACCCAAGCGCGCGGTTCTTGCTCTTCACCGGCTTCTCAGACCACAGGGACGGATGATCGCGCGCTGACATGTTAAATCCGTTGCCGCTGGATGACAGCAGAGAAGCATCGTCGCGCTAGTCTGACTTCGATGATGGGAGCGCATATACATTACAATGTGCAATGGACTTGTATCATGGATCAAGGTAAAAGAGAACAGGGGCGGTTACGTTGAAACATCTTGCTTGGTCTGGTTTTCGCTATGAAGACATGGGTGTCGCGGGTATGGCAATTTCGACGTTTGATAACACCCATCCCTGCTATTATCTTCAACCGGGTACCTGCAGGGTTGGGGATGAAACAATTCCAAAACCTTGATTTGCACTTTGAAAATGTAACATCGTTTGCCGCTCCGGTATGCTTTTGCAACTGTACCGAAGGCATCGAATCTGGACCGATACACAGTGCGTTGATGAGACGTGCTCGCAGTCTGGACGGACTACTGGTTATGGGATCCTCCGCGTCGCTTGACAATACTCAACCCCATGCAATGAAATCCACTCTTTTCAGTTTGAACGATATTCCGTAGCTGTCTTTGAGGTCGCGTTCAGATGTAACCCAGGGTTGTCACTGCCAGAATTACCCAAGCCCAGAAGTTTAATCTAACATATGAATGCGAATAAGAATAATGGAAACGAAGAAGGCTGTTAGACTGTCACCCTGCCTCCGGTAGCCTCGACTAGAGAGGAAACGTCTTCCTTAAGTTCTGGGATGGCGCTAGAGACTTGCCGCGCGAGTTGTTCCTGCAACATGCGGTATGCGTCGACTCGGCCGTTTAGCATTTGATTCATTCTTTGCACAGTCTCAACAAATTCGCGGGTGAAGATATCGGGGTTCCTCGAGTTTTCAACATAACTCATGACCTCCGGTGGGATATTGATCTGTATCGAAGGAGCCGTTCGCGACAGTTGTACTAGGTTCTGGACGAGGACTTGGCTGTGAGTCGGTTAATCTATCTGACCATGCAGGGCTTTTCGACAGTCCACATACATCTCACGCTTCATGGCCTCTTGTGTCTTACTGCCATGGTGATCGTACGCTTGCACGATAAGGTTGTAGAGGTTCTGCACAATGTCTTTTAGTTGCGCTTCCACGGTCACTATCGCCACTGTAGAAATCGTGAGTATAACCCCAATAACGCGTATAGTAGCCCACCTTCAGGATCTATCGTGGCCATGCTGATGCTAGAAGTTTGCCGTTCTGTGAGGTTTGGTGATTCCTGATGTTGATGCGAGGTGAGGGCGCGCTACTAACGCGCCGCCAAGCTTCGGCTGTACTTACTTGACTATTGCCGGCTTTCTGTCGTCATCGCTCTCACCTTACCATATCTTTCCACACAACTCTCATCTAGACGGCACCTCCGCGCGCTATCACGTGTTATAGAAATCATCGAATTTCGGCGATAATGAGCATCAGTCTGCGATGACGGAGAGCACGCATCGGGATGTCGAAGGCCCTCCTTACGCGAGCCACCAAGCCTCCAATCTTCGGCATCGTCTACCTAGAGTCCCCGGGAGCACTCGCTACCCCTTCTCGTGCACGAGTGCACTCGAAATGTGAGACGCAGAGCTCACTAGACACACTCGATAAAGCGACGCAGCGTCATCGACGCACGCTCTGTTCTCACAATGTGCTACTTGGTAACGGCGAGAAGGGACGCAGTACGCCACGCCCTATTGGAGACATGCTACCACCCCTGACAAGCTCAAATGAGGTCGATCTCCAGTTGTACGGTATCATTTCTGTAATCATAAAGGAGTTCGTACAGACGTGGTACACGAAGATCACACCAGATCAAGTATTTGTCAATGAAGTAATTCAGATCATCGCCCACTGTACGCGAGGTCTCGAACAACGCCTCCGGAAGGTTGATTTGGAAGCACTATTGCTAGACGAGATCCCTGAGCTACTCCAGGCGCATCTGAGCTGTAGGTGATTCCGACCCTGGACTATCGCATGGAGGGTGTCTAATTGCGCTCTGGTCAGCATTTCGCCTGGCGATGCATCAAGCCGCCTCATCCACTTCACTAGCATCGGATCCTCGCACGATTTATCACGCACTCCACCCGCACCCTGCACTCTCTCCTGTCCCTACCGATCTCGTGCCGTCAACAGTTTTTGAGCAACGGGAAAGCGAGTCCGCGTGGCGCCAGTTGCTGGTCCACGGCGTGTTAGCTCTCTTGTTACCAACAGAGGATCTGGAAAACGGTTGCCTTCGCACGCTAGTTGCCGAAATCTTTGCAGAGATGATCCTTGGAAATGGCATCAGTGGCAAAGCATGTGAAGGCTGGGTGTTATGGGAAGGTATTACAAGAATAGGTGAGGTCCTACAGACCGATGCTCCTAAAGAGGTGGACTCCCAATCAGAAGATGCCAGTACAGAGCAGTCATTGACACGTCTAGAGCGTTACGGTCTTCTGCCGCATGAAGGGTCAGACGTCAGATCGAAAGAGCAACTGGACATCGGTCAGCCTTGTCATCAGACTACGACCGGATACACTTCGGGGCTATTCTGGACTGTTGTCCAATACGCATTTCTGGCGTTTACTGCGGCGCGTGCAGTGATCTTCAGTCTTGCGACATCATCTTCCCTTCCGTCCAGATCTGCCATAAGCGAACAGTCATCGGTGGAGATGTCTGGCCAATCTAAAATGCCGCACGCAGACACTACGGCATCCAGGCGCCCGTTGGGAGCCAAACGGCCTGTAGTCAACATGGCTTTGTGGAGTTGTGCAGCACAGTTTGCTGAGCTAGATGTCCGCATGCCTTGGCTGTTGGGCTTCATCTCCATGCTCCATCATGGAGCGTTGGTCGGTCCAGGTAGTGTGGGTGATACTGATGGCGTATTGGACAGGTAAGTTTTGATAATATTTCCATCTTGACATCCTTTCTCTGGTTGGCTAGGCTGGCATGCTCTGTGGGTCTGTGCGACCTAGGATGATATAGCTCCGCATACGGTTTCAGTCACTTGACTTCGCTTCAGCGAATGCGACGGCCCGCTGGCTTACACACCGGAATACCCTTGTTGTGGCGCATCATCTTATGCAAGCCTCGGCACCCGTTCCGGGCGGCAACTCGACACGTTTCGGACAAGGGGGCTTGGCGTGGTTAGCCCCTCACTTCTGTCAACACCACGATCGACCACACGATGCTTGCATCACGACCCGGCGAATCCTATAGGGTACCTTCTCGTTACTGTTAGCGGAAGTGCACTACAGTATGAGCCTAGGGTGTTGCGCAGCCTGAGCCGTCTTATCATGATACCAGCATCCCTAGTAGGGTCGCTTACGCGCCGGTTGATCTGCCTACACCCATCTGTCCATCTCGGGACTGGCCGCACTAAAGGTCAAAGTACGACATTGGCCACGAATCTCGACCTTGCCCCGGTGAGCGCCAACAGCTGATGGCGCCTCATTCCTCGGCCTTGCTCAATCTAGCGGCCTGCAACTCTGCTGCGGTCATCTCGTCTTCCTATTGACGATCGCAGCAAGCATGCACTCCTCCGGCTCAGCACGGCATAGTTTGTTTGATCAGTGCGTTGAAACATTGGACGAATGATAATGTGTCCGAATGCTTGGGGCGGTCTGGATCTTTTCAACACCACGACATGCATGCTGCGTTGAGCTGAGCAGTCAATCTCGCTTGACGTGGGCATGCGCCTCACTTTGCGGACCACATCAGTATTCATATCCACTGTTGTTCAACTCATTGGTTATGTGCACTATGGCCTCCGCTATGTCCGATCACCAGTTGACGGTCCCGCGGACTGCTTTATCCATCGAAGCCTAAGATAATCGCACTGGGTTCATGCTGCACCAATGGGGTTTCTTCGTCATGCCTCTCGTTTGCTGACCATTTGCAACTGCAGATTCCTTTCGCATACTATCCACACGAGGATCCTGAACCCCGCTTTCCTTCCGGTGGCGCTTCGCACACTTCGCGCGACACTCTTTCCTAGCAATACGCTTGGGCCCCCACGAGAGATGCCAACCGATGAAGAGGCTAAGGTGATCAAGCACCGGTGTGCCGCTACACTACTGGACTTGGTACCATCTAAAGTAGCGGCAGGTTTCTTCGCGAGTTCCGAACACGAAGACCAAGTTCGACAAATAGAAGATATTCTAAGCTGCCTCGATGACACCTACCTCAACAAGCATTTTGTCTTCCAGGTTGTCGAGCTGATTGTTCTGCGCCTGTTTCCGGAACTGGGTGATCAAGGCGTCAAGGATCTACTAGAAGAACGCATTAGTTAAGAATCAAATCCTATCGTCATAAGCTTGCGGGAGATCTCAGTGGTTTGTGGGGGCTTGGTTTCATTCACAGTCCGTACACATCGGCTTTCACCGCTAAATGCGCGAACTACTGGGCACGGTCCGTTGCGCAAAGCCATCACTCGCTCTACTCACGACCGGAGCTCGATCCCAAGCTCCTCAATCGCATACATGCTTCCACTCGTGGCTCGAAACTGTCATGCAGCAGCACTAAAAGCGAAAAATCTGGCTGCATAATGTACTTCCATGTATTACCAACTCATCGCGCGTCCGATAGCAACAAGTGTGGTGGACAAGGTACACCGCTGGTCCCGAAAAGAGGGGTATGGACCAATGAAAAAATTCAAATGGAAAATTGTTGAGGCACATGGCGTCCGGAGTCAGGGTTGACTGCATGCCAGAGCGAGCACCTGACTATTCGGGGTACTGCCGAAACGGAAACTACAGAAAAAAGTACCACGAGATACCCCGCAATGCACAATCTCCTATCGAACCATCATATGCAGATGGTCGGCGAATCCTTCAGCTGTAGGAGAGTATCTAGGTCATGGGAAAGTCGTCCCTTGGACAGCAGCTTGTCTAAGCTGCATGTTAATCGCTCGGATAACCCGACGGTCCGTGTCCTACAATGTGCATACAGCCGGTAGCCCACAAAGATGGGCATTGGACGACGAGCGCTGAACTTCACCATGACACACTCGCAAATTGACAAGAATACGAGAATTCAAGTGCCTAACTCCGCTATTGGGGTTCTCGATTCACAATGCAGTACCACACCGCGATGATCCTCGGCAGTGACAAGGAGCAGCATACATACATACGATGTACCTACCTAGGTAGCGTTCCAAACTCCACCGCACTTTCACGTGTCTTTAACCAGCTTTCCGTAGCCCCGCCCTTCCTGCGTTCATGCCCCACCACGCGAAATGGGTCCGAAAAGAAACTTGGATCGGAACGCCGCTCGGCGGGCGCCGACTAAGACTCAAATCACCATCAACATTGCCACCACGAGCCCCATCTTGGCTGCGTCGCGCGAACTCCTCTTGTCTCAACACAAGCTCAGCCTCATTTAGGCGACGTTTCAATCGTTTATAGGTAATAGACAATTTAGCAGAAGCGATGGTGGGCCGGGAGGTTTAACGTTTCAAAAGGCTACCCCGCATGCACCTACAGCTCACAGCCATCTATCTCTTATCGCTTTTGCAAGGATCACGGTACCTGACTTCATGTTCGTGGATAGCCTAGCGCAGTCAAAATGTTTCAGGGCGTTTGCTTTGGGTCGGGCAGCAAGTGTGTGAGGCGAAACGAGGCTCAAGGCAGACTGCTCTGCGGTGCGGCACAGCTCTTTCGCATATGGGTTTCCCTTCTTTCCGATCCTATCGAATAACGCGCGCTTTGAGGGCGCGTGCGTAAAACTCTGGTCGCCTCCATGGTCGCTTCTCGAGACGCCACCAAAGCGATGTTGACGTACAGAATGACTCGGCTACCTGGATAACCGTTGAAACCTTAATCCGTTTACCTTGGAAATCAGGCCAGGAACCCCCACCCAGGCAGGCTTGCGACGCCGTGAAATACGCAAGCAACGATGTCATGACCCTGGAAGCGCCTCACAAGATGCGACATTGCCTGTTCCTGAGCGGCACGAGGTCCAGGGCAAGGACAAACCCGGTAGTAGTTGCGATACCCTAGCATGAACGGTCCAGCATCTACCATGCTGTGGTATTAACCGAGTGATAGGGGTTGCAGTGGGCAGCAGCACTTTCTCAATCGAACCATGTTTCAACCGGTTAAGGGCTTAAAATGTCTATTGATGGTCTACCACGGGGAATATGACTCGAAGATGCAAGACATCACCCGTAGCGGGCAATCATGCTACCGAACTGTCACCTCCCAGGGGTAAGCATAAGAACTTAATAGTGAGGCGTACGTAGGGCAGACTCGCTTCAGCTTCTCCGGCACGAACGGCGATGGCATTGATGGAGATGGTGTAGCTAAGCAAAGAGGAAAGGATAGAAGGTTCGCTTGCTAGTAAGCGTACGCTGGCAGTCGGGCTATAGGTGACGAAGAACGGGCGGTTGCAACACGCACTTGATCTCATGCAAAGTAGACCAAGTCGCTGCTCTTCCACATAGTCGTCAAGCTATGTCTCATTTCGGCAGTTGAACAGTCTGCGATACCGGTTCATGCGACGCACCGCTGTCAGTACCTGAGTAACACTCTTGGAGTAACGGATAGGCGCGTCTGACAGGGAGTGCAAGACGGCCGGGTACAGCAGCAACCTGAGAACATGTAGTGCGGTCGTCTGTACACAGCAATGCGAACGCCTGCCCAGTGCCCAGTGTACCACGCAAAACAACGTATCTCAAGAACATCGTGTTCAGGTGTCATTTCTTAGAATGACAGAGTACGCGTGGAGTATTGCTGTGTGCCACAGTCAACTTCGGCAGTGACCACACGTGTACATTACAGTCCCGTGGTCTTTTGCGCACAGTGCTATGCAAGTACCGACAATATAACAAGTAGACGTACCGTGTGTTAAATTTGGGCCTCTTGTTACAAATACCTCGCACAGAGGCTGGGGCGCCTGCAATGCTGTACCTCGAGCAGCACAATCTTGCTTACCCGGTCCCGTACCGTGTTACACAGCATCGAAAGTTAATCACGTGGGGTAACTAGCGCACATGTGGTGCTACTGCATGAAGCGCAGAACGAACATGGCAATACCGCAGACCATACTCCTTCCTCATCTTGCGGCGAAACTCTGCTTGCTTATTCCTAAGCGCATGAAGCAAAGGAAATCTATTCCCGGGTGCTGCCCCTCCCATTTCCCCAATTTCCCCTCCCCATCTTTCTTCGCATATGCACATCACGCATTCAAGACTATTGCAAATCCAAAACCAAGCTATTAGTAGCGATCGGCAGCTGATTTGCACTCGCCAGGCTGGCGTGGCACAATAACCGACCTACCGACTGTCGATGGACCAAACATGACGTCTAGCCTGGTCTCTGTCTTGTGCGCTACACCTGCCACTTGTTGTCGGGGCCGGAACTGGGGGGTGGTTCGGCTGGGGATCATGGGTTTGATGAGAAAGTAGGGCCGAATATAATGTTTGGTGCAACCGAGAGCAAGTGGATATCGTGGTTTGATGTAGCCTAGCTCCCCGGGTTTGTTGATGAACTATATTCGTGTGGTTTGGGGTCTCTGGCCTTGCTCACCGATCGGTCGGTGTGGTGTTGCGTGTTTGCAGGTGCATGGCTGACGTCGAATGGGAGATGATGCCGTGTAGTGTTGCGTTGGCGTTGGCGATGGAGCGATGCGTGCAGCGGATAGGGGGCCGGAGAGTCGGGCAAGGCTGTTGGTTGTTCGTACGAATGTACCGGTACCTTGCCAGATGCTCAAGGTAAGATTGTACAGTATGTGTACAGATCCAATGGCGCCTTCTAGCGTCGCCGTTCCTCATTTTTGTCCGGTGCTTACCTCCTGGTTATCGATTGACAGGTTGGTAGTACGCATACGTCGTCGTATGTTAGCGTTACGGGCGCCTTACCTCCCTACGTTTGGGGTTTCTTCGCTTCTAGAGGAGATGATGACGAGGCCTGGCCTTCATCTTTCACTGGCTCTCTTTTTACGAGCTTACTCTGTGGAAAGGCAGGTTCCACTTTCACATTGTGCAAGGTCTGGGTGGCTGGCTACGTGGCTGCGTCCCTTCTTCCCTCCTCTGTGAACAGTTGAACTTGCCCACACACGGCACCGGACCGTACCGTACCGATCCTCGTACGTGCAGCCCAGTCAAAAGCAAACATGACGCAAAAGCAAAACAAACGCTCGCGAGCAAGCGAACAGTAGATGGGACATGTTGCCGCTGGGTAGGAGACATGCCGAAATGAATGCCGATGGTTTGCGCGGGCATGCGCACGCGTCGTTTGGCGTGGGTGGTAGCAGCAGCCGTGGTGGTGCGTGTGGACATGCTCTTGCTTCTTCCATGCTCAGCTAGCCGTGCAGCTAAGTAAGCCGCCACCAGGTTAGCGAAGGAAAACAAAAACTCTCCGCTGCTTTTACCGCCAACGTTTTACGGAAGCTCGCGAACCCGATAAGATAACGGTGTTGAGTTAGGCTGAAGGTTAAAAAAGTAAACACATGGCAAACATTCGCTTTGGGCGCGTCGTGCGTGCGTCGCAATTTGCAAGTGCTGTTCTCTCTCAGCTCTGCTGCTGTTGCCCGCGTCATGTATTGAGCAAGGAGAACCAAATCCGAACTGAATCTATTGTTCAACTAGACAAGTCGTTACGTTAGGCACTAACTAGCGAAGCATGCCCCCACTCAGCTAGGTAGGTACCTCCCGCGACAAGCTGCTCCAGAGAGTTGCAGCGCACCAGACCTGTTCCAGTCTATCGACACGACTCACGACGACAACAAAGCACGGCTGGCCAGTGCTTGCCCTTTCAAAAAAGCTCAGACGCAGCAAACGCAAATCCGCCGTCATGTTGCGCGGCGGCACCGAGGAAGGAAAGCCCCTGCTTGGTCGCTTTTTGCTGTCGATTACACCATGGCATTCCCGAAACCAGTGACAAGCCTCGCTTCCCGCCGTCTCATCTCGTCTCGTCTCGTCTCAGTGCCGTCCAGAAGCGGACAACCCTTTTTCTTTTCGCTTCATGGCTTCCCGTTGACACTGACTGACTGACATGGCAGCCAAGCAACCTGCGCAGGAAAGTTCCCGCTCACCTCGGGGAAGACGGAAGGAGGTACCTATCAAATACCCCCCTTGGATCCCTGGACACATGCGCGACAGACACAAGGCCCTGGCGAGGAAAGAGGATGCTCAACATGTTTGAGCTTGTTGTTTATTTTAATCTACCACATGTGTGCTGCGCGTCATGATTATGTTTTATGCACACGTTGCGTATGCGCCGTGTTTGGGCAAGCAGGGAGAGGCCAAGTTGAGTTAAACCTGTGATGACGGCTACCTGGCTGGCTACGAGGTGCAGATGATTTTTCAATGTCCAAGCTTTCTCTCGTCCAAAGGCGGGGAAGAGCGCAAAACCTGGTCAAGTGCCGATCGAAGGCTATGCATTGTATACAACTGACGTTTGGGGGAAGGCATTTCCAGGATTGATTTCGAAAACAGATCGTCTCGTGGTTAGCCAAGTCCTTGCTTTTCAAGATCTGCATGCCGTCGGCAGCTTATCTCCCGAAAGGCCCCATGTTCTCTTTTTGCACAATCTCGCCATCTTGTGTCTATCCCTTCTCAAACGGTGTTGCAGTCCCATGCCGAGGCGGCCATGACAGGTAAAGCGGCAAGTACCATCTGTTTCCAAGTAAGACCCATGTCGATCATCAAAATGTCAGTGCTGCTCCACTATAGCGTCGCGCCCAACTAAGGTCAAGGTCCAGAAATGTCACTAGTGGTTTGAGGACACACAACATCCTATCTATGTCGTACTGAGCATTAATAGCATTTCAAGTGTAAAACACCATTTCGTCACGCCGCTTCTTGGCAGGGGTAGACAACTATATCGCGAGCCACGTATAGGGTACAAAATGTGCGTACGAAACCCATTCTTCCGTTTGAGACTCGGTTACTCCAACATGGAGGCCACGCTCGGCAAATCATGGCATCAAGGGTCAAAAACAGTATAAGTAAATCGTACAAAATAATGGTCCGCGCGAGCGGTTACAGTCTTCTTTTGGTAAGGGGATAGAGTCGGAAATAGTGGGGTGCTGCGCGCTGCCTAAAGGGGGGTATAGTAGTTCGTCGAGTAATAAATGAGAATAGAGTGATAGATAATCCAAGCCAGTGAAGGAATAGTGAAGAAACAGAAACCAACGCTAGTGATGCTGATGTGGGAAATGCAAGATATGCGACTAGGAAATCAAATCCAAATAGCGGCTCCAATGCGCAATGCTAGCCGTGCGCGTGTCCATAATTATGGCCTCGTGATCCAGACACGTTGTGCAATTCTGCTTCTCTGAAACCAAACATGGAAGGGAGTCGTTCCACAGAAGAAGGGTAGTCGTAAGCGTCTTGGGGCTGTAAGAGGAGCCACAGGGCGATACAGCCGACTCGCTAATGGATGGCATCGATGCTTTCGAGCTTGGGGGTCGTAAAGCTGGGCTCTGACACACGTCGCATGTCGGATGGTAGGCTTTCGGAGCTGCGCTTGATTCGCAGCTTCTCCATCAGCTTGCCGATGGTGACATACTCTTGTGGCTCGATGTCAAGACCGGCGCTCTTCGACTGGAAGAAATTCATGACGAGCTCCAACGCGCGTGCAGCTTCTTCCTGGGATGGCGTGATCGGCGAGGAATCGGCGGATGAATCCTTGTCGTCCATATGGCCAGCCGCACTCGGGATAGGAGGAGGCTGCATCGAGTTTGGCGCTTGCGTTGGTGAGAGGGACATCCCTTCGTCAATTGCGGGCAGTGAACCAGGCATGTCAGCCATGGGAGAGTCGAGTGTACCGCTGCTGACATACTTTGGGGTAAGCGCGTCGGATGAACCCGGTGGCGACATGTACTGCTCGACACCTACAAGCATGGGGAAAGTTTGACTTCGCGGTCGTTGGAAATTGCCGCTCCCGGGTTGCCCGTTGGCAGATTGACGGCCCATGAATGGGCTTGGACCGCATGCCGAGTCCGGCGTGAAGAAAGGGGAAGAGAGCGATGTAGGGCTTGTGGCACCGGCCGAGAAGGACGAAGGTGCTGTGTCGGTGAAAACGCTAGACAAAGAAGTACTGCTTTGTGAGTGGAACGGGCGGCGGCGGTTCATGTACTCGTATGTATCGGGACTTTCGGTCTTGAGGTTCTCCTCGCTCTTCTTGGTTTTCATCGTCACAGTCCCAGGGGATACCCCACCGGGCGAGGTAGGCGAGATGGCTCCCGGCGTATGCGCATTGGACGGCGGATTGGAAGTGCCCTCTGACTCTTCAGCTATGGAGCCTTTCCTTGACCTTGCTCCCATGAGATGGTTCTTTTGTTTGAACTTCTCCAACCAACTGGTGCTGTTGGCCTTGAGGTGGCTGTCAGTGTTGCCGACAGTTTGAGCGAAGAAGCGTGCCTTGTCCCGGATAATAGCGTCTGATAAAGGCAGCCCCTGCCTCTGGTGGTTTCTGGCCCAGTTGGACAGAGCGCGTTCAATGTCTGGAAATTTGCCTTTGGACCGTTTGATGGGTGATCGGCTGCCATCGTCTTGGTACAGATACTTCTCCTTCTGACGCAACACTTTTGACACAGTACTAGATAGCTGTCAGTAGGGCATAGAGTATGAGGTAGTTGTGGTAGTACCTTCGTTCCACACCAAACATGGCTATAGTAATGTCAGTAAAACGTTGTGTGTTGGTATTGGGCTTGAAGCTGGCGTACCTCCAATCTCGGTTTGTTTGACGGTAGGGTTGTCCTCGTGGTATTGGCACATGCGTCTACGGTCCGAGTCGGTGAGCGTCTTCCGTGGAGTTGACGAAGTCCGGGAGTGCGTGGAAGATGCTGACACGGGGGTTGCTGATGCCGGGGTGATGGGCGGTGGGGCAGAGGGAAACAAGGGAGCTTGGTATGTCGACTGGCTCGTCAACATGCTCGGCCACTGTGGCATTTGAGGCATGATCAGAGGTTGCAGCTGGGGATGGGTCGTCCTCGGTGTTGGGTGTGTTTGGTGTGTTTGGTGAGGCGGATGCATGCCGGTGCCATAGAGGGGCTCCATGGGGAGTGGCGCAAAAGTGCTGAAGCCACTGTAGTCCTGGACTGGAGAATGGTGGTGTGGATTGTATCCACCATCGCCGTGCCAGGCAGTATGATGGTCCTCGAAGGGCTCCTGGTGGGGGTGGTGGTGTTCGTGATCCATTTGTAACTGGCTCATGCTTGGTTGTGGACAGTGAAGTGGTGTATGAAAGCAGATGGTTGGAAGACGTGAGCGTTTTCAAGACAGCAGCAGCAGCAGGGCGGGATGGCAGCGGGCATATGCACCTACGCCTTGGTGTTGGTATACCTGGGTGGCGTGGGTGAGGTCAGTGTGGGCGAGGGCATGCATGCATGAGATGGGCTTGTGGTTCCTGAGGCGAAACAGTAACAAGTCAATGTACCGCAGCAGCACAGGTGGCAGTAGCGGGGATAGGGCAGACAAAAGGCAGTGCAGATGGTGTCGGCAGCCAGGTAGATGGTGCTCTAGGTATAAAGCAGCGCGGCAAAGCAGTGGGCTCAGATGGAGAATTGAAACTGCAGGGAAGGCGTGGCGCGGCGGGCCTGCAGCGCGTACTTGAGCATGAGTCTGGGGACGCCGGTAACAGGCCCTGGCTGTGCGATGCGGGCGCGGCCTACTGCAGCTGGCGGGAGAGTGGCCCTGTTTGTTTGAGCGAGCCCAAGCTTGCCGGCAAGCCTGGCGGGCGTGTGGGCGTGTGATCCCGGTCATGCTGGCCAAGCGACAAGCAACGCGACCGACGACGTTGGGCTTAGCGCGCGTGGGTCGCCATCGGGGATGCGCCCCTAGGAAAACGCGGGCCAGAGTTGTGCGGCCGCCTGGGCTTACAGTAGCAGTGCCAGTGCGTGCCTCGACGCCTGACTGATGGATGCCATGTCGACGCGGCCGGGTGCGATCGTCCCATCAAGGCCCTCGCACCGCTCACCATAACCATGACCACTGAAGCGGCCGGCTAATCTGCGCGTCCCGAAGCGGCCATGGAGCGCCATATTGCGCCCCAGTCCATCCCCAGGACATGCTCATGCTGGCCGTTGCCGTGCCCTCGTGCCACTAATCTGTCCGACCCCGATTCAGTCGCTGCTCAGGTACGCGACCGCCAGTGCCGTCAACCAGAGCCTGTGCTGTGCATAAAGGAGAGACAGAGAGTGTCGACGGCTGAACTGGTCTGCTCCACCATGTTTGCAAGTCCAGCCACTCAGGCCCCGGGAGCCTTGATGATTTAGCGCCCGACTGACAGCCTGCTCTCTGAGTCGCCAGCAACACCCCCCCCCCCTCCCTGCTGCATTTCTCCGACTCGACCGCTGCGCCCGTTAGCAGACCAATAATGCAACTCCGACACCACAAAAATGGGCCTGCCAGTGCTGATCAAATTCCATCCTATTCCGAAGCAAATATGGAAAAAAGCAAGACCTGGTGAAATGCGGGTGCCGTTTCAATCCCACCCGCAGCCCCAGTACCACCACAATTCAATCAGACAGTTCGCCTCTCCACGCACGCCTTCTCGGCACGCGAGCGAGACTCGTGGTTATTGATAGCTTGCCGACGGTATCGGTCCGCCACCACTTCCTTGACCATTAGCGATTGGCAGTACCAGGTACCGCGCCGTAACCTGTCCGGCCCACAACTCGTGTCGTTTCCATGTCGTCCGCGGTGCTACTGAGGCGAGTCCTTGGCCAATCCAGCCCTCAACATGGCCTCCACGCCTAGTCCTGCTCGTCATCCTTCCGTTGTTGCCATCTGCTATGCCTAGCCCAGTGAGACTGCTTTAGCCATCCATCAGCCTCCAAATGCCTTCTCCACTTGACTCACTTCTATCGCAACACCTCATCTAGCGTTTGACTATCGTGACTGGCCAATACGTGAGCTCAACATGTCCATTCAGAATCCCAGTCCGACCATGTACGTACCAATATCCTCGTCGGCGAGCTCATGTGAAAGTCCCACCCGCTGGGGCTGATGCTTGCACGACTTGCCATAGACAATGGCATGCTTGAAATTGTCCACAATTGTCTTATGGATGGAATTACACTAGTTCCCGTTAGCGTATTGGCGTGATTTCAAATCATAAACATACGAAGTCTTCAATCGTGCAAGCCGTTGATCGCAATACAACAGGCGCCGAATAATCCGGCATTTTGCCCTTGGGCTTGGTATAAACGCGCACGAGATTCAACTTCTCCCACATCTGCTCGAGGAGCTCGTCGATATTCCACCCATGCTCGGAGCTAATCGGGCAAGCGTTCGGAATCCGATATAGCAGGTCCAGTTCCTCGATACTAATGGCATCAATTTTGTTCAGTGCATAGATGACTGGGATATAGCTTCGTCCTTTGGCTTCAATGACGTCGATCAGATCATCGACCGTGGCATCGCACCGGATGGCCACATCCGCGTTTGCCATTCGATATTCGGTCAATACGGCCTTGATCTCGCCGTGGTCGATGTGTGTAAGTGGAACAGTCGCCGTAATGTTAATACCTCCCTTGTCTTTCTTCTTGAGGACAATGTTTGGTGGGCTCTTGTTGATCCTTATACCGAAACCCTCCAGTTCGTTCTCGATGACGCTCTTGTCCGTGAGGGGCTTGTTGACATCCAAGACAATAAAAATCAAATGGCATGTTTTCGCCACCGCGATGACCTGTCGACCACGACCCTTGCCGTCCTTTGCACCTTGAATGATACCGGGAAGATCGAGAATTTGAATCTTGGCTCCGTTGTACATGACCTGACCCGGCACAGTAGTAAGCTGGCTTCTGTTAGTTCCACATCACTATAATACCCGATATACACCACGAACCGTAGTGAACTCATATGCGGCGGCTTCAGAGTGCTGTCCTGTCAATCTACTCATGAGCGTACTCTTTCCCACCGATGGAAAGCCAATAAAGCCAACACTGGCCACACCAGTCCTAGCAACATCGAATCCTACACCTGCACCACCGCCACCGCTGCTTGAGGGCTCGAGCAGTTCCCTCTTGAGCTTAGCGAGTTTTGCCTTCAGTTGCCCTGTCCAAGTATAAGCATGCTACACATGCAGTGTTCGATCGGAGTGAAGTACCAAGATGAAACGACGTTGCCTTGTTTTTTTGGGTCTTGGCCATCTACAATTGGTGTAAGTCACGGTATTACGGGTCGCTGGTTGGGGGTCGCTCACTTCGGCCTCGATATCCTTGATCTGTCGCACATTGTTAGCATACGGCGAAGGCACACCAGAAGTAGTCGAATACGCACCTTGTCCACTGTAGTCGCCATGTTGGATGATTTCTATATCCTGACTTGATCTGAGTAGTTGTGGCGAGACAATGTTGTCGTTCAGAAATTTGATGTGAGGGACGCCGCCAATGACGAAGCGGGGCACGGTTTCAGGCAGTACTTTTCACCGCCACCCAAGACGGTTAGTGCGACATGCAGCACCCTTCCACCACGACTTCTGTGCATGCTTCCATTTCCTCCTTCAACAAGCTGCGGTGCCCGATGGAAGCCGCTTCCGAGCATCACACCGCCAACGACACCTCATTGTTGGCACGCGGCGTGCGTCGGAAGGCATGCATCTTCACTGCTCCGAGTACACCGGCGAGCCACTGACTGGCTCCACCCATCACAAGCGCAGCTTGTTACATAATAAAGCGAGCCAAGAGCCTGCACAAGCAGCACTCAGCATGCGCAAACACGTCCGGCTATCAGGTCCACGCTTTCTACATAAGGCCCGTCTTTTATCTTATCTTTGCGCTCGGACTGCTTTGGACTTCCTGCCAGAATAAATCACGATAGAATCAATCAACAACACTCGTCATCCTTTATCATCACCCAATATCGCTTTCACCACCATGATCGGTCGCAACACAGAACAGGATGGTTTTCACGCTCTCGTTCAAGCTATTAACGAGAAGCTGGGACCTAGCAGCGGCATAGACTCCGCTGACGTCGACGAGAATGAGCTTCAGCAGCTAATGGAAGCATACGTTTCCGATGAGTCAGAGTGGGAACAGTACTACTTCCCGTCCAAAACGATGCCATACACACGAAACGTCGTCGACAAGGGCAATGGCAAGAGTAATTTAGTAAGGTTTCATAGCTCGACTTTAACGACACCACTAACCGCACAGCTCATCCTGGTTTGGGGACCCGGCAAGAAAAGTCCGATCCATGAGTAAGTCAGCAGGCCCTGCAACCGTTGAGTTCGACGTTCAATCTTCGGCTGTATGCTCGAGATAATATCTCCGGATCGAAACTCGTTTACTACGAGCTCAGTCTCCTGCACGATGAAGCGACTATGTTCGCCGATCTTGTGATCGTTGCGTCAGTGCAGGAGACTATGCGGTAAGACGACAACTTTCGATATTTATCAACATTTGCGGAGATATGGTGTTCAATACCGACATCTAAACCTGCCAGCCACTTCAGACAGGAGGCTGACGTTTCATAGCCATGCAAAGGCACATTGCATCATGAAGGTGCTCAAGGGAAGCCTCACAGAAACGCGGTTCGCAACTCCCAAAATCGAAGATGTACTGAGCCATCGTCCGATGACCAAGATCCGCGAAACTACCTACACGGAGAACCAAGTCACATATATGGCGGATACTCTCGGTGTCCATCGCATTTCCAACCCCGACCTAAACGAGTATGCCGTGTCTTTACACTGTAAGATTTTTATTCCCACCTGAGGTTGAACACTCCGCTAACTAGGCGTAGTGTATACCCCGCCTAATGCAGCGGTTGAGGGATGCAACGTCTTTGTGGAAGACACGTCGGGTATCACCCACGCCAAGCAGTGCCACTTCTACTCCGAGTATGGCGTCAAAGTCAACCAGAACCAACTCTGAGATAATATGCCACATAACTTCACCCAAGGCTTATACTGTGGATATATACATGTGGGATGAAGATTGAGGATAGGCTTGGCTACAATATACAAAAGCTAGTGGCGCCGGAAAGACGGTACATGGGAATGGCGTTACAGCGGCATGGAGAAGATACACTAAATGCAACTCCTTCAATCAATTAAATAGTATGGCTCGTAACACATTGCATCTATTGATATATGATCTTGTCAAGATCGGTTATATCATACATTCATTCATTCATGGTAATCTTGATCGGCTATCATCTTTTCTAGATGGCTTTTTGTGCGGTATTTGTTGCATGCTCCGTATTAGGACCTTCCCGGCTCCCTTGAATATATAATCTTCCTGTTCTTGCCCTCCCTACCAGAATATAGGATGCTATGCGGCAACAATGAGTTTGCGAGGTTGAGGACATGTGATATTTGGTGGGTCCAGGGCATGACAATGGAATCAAATGTGAGTCGAAAGATGGGTTATTTGGTTGGGTTTGTAGGCTCAAGGACACAAGGGCTAATGCGGTTGCAATTGCCCTCCCTATAGCGATATCGCTACACTCATAATTTTGCAGTTGCTTTACAGTGTCCACTGTTAAGAAACACATCCTCACGACACAGTGCATTCATCTGTCAAGTTGATCTCTGGCCTAGTGAATCGAACACCCTGGCTCTTCATTCGTGGTTTTTACATGACCCGTAGGCTAAACTTTCACTGTTCACCCACTGTGTCGCAAATTGCGCCACAAATGCTCTGTATACGAACATTACCATTCACTGCAACTGGGCACACATCAAACGGCCGCTGAAAACACTATGGCCTAACACTTTCTTTACTAGTAAAACTCGATGTCCCTAAATTCCCCACTCAACTTGCAACTTGCGCTCTACATCCTGCCTCAACATACAACTACACCCCGTGGCACCCAAAAGCATTTTTGCGCATTGACTCATCGAACGTCTTTGAACTCAAGAACACGTGAAACCCAGAAAAGAAATGGTGCCCACCCCGGCGATTGCGCTGCCATTGAGCTGTACAGACGTACCACCAGTGTCAGGCTCGCTAACCAAATTGGCTTACCCACTTGACAAACATCCACACATGCCTCGGAGCCTTTCCTGGGAACTCGTTTCAGATGAAGCTGCATCGCCAGACTCGACTCGATTGGGCGCGCAAACATCTTGTTGTGCGTCGCCTGCCGCGAAAGACGAAGAGGTTGTAGAGATGATGACGAGGAAAGTTATTTACACGAGAGAGAAACTACCCGATATAAGCCAGCCAAATCTCTCCTCCGCATCTGTTTCTAAGTCATTTTCTCCATCCATCTCCCCTCCACCCTCACCAACTCTCTCCTTCGACACCTCAGCCTTCCCCCCATACGCACACCTCTTCCCCTCCTCCTCCAACGGCACATGGCATAACGAAGTTGTCCAGTCAATCAGAAGTCCTCATACCATTGATTCTGCAGATCTGTGCGATAAAGTGCTTGCTTTGGTCGAGGACGCTTCGGATGGGGTCGCGGCAAATCTGAATAGCATGTGTGAAGGTAAAGATTTGCCGGCTATGCATGACAAGGCTATGGGATATTTGCCCAAGATGAAGGTTCCGGATAAACGGAAGTTGAAGAAAGTGGTTGAAAAAGGGTGGGAAGCTGGTGTTGAGATTTGGAGGGGCGAGAATGGGAAGAGTACAGGAGAGGAGATTTGCGAGTGGGTAGACATAGGTGAGGAATGGGATGTGCTTGCTATAATGAAGAAGTAGAGCCAATAAGGCTGGAAGAAAAGAGCTCTGTTAGGGAGGACTTCAGGGAGGAGTCTGAGTGATCACATATATTGATGAGACAGGGGGATGTGTTAAAAGCATGTCATATAAACTTTGTCCTATACACGAATAAAAGATATAAACATAAAAACTCTTCTAGAAATATCATGACCTTGATTTTTGAAGATGAAGACCTTCTCCGTGAATCTGTACAACACCTAGTTGTCTCCTCATTCAAGCTTTTTGATAAGGCCGTTTCCAATCAATGCACATGTGAAATTACATGTGCAAACTTCCAGCACGTTGACGCACAGCGCTCCTGTCATGCGGTTCCGAGTCATCCTCTTTATCCATACCCGATTCTTCCTCATCTCGGCTTGAGCTGTGGCCCTCTTCACTCATCGGCCTACGCTTCATACCACCGGGTGTACCACCAAAGCTTACCAGCACAGAAGGGTTGTCTGCGGTCAACGCATCCAGCACGTCCAATTCATGTTCCGAAAACCACTTTGGTACCAGGAAAGTACGGAGAGGAATAAGCGCAATGATAAGCACAGGAAATCCGATAGCGGCAATTGTTTGTGAAATGGCAACTGTGCAGGCGACACCGAAGATTTGGAGACCGATGAAGAGCATAATCTTCTTGCGGGCGACAGTGTTGAGTGGCTCGTCGCGCTGGAGGAAGCGACGTTCGGAGACGAGATATAGGGCTTTAGATACGATACCGTTGGATTCGATGGAACCCCACTGTATTGCACTTAGTATATTGTTGAATGAAAGGGTAATTGTGAATTTGGTACACTTACGCCAACGACGAAGAAAACACCTGCGAACACCGCCGCGGGCATGGTATGCAAGACGATGAGCAGCGGGCCGGTCATAGTACCCCAGATAGCCATGCCCATCAAGAAGTGGCTGACACGTTGTTCAACAACACCAATGGCTTTCACGACCGGCTTGCGAATCTCACCGCCGTCTTTGGTCTCTGTGATCTCAAGCTTCGTTTCGTATACAGTGAGCGAATCTGTATGAACAGGCGCTTGCGGCACGAGTCCATTGGGTAGGGGAAGACCGATGATACCGCCAACGAAGCAGGTGCAACCGAGAAGGAAAAAGTCCCAATGGAAGCCAGCAGGCTTCTTGAGAGGGTATTGGCGAGCTTGCGCTGTGAGGGATGATACATTCTGGCGTAACTGTTAGTGGGTGATAGAAGTAGGCTGAGATAGTAGACCTACGTGATCATAGTAAAATAGCAGCATCATCAAAAACCCAAATGGCAATGCCACAAAAACCCACTTTACATCCAAGTTCCAGAAGTCAATCACCCAGTCTCGGTCTTGTGTCGGCTGGAATGCTTTTGAGATGGGCACATGGTAGAGTCCGGTATTTTCTAGTCGTCCAGGAATATGCGAAAAGCCGACCCAGAACAGGGTAGGAAAAACGAAAGAGTAATCAGCAACAATGCTGCGAAGCCAAGGAGAAAAAAGCGTACTGCCGCCGAGCTTTTCAAGGCCGTATACGGAACCAAAGTAAAGGATTGCAATGACGATGGAGAGGTATCCACCTTGGAACTCAGAGACTTCGAACATATAAACTAACTCCTCTACACCTTTAACTGTTCATGTTTTAGTAGTGACTTGTAAGTCTTTGCTTGAGCGCATACGTACCACAGTAGATTATTCCCACATACATGCCGAAAGTCTCACTCGAAAAGTCGGTGACGTATGCCATGTAGTCGCTAAAGTTTCCAAAAGATACGATCCAGTGAAAGATGGCGGCCCAGATACCAACCCATGCAGTAAAGGCTGGATATAAAGTCGGGTCGTATTGCACGATAATGTCGTAGATTGTGTAGTTGAACAGCGCAATCAAACCAGTGACTCCGACGATAGTCAGCGGCTGACATGACAGCAAACTGAATACCATGGCTGCTAGTGCGGACGCGAAGAGCGCTTCATTTATGCCGAAGAACCCACCGGTCCGTCGATACATGTCTAGTGTGAAGGCGATGGCAGGAAGAACACTTCACTGGTAAGTACGTGTTCTGTCTCGCGGCGAAAATAAACTTACTTGACGAAGTACATGCGCACTGTGCTGGCGAAAACCCGGTATGTGAAAGCATCCGTTATATCGCTCCAGTAGTATGGTAGCCGACGTTTTACATCATGATACATGCCGCGACCAGGCTGCAGTATACGCCATTTGCGCCATCCTCGTTGACCTTGGAAAGTATACGATTCGTGTGTCACTGTCCGTTCCAGCCTCGCCTTTCCTGTTGTGTTTGATGACTCCATTGCGCTTTCTCCGAAGATTTGAAAAACCAGTTACCATGAAAAAGAAGGTGGAGTGGATCTGAGAAAGAACAAGGCGGTCTGGGGACCAAAGCGTGATAAATGGTGACGGATGGCAGATGTATCGATGCGCTGAGACGCTGCACATGAACCGTTCACCTCTAGTACATATATACCTCGCATTGGTTCAATCACAAGAAAACTGGGTCGCTTACCGCGATTAGAGTCACGGCGCTTCTTGGCATATAAACATTGCATCGTAGAAGCGCAAATGATGTGCCCGCCATGGAGCCGTGGTTCCCCGATACATGTCATGCTGTACTTACGAGAATTAGAGAATCGCTATTTGCATGCAGTCTTTCACCCAGTGATATTTTAATCTTCCGCGCAATTAGTTGTTGACGATGATGACTTTGACTTGGAAGTTTGGTTGTTTGGTGATGGTGACGTTGATTGGCATGTGGATGAACGGTAGATCGTCTTCGGCTAGTGTGGCTGTTTGCGGCGTGGCAGACATCATCATCCCTGTGGCATTTTTCTGCCCAGGCATCGATTTTGCACTGACAACTGTCGCCTTGCAGAACGCATCGACTTTGCCACTAATACCTAACACTTAGGGCAGACTTTGGCGATCCTTTCGCCGCGTGCAGAATCTCCCAAGTGGCTAATTTGACACCTCGTGTGCTCATTATCTGTCGCTGTCTCTAGCGTTGACATGACACACAGTTGCCGAGAGTACGACCGAAGCTAAGCAAGATGCGCACTGGTCAAAAGCGATCCCGTTCGATCCTGCTTCAGCTGCTGCTTGAGCAGAATTTCCACCCGCACCTCGACGGCTCCCAAGATCCTCGCCCACCACATCTAGATGTCGCTGAGCGTATCTCATCAATACGACAAGGGCCGACTCTAGAACTCTCTGTTCAGCTGCGCCACTATAGCCGCGCTGACGTTTCATATCATCCCATCCGTAGCAGCTTTAACCCGCGTACTGCAGCATCGTACGGAAGGGCTCCGCCGAGTAACATCTGTTGGTCCTTGCAGTGGGATAGTGACCTCTCATCTGGCTGCCAATCATCAGTTCAAGCATCTTAGCGTCCGCTGTCACTTCTCCACAGGCTTGTTTGTTTTAGCGAGACACCATCTGAAGTAATGGAAATGGACGCCCTCCAAGACGTCCACGGACTTTCAGAATGCATTGGTCGAGCAATACAAGAGCATCTTGAAAGATCCAACATCAACCTCACTTGGCCGCAGCTCGACAGTTTGACTCGTCCTATCCTGCGTGTCGAGGCTTTCCTGGAGGATGGCAGTACGGGTCATGCAGGTGTAACAAGAGCGCCATCCGAGAGAGTTGCATCGGTAAGTGGCTAGTTTATCGCGATTCGAATTTCTACCAACAGCAGCGCATGCTTACATGCACATAGAGGACCTTGGATCTGACCGGCATGAGGACCCCAGCTCCCACGCAGAGTCCAACTCCACATCAACAAGACTATGAAGAGGTTTCGCCGGAAGAATCTCCTCAGGAAACCTCGGACCTTTTGCCAGAGCAGGTTCGGGAAAACCGCAGAAAAGGTACCGGCGGCCTACGGGTGTCGCAGAACCAGTCTTCGTTCCAAGAAGACCTTAGTGAGCATCAACGGCAGATGCAGGTTGACAGCCGAAGTTTCCCGAAGCGGAAAAAGGTACAGTAGCCCTTCCCGATCGGGCCCGGCAGCGTTGAGCAACGTCGGCATCCCGAAGACTAGTCCAGATATTACCCTCATGCATCACCGACTAACAGCTTGTAGACGGCATCAGACAAGTTTGTCTTCCAACCCTCGACTTTAGATAAGCTCATCATCGGCATCTGGGAACAGGTCCATGGGTCCATCAACTTAGACCCTAAAGCCATCTTCGAGCAATTTCAAGTCGCGCCAACTGGATTGTCCATGGATGTAGTCCGTCATGCACAGACAGAAGCGACGCCCACAGGCCTGACAGTACTCAACAACGCAGCAAGTACGACATGTGACTCCTTTAGCCAAATGAATGTCTTCTGTCGCAAGGTCACACAGGCGAGCCGTGTATGTCGCTCCATAGAAATGATCGTTCAGGCTCGATGGACAGAGCTATTCGAGGAGCAGGTGCAGTATCGGAGCCAAACCAGACCAGATCTGTCGACCACTAAGCACAGGAAAGCGGTGTTCATGGAAGCATGCCAGGATTTTGGCTGGTCCGAGTACGTATCCCCACCATTGCATGGCCTTTTGCAAGCAGACTACGGTACTTCGCATTGCTATTGGCTGTGTGGAGGCGTCCAAAAAGCATACACAGTGCTCTAAGCTCATCGAGTACAGGTCGCGTAGGGACTTGGCTGACTATATTGCTACTTTAGGAAGGAGTTACGCAACAAAATGGCAATCTGGCGAGGATACAAAGAAGTAAAAGACGCAGCCGGCTGGGCAGCACTCGTTTTTGCTGGTATGGGTATCTACCGCTTTTGCAAATACCGCGTAGGTTTTGACAACGACGCCATGCGACGCCTGAAAAACCTTCGGAAAAGGCTTGAAGTAGCCGCGGACACGCTACATCCACACTGGCGCCAATTATTAGCAATCGTAGGAGAATCTCCGACACCTCAGTACCCCGGAAATCCGCACGAATGGGTCGTATTCGAAGATGGGTCAGATCCGGTACCACTACGCCAGACGTATCTGGCCCATGATCCATACTTCGCTTTCGAACATATTGAGGAATCTGTCATCGATGAATCCGCTTGGGGCTGCGAAGATCCACGCTGGACACCTCAGTCCAGCGCGGTAGCAAGACCAGGTGGGATTTACATGTGCGCTCTTTGCAAGGAGCCTCAATCCGATAACCCGCAAGATAACTCGTGTTTCTGCTTTCCCTCTTTATTTGGATGTGTAAAGCGTAAACCACCACCTGTCCAAGTATACCGAACGCCGGACGGTAAGAACAACGGTCTGGTAGCATTGACGTCTTTCGATCGTGGTATGGCGATCGGTGAGCTTGTTGGTCTTATCACAAAAGGCGTGAGACACCTTGACGTTATGGATAGCTCAACATCCCTGGCAAGTTACCAGATTTGGCAGGGGAGAATGGGAAACTACACTCGCTTCATCAACCATAGCTGTAAACCGAATGCTCAATCGTCGACCTTCACTTGGTTAGATACACAGAGGGTGGTACTGGTCAGTAAGGGGATCGAGGCAGGAGCGGAAATAACGTTGGACTATGGGGATAAATATTGGGCTGGACTGGACAAGTCGTGTCTCTGTGGGGAGAGTTGCTGCAGATATAAGAGGGAGAACAGACGCGTAATATGATGCTATTGCAGCTCAGCAGACTCCGCAACAAGCAATCCAATCAATCTCAGAGTCGTCGATTGATTTGATTGTTGGCAGCCTAGCTGCTGATTGATTGTGGATTGATTGAAGCTATTTTAAAGTGGCTCAGATTGACTTGATTGACTTGATTGGTTAATTTGTACATAGGGGTCATCAAATTTCCGAGGCAGATGCCGCATTAGCGATAAACTGTTTCATCAGCTTATCTGCATGTGACTTTCTCATCATCACGTGATATTGCTATCGATAGAGGCGGACAACTCGATCTCAACCTACATTCCTAGAATAATGATCGAACCAATCTAACTAATCCAATCAATCAATCTATAGGCTTAAGATTGATTTGCTTGCAGATTAGAGCAAATTCAAGAAGTAACAGATTGGATTGATTAGATTGGTTAAACCAATCAAGTCAATCAATCTGTTCAATCCAGATTGCTTGTTGCGGACTCTGCAGCTCAGGTTGGCCAGAAGTGGAGCAGAGTTGATAAAGTTTTGGTATTTGGTCATAAACGAAAGAATCAGCAGTAAAACAAAAGCCTCGTTCGCGAGATCAAGCGCAGATATAATCGATCGCAACAAAGCTGGCTTTTGGCCCCTTCATGCAAATCTACCTTGATGTGTACGTCAGATTATTTTGAATGGGTGCAGCAGGGAATAGTATTTATACGTATATGCTGGCGCTCGTATTCCTCTAGCGAGACATCGGAGTTCCTATCGATAGCACTAGCGCGCTATACCCTTGCACAAAATTTCGGAACCACTGATCTCGAACATCAACTTTTTGCAGAAACCACCACACCATGGCAACCAGCGACTACAGCGATTCTGGCGCATCAGACCAGGAGATTCTCGAGGCGCAGGCTGGTGCAAGGAAGAGAAGGAAGCTATCGCCGTGCGATGGGGATGAAAGCTCAGGTTCTGAAGAAACCGTCCCAGAGCCAAAGCCCATCTTAGCAGCGGCTCCATCGATCTCACGCGTCAAAGCAAAACAGCAAGACCAACCCCAAAATGTCACGGTCACCTCATCTACTCCTATGGTCAACCAGAAGCTCAGTTTCACGTCTCTCAATGTGGCACCATGGCTCGTCGCCTCTCTGGCCAGCATGGAGATCAAACGACCAACGGGCATTCAGGCGTCGTGTATCCCTGAGATCCTCAAAGGCAAGGACTGTATAGGAGGGTCACGGACAGGTACAGGTAAAACTGTGGCGTTTTCTGTTCCGATTTTGCAAAAGTGGTCAGAGGACCCGAGTGGCATCTTTGCCGTCATTGTCACGTGAGTACTCTTTCATCCAATCTTGACAGTCGCCTACTTCAATGGAAGACTATCTCGTGCAAAACAGCACATTTCGAGAGTATCCATTCTATTTAAAGGAGCCTGACTTGCAATGTCGTGGCTTCATTATACTCATGAAACTTGTGTACTAATTCCTTGACAGACCCACGCGTGAGCTCGCCATTCAAATTTACGAGCAAGTAAAGGCCATCTCAGCCCCTCAATCTATGAAACCCATCCTCATAACCGGCGGCTCTGATCAACGCAGCCAAGCCATTGCCCTCGCGTCACGCCCCCATGTCGTAATCGCGACGCCAGGCCGTCTAGCAGAGCACATCCGCACCTCTGGCGAAGACACAATCTGCGGCCTCCGACGCGTGAAGTTTGTCGTCTTTGACGAAGCCGATCGGCTGCTAGCCCCTGGAAAAGGTTCCATGCTCCCTGATCTCGAAACTTGTCTATCTGTGCTCCCACCAAAGGAATCGCGACAAACACTTCTCTTCACCGCAACAGTGACGCCAGAAGTCATGGCGCTGAAGCACCAGCCGCGTGCGCCAGGCCGTCTCCCCATTTTCGTCTCAGAAGTAGATACCGAGGACCTTGCAATTCCGCCGCGACTACAGCAAAAGTACCTCCAAACGCCCGTTACGCACAAGGAATGCTACCTCCACGTACTACTTAACACACCCGTCAACAGTACCAAGAGCGTCATCATATTTTGTAACAGGACAAAGACGGCTACTCTTCTCGAATACATGCTTCGTCTCCTGGACCACCGCGTAACGGCACTCCACTCCGGCCTCAAGCAATCCGATCGTGTGTCCAACCTCGCTCGTTTCCGCGCACAGGCTGCACGTATCCTTGTCGCTACAGATGTAGCAGCCCGTGGTCTGGATATTCCAGAGGTGGCGCTCGTCATCAACTTTGACGTGCCGCGCGACCCGGATGACTACATTCACCGGGTTGGTCGTACGGCGCGTGCGGGTCGTGTAGGAACGAGTATTACATTCATCGGACAGAGAGATGTAGACCTTGTTTTGGCAATCGAGACACGTGTGGGCAAGAAAATGGATGAGTTTGAGGAGGAGGGCGTTAGTGTTGAGGGTAGGGTGCTGAGGGATGCGCTGAAGCCGGTTACGGAGAAGAAGAGAGAGGCCATGTTGAGTATTGAGGAGGGGCGGGATGTATTGGGGAAGAGAAAGACAGGGATGCAAAAGAGGAGGGCGCAGTAGTTTAGCATCCAGTTTTCTCGAATTATCATAGTATAGAGACTACACAAACTGGGTGTATTGTTGCGAATGTTGTAATGTAGTATCTTTAGTTCTAGCAAAGCATAGATGCCGTTTTAATACACCATACCTAGTCCTTCCTATTTCAAGTAGGCTGGATGCGACGTCCAAGGGACTGATTTAGGCAATGAAGGCATTCAGGCATGAGAATTAAGAAACAGCCATGAGATTGCTACGCTAGAACGCTATGCAAAAAAAGAGTCACTAAAGGCATAACCATACAATCTTCAGATCAGTCCACCACTCAAGGTGACGCTCTTCGTGGCCTGAACATCGTGTTGAACCCCTTTTGCGTCACGAACCACGCATTGTGTGTCTTCCACTCGGCATCTGGGTGTTCAAGCTGGATCTATCACTTGGTCAGCATCTTGCCACTCAACTTGTCAATCGTTGAGTGACTTACCTCGAACCGCCTTAAGAAGCTCGGCACAAGCTTGTAAATCTCCAATAGACTGATGTTCTTGCCAATGCACGTGCGCGCTCCAGCACCAAACTGCAACATGGTACCCTTCATTTCCTTGAGCTTCTCTGGGGAGGCTTCGATCCATCGCTCAGGCCTGAACGAGTCGACATCGAATCCAAAAACTTCTGGTCGACGATGAACGACCCAAGCATTGCAGCCGACAATTGTGCCACCGGGGATGAAGTCGCCGTTGATGGTCATGCCCTGTTGAGGTACAACGCGCTCCAAGATAAGGCCAGGCGCAGGGTGGAGACGGAAGGATTCTTGCACAACTGCGTCAAGGTAGGGCAACTTCTGAGCTTCGGTCCATGAAACGGTTTTGTCAGGGCGGGATTCAACGACTCCATCCGCAACAGCGTTGTCAAGTTCTTGCATGAGCTTTGCATAGACACGTGGGTGCTTGACCAGGAAGTAAAAGACAGCTGATAGAGATATGGCGGTGGTTTCCGAGCCGGCAAAGACCATGGATGCGCATGTAGAGAGAATTCGGTTGTCGTCCATGAACTCGTGGTCGTGGCTCGCTTGGGCAAACTTGGCAAGCAGATCAATACCGCGAGGGTTGGCTCTTTCGTCGTCCGAAAGGCCAAAGCGCTTAATCTTTTCAACCTGGGTGGCACGCTCCTTTGTACGCTCCTTTGCGAAAAGTGTTACAGGGTGGACGCGCTTATCTAGGCCAATGCGTTGCGCAAAGAGACTGATGGGGTTCTTCCAAAGTAAGCGGTCGAGGATGGGTATCTGGCCAACCTGAAATTTGATTAGTACAACGCTGACGTGAAAGCACCTACTCATGTTACTTACAGGTGCGACGTAGTCGAAGAATTTGCCCAGGAACTCAATGATGTTATCCACATCCTTGTTTCCCTCTACAAATCCCAGACGCTTGCTCCATGTCAAGTCACCAATGACATCAAAGGCGAAGAACTGCAGCCATTGACTGAAGTTGCAGCTCTTTCCAGTGTTCGCAAACATTTCCTCGGTCTTGTCAAGCCAATATGTGAGAGTTGAGCTGACAAGGGGCTCGTAGTTGACGAGCGAGCTCATGGCAAACGCGTTGTTGACGCATCGGCGGTATTTTGCGTGGAAGTCTTCGTCCGTAGTAGAGAAGAGGGAGAGAAGTGGTGCGCCATTGGATACTGCGCCTTGAACGGGGTAAAAGTCAGACTAGCAGAGGTCAACTACTGATTAGCATGTTCTTTTGATAGCACGTACCTTGTAAACTCCCTTGTTTAAACCGTAGATGGCCTTGATGGCCCTCGGGTCTGCAAAGGAGAGCACGTTCGGGCCGAGCCGTACAACATCGCCATGTTTACGGTGTAGCGCAATTTGAGTCCAATGATGGTTGTGTTTGCTGACATCCCATAGTCGCCACCAGTTGGTATATCCTGCAGCCCAGTGTCCAGGATACTTGTTCAACCCTTTCCAGTACTTGTTGCTGAGTAAGTATGCAAGAGTAATCGAAATGAGAACGAGCGGCCAGTACTGCACAAGTAGCGGAAGAATCTCGTTGGAAAGCATCTCGCGTAAATGGATGTAAACACTATCAGTTAGTCTCGTTCCGAGATCCGGGAAACAGAAACTTGGAAGCAAGATGAGTAGCACACTTCATATCTAGAGCTGCCTGGGGCGTACGCCTATATAAATGGACGCCAGTAATCTGGCCAGTGCGATAATCCTCCCGCGTCGCTACATACTCGGATGGCGTCGGCGCTCTCATTGCGATGTGTTTGGTGCTCGTGCAAGATTGTGTATGTCGGCAGTTGATACTGAGACGTGAAATGACAGAGGTGGGTCGGTGTTCGGAGCTAAACGAGCAGCGTTAGGCGGGGGACGCCACTCCCCCGGGGACATGTTCGCGGGGAAATTCCATCAACACTGAACATGCCAATCCAGCGGCATCGTGGACTCTGTTCGAACAACTAAATTCACGTCATTGTTACGTGCTCTAGCTGTCATTCCCACAGCTGCCATTTATTTCCTCATATATGATGAGCATCGCTACGACTGCCATCTCACACATACTCACGTCACCTCGAATCGCACCGGATCATTGTCAGATGTCCAGCGTGCTATTCTGGAACTGCCGACCGTTGACCATGATGACTTTCACAGCTAAACCCTGTGCGATGGCGATATCGACACACTGTGGATCTTGGGAGCGTTCGGCAGTTGTGTTTAAATCTCTCAATTACAACTGCCGAGGCGTCAACCGGATGATCTGATACCGAGACGCCGACAAGAGTCACGTGCTTCTCCACAAGCACCGACAAAACGAATGCCCGCACTTTTGTTTTTGAACAAGATCTTGGATGTTGGCGGATATGACGGTGTTATGTACTTAGTTTAGTTGATCGACATGGATTTCGCGGCGCACCGTTGGAGCTTTGTACGATCTTCGCGATCAGACGCATTGATCGTCGCAAGGTAGCCGCGGAGCAGATGGGGCGAGCTACATGACGTTCTAAAGGCTTACTATAGTGAACAGGCGAAGCAGCGTACATGTATGTGCAGATTTGATGGTGTCGGGAAGAGTTATATTTTAGACAAGCGTCAAAGGCAGTACTTCTTTTGAGGTTACAGGAGCATCAGCGGTCGACAGAGTACGCGTGGGTACCGCAACCGTTGCCACTATTTGCAAGAGCTATTATGAAGCAGATTGCTAATGATAACGCTAGTTTTCCGTTGCTATGGTCAAGTTGAATCCTAAACTACTCACGTGGGCAGTTACCCCCAGCCTCACTGACTCTATCATGCTGGAAGCCAGGCTGTCCCCAGCTCTTAAACTCACTCATTCATCTAGAACGTAGATACCCCTCCGGCATGATCCGTACTAGTAGGATAAACCGCGCTCCCCGAACCTCTGTCTCAATAGTGAGGCTACAATTTTACCGATTGTCCGTCGAAAGTCGCCTCTTCATCTGCATACATCGTTTTGGCAAGGTCCGCGTCATCGACAAGCATTGGCAGCTTGGAGACGACGTTCCCAAATTGGATCACTTCGATTTGTTTCGTGTGTTTAGGGCCGTTTGAAATTGAGTATCACGACTAGGAAACGCAGGGACGCATTAGGTCCCTATGCGGGTGGTAGGAAGCAAGAATTGGTATGAAAGTTCAAGAGCAAACGCACGACTAGGTTTGGGCCGAATGCAGATATCAAAAGCAAGAATACATTAGCAGGGATACACCGGATGTGTACCACGTGGTCAGATTGATGGACGGAGACACCGTGAGACGCGAAGAATAAAGTGACAGTATGTCGGGTATTCTTACCATGTGTACTTGGTCGGAAAAAGAAATCGGAAAGCGTATAGCATACGGTGACATGTCTAGTGTCTGGTGGTGCTCACGGATGCCTTATGCCCGGGATTCCATGGTGTTGATCAGCGCAGTGTCGGTTCATGGGGTCAAAATGGGAATCAAGGCCGTGGAAATTTGGTCGATCGGAAGGTGGAGATGAAGATCACCTCAGCGATGAAGTTCTCGCTACGGCGCGTGCTACGGTTTGCGAGCCCGCTTCTCTTGGTGATTGTTATAGCGACTGCATAGCGGGACCGGAATCAATAGCTTCGGTTGCCCTTCCCGTGTTGTGATAATGCACAACATCCAAAGAGCACTATTCTCATCCGGTTAGGATGCGAAAAGACTTTGGTGGATACGTCAGCGGCTGTGTAAGAGGGTCTAGAAGCTATAGTATGGATTGCGGTCCCTCGATAATGGAGTAAAGGTCTAGTCGAAACGGCGAGCAGTATGGCGAAGCGCCGAAAATCTCAACAGTCATGCCGTGCATGCGGTTCGCTCAGTAGGGTAATTCAGCTCCAGGAACATGGGTTGGCAGACGAAGCTACCGATCATCTTTAGAGATATCACTTTTGCTATCCCCAGGTTCCCCTCGGTTCGTCTAACAGGCTGACGGCTTAGGAGGGACACTAGAGGCCCATCCGAGATCCCCGAGTGACCAGTTTCCGATTCTGATGTGTTGAGCTTCGCGGGCGAGATGAGGGTGTGGTAGATCCCAGTAACATGGTAGTCCGAGCTCCCCGTTAGGGGTCTTGGGCGCGGCTACCGTATCTGTGTCCCCCACCTGCATCTTGTCCTGAAAATCTTGGACGGCCTTGGTGAAAGGTAGCCCCCAACTTCGGAGCAAACACCACATACTGATTACTATTCGGAACCCCGGCCCCATTGTTCCCCAACAAGGTTCGCGTAAGATGGCGTTACATTCATCACCGAACGGGAACATTGGCTTGAGGGCTTTTGATGGCTGCTGTCGTGCGTCAGTGTGCGAGCCAGGCATCCCATAGGTACAGATCTCAATGTACAGATCTGAGATGCATTGCATAGAAGGGTCTAGCATAAACTCTTCGGGTGGCTACAGTGAGCCGTGCAGGCACGAGCGAAACATGTTCTCAAGTTAGGGTATGCGGGGGTCGATGTGCTCGGCTCGAGCCACAGGTTTTGCGCGACTTTTGCGATTGAGCCAGGGCTGCCTTGTGTTACCTCTGCCCATGGCACTAGTAGGCCGTCTGCTAAGGCCCCTGAAAAGCCGGTCGCCATGGCCTGTGATCCCCCGCATTACTGCTCACCAAACATAAGAGAGGGTTGGGAAGAAACAGTATTGGACAGGTTTGAGATGCAGACGTAGGATGCGAAGGAGGTAGGGACGGGAACAAGTTTGGTACCGCTTGTGACGAAAAGCAAGTGCCGCGTCTGCAGGTTCGTTCAGAGGCCGACGAACAAGATTTTGTCGGTACAGAGGCGTAAGTTTTCTTCTTGGTGGTGAGTCATCGGGTCCACGTCACGATACTGCAGGGTGCAGGCGGCCGTCTCGTCGCCGGCATATGCTGAAACAAGACGGGGTTCATTACGTGCAGGAACAGTCATACCCGATGACGAAGTTCCATGACGAGCGAAGAAAAGTCGTAGAGTGCGCGTGGGTAAGGGTTGAGTCGTGGGGGGTGGGGACGGAAGAAGAAAGACACTGGCCGGCGCTTGATGTCGGCTTAGTGGGGGCATCTGACCTGCACCAGCCCAGGAGGCCTGTCGAGCTGAAAGGACTGGTTTAAGAGCAAGGAAGAGGCACGATGGTCTTGTCGGAGGTATTTTGTGTGGATAGATTACTACGGTTACAGTAAAACACCATGGGCGGGCGTGGGGCAGCCTACCACGTCGGCCGTGGATGCACGTTGCCCCGCGTATTCGTTTGCTATGAGGCGCAGCCCAGCATGCCAGCTGCACGTCTCGGGGGCTCCTTTGCATGTTCTGAAACATGGCAGATGCACATGTGGGCAGCTATCGATAAGTACGAATAAATGCGACAACGAGTGGCCAGCGGCCGGGGCTAATGGGATGGGCACTTGGGCACTTGCGTAATGCTCGCTTTGCTTCAGTTGAGAGTGCGCGGCTCCAATGACGCAGACAAAGGCTTCTTTATGCGCAGAGCCGACCGTTTCTCCTAGACAAACGGTGTCATCGGCCAGGGCGATATAACCAGGTAAGAGTGGGTAATGTGCTATGTGTAGGGAGGCCCGTATTTGATGTGTTAGCACGATAATAGTGCCGGGTGTTAGTCGTAGCGGAGGGAGGAACTCGGACTTGTGCGAAAGGCTCGGCGGCGCCGGCATGATCTACCTCCAGCATCGCAACCAGCGGCCGTCATCACCGTCACCGTCACCGCCGACGCCAGCACAGCCGCAACGTAAGTACCCACGAGCATGTGGCGGCAGTCCTGTGGCGGACGCTGCGGTCGTGCTCTTTGCACGGGCTGCCAACTCGCCCTCGTCGTCATCAGTATCGTATCATTCAGAGTAGCAGTACGATGGATGGCATCATGCTTCAGCAGGCGCCCAAGCTACTCGACCATGGATGGCCCTCTACCATGTTCAAATGTTAAAACTTTTGGGCCGTCGGCGGCTCACATGACCGCGGACTTTTCGGTAGACAGCCCTGCTCAGACCCCTGCTATCCCAGCTGATTGGGCTGAAAGCCTCCACCCCATTTTTAGGCTCAAGCAACGTCAACCTGTAGATGGCCCAAGACTACGACAACTACACCCACCTGGTAGAGCCTTCAGAGACACACCCCTTGACAAGCGTCGAGGCCTCGTCCTCGCTTTAACCGTACACTCCCAAAACGGCAGCAAAGCCGCTGCGGTGCCCTCTCCATCTGGACGGGCAAGGAAAGCTTCTGGAATCCGTGTCATGTTGCAACACCAGATACTCGACGCCCAACTCTAAGCGCACTGGCAGGCTTTGCTCCCTCGCAAGCCTCGCCAACGGCGTCTATCCAAGGCTTGAATGCTGCTTCGACCGGCAACTGCGGCCTCGCATTCAGGTTTCTGCCACGGCGCATGCATGGCCGCCGTCCTCAGCAGCAGCAGCAGCTTGACTAACTTTTGCTCTTTTCCACGTCCGAAGCTGATCAAGCGCCTCTTTCGCTTTCATCTCCGTGCTTGCATACCCAATTCAACGTTCGCACATCTCATGCCATCCATGAGCGCATCGTAATCTTCGCGCTCGCGTCTATCCGCCTATCCAAAGCCTGTGCAGCGCCGTCGCCGTGGCCGTCGGTCAGCTTAGATCCGACTAGGCCTGCAGCTGCATACTCTCGCCATATGCACGTTTAGACAAGCTAGATGCGCAGCGCAGCCAAACGGGGCAGTGTGCATGAAATCCTTGCCGAGCTGTGTGGCCACGCCGAGGGGCCCATGATCGTCGCCTGCCTGCTCTTAAGAGATGCTAACCCACCACCACTAGCCTTCTTCACCCACCACCTCCCACCTCGCCTTCTCCCCTCCTCATTCGCCCGCCCCTTCCTGTCTCTCCATCTCAAGCCAAGGCGACATCCGAAAATTATATCCGCCAGAGACATACCCCTATAGCCATCTCTTTTGTTCTTTTCTTTAAATCTCTGATACCGTCCCATCTAATATCGCACCGTCTCGCACACACCACCTGAAACGAAACCATCCACCATGCCGATCTCGTTACTACCCGCCTCGGCTGCGGCCTTTGCGCCCCGTTCCAACGTCAACGTTGTTTTGGCATCCAAGGTCGAGCCATGGTTAACACAAACGCTCAAGCGAGTAAATCGGGTCAAGCGTCCGTTGAACAGTGTGCAACAACACACGCGCTGTCTTACCGAAACCCTCTCTGGCCCAAACGCCATCTGGTCACTCTGCTCCATCATGGTCCCAAAGGCCCCGGATTCGGAACTGCGCAAGGACTCCAACCCGCTGGTAGAAGCACTGTTCAACTACCAGCTAATCCACATTGAGGCCTATGTCGTACACGTCGACATGGTGTCACAACATGAGGTTGCATTCAAGCTTACACCAGAGACCATTGAAGCGCTTATCGAGTACCACAAGGACATCTATTCCGTCGACGTTTCCGCCAGCACCTGGGAGTGGGCCGAGAAGGAGCAGCAGCTGAAGAAGCTTCAGGATGGATTCGTCCAGGCTGTCAACCGCTATGTGTTCCGCACTGGCGTCAAGGCTCTGGAAGGTCTCGAGGAGGACGGCGCAGGAGAGCTACTTGAGGGACGAGGTGAGGATGTCAAGAGTGCCATCATGGGATTGTTCCTCCCGCTTCTTCCTCCTCCTCCCAGGATCGTCGACGTTGTCCGGCCAGCACCGCTTCTCCCAAGCTCGCCTGGATCCGCAAACTGGTGGGTGCCAACACAGCACATGCACCAGTCACACTCTGCTCCGATTGATACGTGGAGAGTAGTACCCTCGACGCCCAGCCCGACCATCACTACCTGTGGTGAAACTGGCCAAACGTTCTGGAGCACAATGGGCAACATGGGCTTCGAAGCGATCCAACTTCCATCACCGACACCCTCCTTCAGCCAGCCATACAACTCGACTAGTCCATATGCGCCTTGCACAAGCCCGTACACGTCGAGTTCGTACTACAGCCCACCCCCAGCATCGGCACCGATTCCAGCCCTTCCTCTGCCGAGCGTGCTAGCCCAGCAGTGCGGGTCAAGCGCCGTGCACGGAGGATTCGGCGGCTTCGGATGGGACACAGGATTTGCACCACAGTACGCTGCATTCACGTAAGCTGAGTGATGACGGACCTGTGGTACCACCTGTTCTCCGTCGATGCTGGAAGCATGGATCTGGCCAGTCCTCTTGCTCTTCCCTTTACCGCCCAGGTTGCCAGCGCACCAACCTTGCGACGCACGACACGAGACGAATGCGATATTCACGAGATGATGTCCTACTCGAACATCATTACCAAATCGGCATGGGACGGCGTTATCATTGATTTTTAGCGAGCGATTTTCTGTCATCTCCTCTCGTACATTTGATTTTCCCTTTGATACCTGCTTTTCCCTTTCTCTTGTCTCTTTCTTAGCGAGCGTTTTGTTTCTTTGTCAAACACGGCCGGACCAGGTCTTTTCCTTATTGAATACAGCATCTCTGGGAGGCATGCATGTCGGGCATTTCAACGGAAGACGGTAAACACAGCCTCACGGCTACGAGGTCAGGTACACTCGGTTGGGTTTTTTTGGTTTTCTTGTTTTAATGTCGCTTACTCCTGGACGGATGCGCCATCTCTTCGTTGAGCCTGTGGCATGCCATGACTCTTACGATCTGACGCGATAAACGTTCACGAATTATGCCTACTTGGACTGGTATTGAGTGCCAGCTGGACATGCTAAGAGGCGGCGACAAAAGTTATACATGCATCTGTGATGCCGCTGTGATAGCTCGTCTCTGGTGCGGAACGAGGACTGGGTCGACACGAGGGTGCAACTGCGCTGGGTCGAGACAGGAGTACGCCCGTGGCGTGCCTGGCTCTCGGGAAGTGGTCCTCTGCTTGCGGAGCAAACACTATCCGATGTACCTGGAGGCTTTTGCTGACCTTGATCGACCTGGGAATCTGGATGGATGCAGAGACTGTAGGGTCATCTCCTACACTTCCAACCAGTTCTTGGAAGAAGCACGCTGCCCGGTTGAACTGGGAGCGATGAATCAGATGCTGGACAGTAGAAGCAAGCTTCTCACTTAGCCTTTTAAACTTAATAAAAAACGAAACTTGAATCAAACAATCAACTTGACCTTTTTGGCTTGGATGCATGCAGTGAGTGGTGAAATGAAATGAAAAGAAGCGTCGTGAAGCATGCAGAGAGGATAGAGGAAATGACTCGAGGTAGAGGGCAGGCTGCGGATCCCAAGGCCCATTAGGCTGGGTCGATTCAATGTCTGGGGCACAAGCGAGCGGGCGAGGATGGGTGCGGTGCTGTGCCGCACGCCTCAATCGGCATACGATTGGACAGGGCGGAGCGGAAGCCAGCGGCGGGACAACGGGATCAATGGGTTTGGTGATGGCGTGTGCGGGCATGCTTCATCGGCTAAAACGCTGTCTCTCTTTGTTTCCTTTTCGGGGCTTCTGTGACAGTAGGCTGACTGGAGTGAAGTGACTGTATCGCATCACCTTTGCCGAGGCCGGACCTCTGACTTCTGACCTCGAAACCGAAACATCTTACCAGATTGCAGCGCTGCGACGGTCATGCGAGTTGCCTGTAGCCGTAGTCATCGTCATCGTCATAGTCGTCATAATGCCGCCCGCCAATTCGCCTGTAAGGATAGCGGACACTGTGGTTGTCGCAGAGGCCTGACTGACGTAGCCGCACATAGGACCCGGAACCCACCTTCATCTCGGCCCTGCGCGAGCTCGAGAGCCCCGTAAACGACGACGTGCTCAACCTCGCCGCAACCCTGGGCACCCAGACGGACCACCAAGATCGAGACGGCAACGCCGACGACGCCAACCACACGTACACGACCATCGACAGCCTAGCCACACTGCGCAACGACACAGACGACGAGATTGAGCGCGCCCATCTGCACTATCTGCGAGCCACGCAGGAACACGACCAGGCCCGGTTGGACCGATCACGCGAGCGCCTGCGCCTGCTGGAGCGACAGCGAGACGAACTGGAGCAGCGCGACCGGCTGCGGCGAGTGATGAGTCGCCTCAGCCGCCTGAGTGACAACAACTATGGCGACCGCGTGCCCAGTCAGAATAGCCTGTATGACTGGTCGCCCGCCAACAATGTGCCCCCTACGGCCACGGCCACGGCCACGGCCACGGCTACGACGACCACGGCCGAGAGCTCGCTGAGGTCGACGGCCATCTTGCAGTCGGCAGGCGTGCGCCGTCATCCACGCTTCTCCGCGCGCACCAGGGAAGGCGTCACCAGCGAGGCGCCACCACGACACGTTGCCCATCGTAGCCTGAGGGAGATGCTTGCCGCTCGAAACAGCCTGAACAACGAATTGCCCGAACGCGACCGTGAGACAGCCCGCCACATGTCCATGCAGCGACTCTCAGACGCCCGGAGCTCGCCCATGCTCGAGCAGACTGTCAAGTACCTGTCGCGGATACGCCACTCGAATACCATCGATGAGAGCCTGGAGTGTGCGCGCGACGCCGGATTTCTCACAAAGGACTACTTCTGCCTCCAGCACTCCGACTTTATCGCAGACACCTTCACCATACCGACACCTACCGAGTCATCGTGGCTAGCACCCGGCGCCGTACTCTCCGGCTGCCAGCATGCGACGAGTATAGCTGCCACTGCCTCCAGACATAACGGCCTCGTGCCGCCCATCCGGCCATGGATATGGAACCCCAACGAAGCATCTACCACTCGATCCTCACAGCTACCCGATGCCCCACCACAGCAAGATCGATGGCCCGTCAAGGTCACCATACACGACGTAGACTGGGACAAGATGGCCCTCTCCGCAACCATGGAAGCGTATAATGTGCCTTCCCACCCACACTCGCACTCTATCCTCAACACAAACTCGACTTCGCCACCAGTCACACGCACATCCTCCATAACAACATACCTCGAAGGCGAAATCCTAGACTTCAACAACCACACCCTCCTGACAGAGTCATTCAAGTCAAATGCCGCAAATGACGCAACATACTGGCGCAAACTGCCACCCCTTCAGAAGATGAGCGACGACGAAGTCGTCAGATCCCTTGACTAGCAAGAAGTGGCTCACAGAGGTCCTGGGCCAGGAATGGATACTAATGCGCTGGAAAGAGCGTTGTTTTGTTAAGAGCCTGAACCGCAGTACAGCAGATCCCGTCCAGCCACCGCCCTCGACCACAATACCATCCTTCCCCGATGGCCCAGCGCGCAATACCTGGGCCTCCTCCAATAACAGCTCAACCTACTACCCTCCCACATCCAACTCCAACCACGCCTCACAGCTCCAGCCGTCACCATATCGCATCGTCCGCAACGCGAACACAGGCCGCGCCGAAGTCGAGATAACGCCCCAGCCTCTCTTCAACAGCAGTGCAACAAACGATGCCGAACATGCGACATTTGACGACTCGGGCTGCGGGCTTACAATAAGCGGCTTCTACTATGTGGCGCTGGATCGGAGGAATGGAATGCTGGAGGGATTGTATTATGATCCGCAGAGTAGTCCATATCAGTGCTTGAAGCTGGAGAGTGTGCGGGGTGGGCTGAGGAGTGCATGGGGATTCAGGTGACCCAGGGAGCTGTGGCAGTAGAATGTGAAAAGAGGAAATGGGGGAGAAGGGAGCGGTTAAATCAGTCATCAGAGAAAGTGGGTGAGCATGGATAGAGACGGTTATAGGATTACTTGCATAAAGACGGTGCTTTGGGTTGCTTTTTTCGCCCATTGAGGCTTCTAGTTTTGGGTACAGCTGGAGAATATCAATTACCCCAACATGTGTAAGGCACGTATATATACACCTGTATATATTTGCTTTCGCGTCTGTATACTATGTGCTCGGTCTTTATTATGGGTACCCCACAATTAAACTCCTTGTCCACAACGGAAATTGAGAAAAAGAAGACATTCGTGCTAGCCTCAATCTAGCTCTTCTTCTTCCCCTCCATCTCTACAGCTGCAAATGCATACTGCCTTGCCTTACCCGTCTCCCCTACCCTCCACTCCTCAATATACTCCTCGACATCGGGACATCCGTTTTCCTTTCCAGGGATCGGTTCGCCCCACGTACCCCAATAAGGCACTACACCTGTCCAAGTATCCTTCACAAGCTCCGCGTTCTTTAAATCATCACGGTCTTCGCTTGGGCCTCCAACACGAACCTTGGCTGAGGCCTGTGTATACGTTAGCTATTGTATATATTATAAATGATTTGGAAAAAAACTCACACTCTCAATCCTCACCCTCAAAATCGCCGTCGACGCCAACTCCGCCTTGGTCGGTGGACTCCTACTCCTCGCCCACCGCTCCGGCAACATATTATCCGTAATAAGCGTCATCGCATACAGCGCCTCGGCTTCATCTTGCACCAATTCTGCATACCCGTACACAACCGCAGACCGGTAGTTACAACTGTTGTGGAAGGGCGCTAGGCTGAGTACTAGGCCGTCGAGAAAACTGGCTGCGACGGTGATGGGGAGGCCGGGCAAGGTGGATGAAGAGGAAGTTTTAAAGATGCGACCTGACATGTAGCCGTGGATGTAGAGGTCTTGGGGTGTACTGGGGTCGGGTGGGGAAGAGGAGGAGGCAGATGAGGTATTGGGGGGAAAGGAGCCGGTGCAGCCGAGCATGGGGAGGACGACTGGGAAGGGGTGGGTGGGGTCATTGAAGGAGACGTGGAGGATTGGACATGCGTTTATGAGGGTGTGGATTGTGGTGTAGTCGTAGGAACCTGGGTGTTGTGTGAGAGGTTGGTCATTTTGAATTGGAGGGATGAGAATAAATGCTTGGTTGGATATGTTTACCTCTATTTGCCAGTCTACCGAGCTTGTTGGCTGAGGTTTTGGGGTACTCTTCTGACGAAGCCATCTTTTGTGGTAGTTGAAAAATTCTTGTTGTTGATTCTCTGTTTGCTTTTTGTGAATTGTGCTGTTTCGAGAGGATTTGACGTAATCTGTGCGACTACCTAAAGTAAAAGAAGGAAATTACGATGCCAATGATCTCAGTCACAGCTTCCGTCTCAACCACTTATACAATAACGGTGCTGAATACACTTCTTCCCGAATGACTCCTACACATATATAAACCCGAACTATGACACATGAAAGCCTGTCCACTTAGTTCTGTATTGCATGCCTTAAGCTACCATCTACACGGGAGGTGGGGTCTGTAATTACCGGAACGTTGATTGGTTCAGGGTCTTGTGAGTGCGCTGCAGTGCTTTTATCATGCGTATGCGGCGTATATGGCGTGTATATGGTTTTATTTAATGCTGTTGTAAACCGGTTGTGTTGTTGGAAGTAACAGTAACGACGGAAGAATGGTTGAATCGGATAAGGACGGTCGTGGTTGAGGTGGGATAGTACGGGTTAGCGAAGGATAGTCACGGTTGGTGTGTGCAGTTGTGGGGAAAGTTGAATAAAGTAGGCTGTGAGGGGCTACATAAGGGACTGTATTCGCTACTGTGATGGCGGTGTAGCGCAGAAGTTTATCAATAATACAATTATAGTAGTAGGGTTGATCTATCGATTTAGCGCTAGTCTGATTGACTTTGAAGATAGTAGTTTAAGAACTCACAGTTGACTTCTAGTGTTCACATCGAAGTGATATTGTATATACTTAACTCAAACACCTACTAGCCTATCAACTGCCTTCTAGGTGATTCGTCTACTATTGCACAAGTTGAGCCTGCATTTTATGCTCTGGTAACGCCTGCTTCTCATTTCATTCCCATTCTCTTCATAATCCCACAACACTAAACCAAATAGGAGCCTCAACGCATTCTCTACCTTGTTTTCGAACTTGTTTATTTTTTGACTATCGATAACATCCTCTCGTCTCTTTTCGTCAGACTACCTAGGTATGTATGCGGCGCAATAGGTATCAAAGTAGCCACATGATCCATCACGACCATGTTATTTGCAAAAGCATTAACGTATCTAACGGGTTGGCGGGCCACACGGGTTGGCGGGACACTTTTGCCAAGCCCTCACCAAAACCACCCTCATTCTGGCGCAAAACAGCCCACTTTAGCCCTATATAGTATAATACAATATAAGATATCATTTAGAGTCTACTTCTGCTGCTTGCTTACACGTACGCGCGTTATGCCCAGTCTGATTGCACCGTCCACACCGCCTTTGAGATGGTTCACCTGCTTCAGCGCGCACTCGCGTCTTTAGCTTCTTCCTATCACTACGCGCCCCAAACTCCTGTAGAGCAGTTAGACGAGCCCTATCCTCAACTATCAAGGTCCCCTCTGCCTGAAACCGCTTCCTTTTATGCGATCTACGCCGCGTAGCAGCCTCATTTGCCGCTCGAAGCTCTGCGATCTCCTTTGCGCCAACACTAGCTTATGCGCGATAATTGCTGCTCCCTTTGAGACCTTCTCAAAGGCCTCCACCATAGACGTTGGTGAGCTATCTACATGCTTCTGAATCCTTGCCTTCACAAGCGTTGATTGCGACCCTAGTTTAAGGGTATTGCTTGGGGTTTGCGACTGCCAGGGCTCGTTGTTGATAGGCAGTGGTGGTGATGGAGTACGCAGCCGGACGTTAAGGGCTGTTATAACCCGTTCTGGGTTAAAAGGGACTAATCGAGCGCCTCGAAACCCTCCTTAGATATTACTAGAAGTAATTGCAGCATTATAGGCGCGTATAAAGCATAGTAGGAACTCAAGTTTCGTGATGTAAGTGATCCGGTTGCGCATGAGATCTTCGGCTTGGCGCCTATACGCCTTCTTCAAAGGAGCAAAACAACCCATATCAAGAGGCTGTAGGAGGTGCGATGAGTGCGGAGGCATACAGATAGTAACAATCTTGTTCTCCTTGCAGTATTGCTGGAATTTGAGTGAGCTATAGCTCTTATGGCCGTCAATTGCGAGCAGTTAGTAGCTGCCAACTACTCTCTTCTTTGTATGCTCATCAAAGTGCTTTAACTACTGCAGGCTAAGCTCATTTGTAGTTTAGCCGTTCTCAGAGACTGCAATAACCTAATTGTAGGGTAGGCTATCCTCCTTGTACTAGGCAGAGAGGTGGTAGTGGCCTTTGAAGATGACGAAGGGTGGAATAGGCCACCCTGTCGCGTTGATGCCCTAGATAACTGTTGTCCACTCTCTGTTGCCTTGCTGCACTAACTTTGGCCGTCCTCGTCTCTCTAAAGCTGTAACAACCGCTCTAGTTGATATCTGGCCTATTATGAAGCCTGCCTCATCAAAGTTGTACGTGTCTTCATCCTGGATGCCGTACTTGGCTTTGATATTGGCTACTAGGCTAAACTAGCCCCGGATAACCTTCGGATCCTCGCAGAGCGCTCTCTTATAATCGTACTTGCGATTAAACTTCATTGTGAACTTAGGGCGGCGCTTAACCTATATACTGGGCTAGTTTAAGCCAACCTGGCCTAGATTGCGCTCTGCGCGCAAGGAATTGGCCATATTAGCTACAGCTGCGAGCTGAGGGAGAAATCTGCACGTAATAAGCTCAAGTATATACTTAATAACTACGCTCTCCTCAGTCTTTGTCAGATTCAACGATTTAGGCTAGCAATCTACTTGTGAAGGTCGTCCAGCGCGTCGATAGCTTAGTGTTGTTCGAGAGACGTTATAGATAGCTGCAGCGCGTCGCAAGGAGAGTGTCGCATCTTCTTTAAGAGCTTGAATGGCAGTCTGTATCTGACGTTTATTAGAAGGTCCCATCTAGTGTTGTTGTTGAGGCATCGTGTACATAGGTAGAGTTGGTGGGGGCTTGGCAAAAGTGTCCCGCCAACCCGTGTGGCCCGCCAACCCGTTAGATACGTTATCCTTTGGGTCCATAATTGCCGTGTTCCCTGGATTTAGAAATCCATGTGGGAATCCCATCTCAAACCCATATGCCCCATCAATATCCTTGATCTCTTCTTCGGTAAGAGTTAATCCAAGAGCCTGGATATTACTTTCCAAGTGCAAAATCTTGCGGCCTCCGATAATGGGAAATACGTACGGCGACTTGTGCATTACGTATGCGAGAGCAACAGAAGTAATCGGTGGTACAGGATTCTTCTTCTCGGCAATGGCTTCAAGCACCTGGCTGACCTCTTCTTCGTTGCCCAATACCATTGCTTGTATTTTCCTCGTGTCCTGATGCTCTGGGTCTTCTCTCTCTGCCTTGGGTTTGAACTTTCCGCTACCGAGGGCACCCCAGGGCGCAAGAGCCATACCCTCATCTAGGCACATCGGAATGATTTCGCGCTCAAAAGAGCGATCAGCGGCTGACCAGCGACCTTGGTAGATTGAGAATTGGCGCAGTCCGTGTTGCCGAGCATAACAATTTGCCTTTACGACGATCCAGGCGGGGGTATCAGAGATGCCTAGATAGAGAACGCGGCGGGAGGTGATAAGATCGTTTAGTGCGTTCATGAGTTCGGGAATTGATGTTGTGGAGTCCCAGACATGGGTGTAGTACTGGAGCGTCGTTAGTTTGATGATGGTGTTTTTGAAGGGCCAGGGGTCTACTTACAACGTCGATGTAGTTTGTTCGCAGTGCTTTGAGAGATCGCTCAATGGAGGTGAACATGTTTTTTGCACTGTTACCACCGTAATTACTCTTGCATCGATTTCCTCCTTCTTTCTCTCGCTCGGTGATTTGCATGCCGGTGAACTTTGTGGCTACTACCATTTCATCCCGAACATCTCTTTCTTCCATCCACTCCCCAATCCATTCCTCGCTCTCGCCAAATTGGTAATTGACAGCTGTATCGATAAAATTACCGCCCTGCTCGTAGAAGTAGTCGAGCATAGCAAACACGGTTTCTTTTGTGCACTCGCCCAGTGTGGTTTTCCAGGCTTCCCCAAAGTTCGTTCCACCGAGGCAAAGCGGAGAAACGCGAACAGCTGCTGTAGGGCTCAAGATGCGATGGTAACCTAGAAGAGAGGCTGGTGTTGCGGGTTTAATGAAAGACATCTTGGTGGCTACCAAATGAAGATGGGATGAGTTTGCGAGTTTCTGGACTGAGAAAGGATTGGAAATGTGCTTGCAATACTGTACTGTATTATCAATTTTACTCTTATCCCATATAATCTTATATCCCTTATACCCTTCAACTCCTGGAACAATGACCGGGAAGTGTGTCGGATGGTGCGTTAACGCCGCCAGAACCCATATTTGCAGTATCCCGGTACTGTCCCTATGTATTGAAGCTGCCACTCAAAGGTGACATAATATACTCTTTATTGGATACTGGAATAGAATTCACCGCTAAAACAATCCAATCGTTGAAGCCCATGGAACTGGTGTCTGTTTTGGAACAAGTCCACATGCGCCATCCCGTTAATACCGTAATCTCCGGTCCTGAATTGGCCAGACGTCAAAGTTGCAACCCTCTTAACACGACATTGTGAGTCTTCAGCATCTCTGATCGCTCTTCCAGTAATCAATTCTAGAACATCGACATCGTCACATCGAGAAAATGTCGTGGTCCTAGCCTATCGCTAGCTTAAGGATCGCTGGCCGTCTTCCCCAGAATGCTGACATCATGGCTCCACCACATCGCAGCTGCGCATCGCACACTCGCCGCAGCCATCGGTGATGGTACCTGCATCTCAGGGTCAATGATTACATGTCATCTCCATAGATGCAGAAATTGCAAGGTGCACGTTCCATAGTAAAGTAGCACAAAAGTCCATAGCTAGGTAGCCGACCAAGTTTAAACGTCACCGGCCTGCATGAACACGGCTGCGTCAAAAGTAAAAAACGGAATATTGGCATTACATCAGTCCTTCATCACACTACAAAAAGCTGCGCCATTCTGCATTTTTTAAAACATACCCTCTACAAGAACCGATCAAGGAGATTTAGAAGAGAAGCCATAGTAACTCATCATCACACACCAATTGTCACAATGGCGTCCAGACTCCTCCGCATCAACCGCAGTGTCTTCCTTGCTGCCAGACAAGCAAGCACTCCCATCACCGCTTCCTCAAGACCGACACCCTTCAAGCAGTCCCTTTTCAACGTCAATGACCTCAGCAACCACAGCACACGTCCCTTCTCCATATCTGCTGTCGCTATGAATATTCAAGTCGACCCAGCCTTCATCTCGCAAATCACCGCCGCAGAGAAACTCATCACCGGCACCGACGAGCCCGTAAAAGGCGGCCCAACCGCAAAAGCCCAGCAGCACGTTGGCCAGATCCTTACTTCGCAAGTCGTCCACGACATCACCGAGGGCGAGAAACTAATCACGGGTACCGATGAGCCTTTCAAGGGTGGCCCTACAGCCGTCGCTCAATCGGCGTTGACAAACTCTGGAAGCACCAACAACAACAACAACGCAACGAGAAATGCATCATCAGGCAACAACACAAACTCAAACTCCAACAACCACTCGGGTACATTCGACTCGGAGACGCTGAGCAAGATCAACGAGGCAGAGAAGAAGCTTACGGGTGAGGCGCAGCCAGTAAGGGGTGGACCGACGGCGCAGGCGCAGTCACATGCCAAGGAGCCCATTACCAGCCAGGCGCTACATGATATTACAGAGGGCGAGAAGATGGTCACTGGCGGCGAGCGAGTCAAGGGTGGACCGACATCTACTGCGCAATCTGAGCTTGGCAAGAGCAGGTCATAAGGGACGAACTCCATCATGACTGTATATTATTGTATAGTATTGAAAAATGAATAAACGAATGAGATGACTATATTCATGTTTTATCGTACATATTCTGAACAACAATCTTACACAGTGACGTACTAACCAAGCGAAGCACCCTATCCTATGCCCATGTACATATAGTCATGAACGCCTTACGTGGATAAAGTAGATTATCTCCTACCTAGAAATATCATTATCCAACGTTCATTTCTGTATCAAGTAAACAACAAAGAACATCATCAATTCATACCCGGTATATCCAACACGCTGCAAAACGCCGCGCACTCAAACCCAGCCATCTCTCTCCCTATCATCTTTGACGCCATTTCCCCCTTTCAACCACCCCACCCCAACATTCGCCACACCCCTCCACCTCTCTACACTTCTCTTTTTGCTAAACCTATACTGTCGATCACTAGTCCGTTCTAATCTCTCCTTCAGCAGCCCATCACCCGACGCACCCAACCCCCCCAGCTCAATATCCTCACGGACTTCGGCTTCTCGGAAGCCAAAAGCTGAGCCAGCGCCACGTCTCAAACTCTCCGAGTTACCTCTATGAATTGTTGGGGGTCTAGAGCCCATGGTTTCGTTTGACCTTACCCGTCGTAGGCGGTCTTGCAAGTCGGCAGCTTCTCCGTCGCCAAGAATCCTGCCTTTGCGGTTCGAGGGCGGTGTGCGGTAATCAAAGTTTGAGTTTGCGCGGCGGAGAGCATACTTGCGGGGACTTTGTTCCAACGCTTGACCCAGCTCTTGAATGACCTCGTCCCTGGCGCGCATGCGCTCCAACGATTGCATCCGCGGCGCTGCAAAGGCACGGCCTTGAACGGACTGTGAGGGGCGGCGACCAAGGCGTAATGGGGTCTGGCGTGCTGTACGCTTCTCTTCAATAGCCATGGCGACTTGGGCGACGGAGTTGGGGACTACATCAAGAGAGTTCTACAGGCTGATGATTAGTGAGGTTGGAGCTGGAGAAGGTTTGATTAAGACTTACCATATGAATGAGCACGATGGGGAGCTGAACTGCGACAAGCTTCCTGGAATCTGTCAGCTACGTAGGCGATGTATAGACAAATACTGACGTGTGTGCGCTACCGACCGTTACATTGAGGAAGTAACGGACTTCAAAATATTTCCCTAATCTATCAGCATCACGATGGCAGCGTACAGACTCGTGACCTACCGCACTTTACTGTAGCATGCCCACGAGGTACTTCGAGATCACAGGTACGTATATGGGTTTGAGATGACGATACACCATGCCAGCCGGCGGAGCCGTGCTTGACCGTTGCTTTGCTTAGTATAGACCGCTCGTTGCTGTCAAAGATACGAGCCTGACCCGCAGACTTCTCCATTGTGGATGCAGCAGCCTAACAAGCGTACCCATTAGTATCGTCGTGTAATGAAATATCGAGCCTGCCCAACAAACGTGTTTGTAGCAAAGTATATCCCTCTCCAACTGGAGCTCGATCTTCTTCACCGTCTTGCGACTGTTGTTGGCGATGTGGACGTCAACGTAAAGACTGGTGCCGCTGACCCAGACTTGTCGATGTAGACCAGCAGTGACTCGGATGACTTCCACTGTAGTATCGCGGGGCTTGATCCATTCGTCTGAGGCAGTCAACGGACTCGGTAGTGACATGAGCGCCTTTTCAGCTGCCGTGCTGTTAGCTTTGCTACTGTAGGTTGACAACCTGCAGAGCCCATACGATCATACACGGAGAGTACTGAAACATCTTCGGATGTCCTAACAATGTACTGCTTTCCCTGGTCACGGATAAGGAGAGAAACGCAAAGTATGTATCTGATCCTGGCGTTTCTTGAATGAAAGGGCGGGGGTCCGACATTGAGTGGTAAGCTAAGGTTGAATGCAAGATTCGTCATAGAGGGCATTAGATGCCAGAATAGATCGTCTGAGCCTACTGGCTCCTGTGTATCTACCATATTCTGAGGCGGCGGGTTTTGCTCGTCGAGAAGCTCTGTAGCCAAGTTCAGGAACACAGCTCGTCTGTTGCCGCTGACTTCCTCGGTTCCGAGAAGGTCGACAGATATCCGAGCGATGTCCAGAGTCCTTCTATGACGTATCCGCTCTGCATCGTCGACGTTGATCTGCACAGTCCCTTCAATGGAGCCTCCACCCACGAATATGCCAGCAGATAAGTCTAGTCCGAGATCGATGCGAGGATGCCGATGCGACGGGAATTCTAGTAGTTCTTTCGATATTGGATCGCGAACAAACGTTCTGGAGGGTACGCGTCGGTTGGTGTCGTTGGATATAGGATCGAAGCGTGCGGCGACATGGCGCAACGGAGACTGTGATTGTCCATGCCCAGGGATAGCATTTGCACTGTTCTTAGGGGTTGGAGGTTGCATTGTAGGTATCGCGTCAAGCGTCGCCGTTGCCGTCGGCTGTGTTATTTGTATGGGCGGTATCTGCGGTTGCTGTCGGGGCCGGGATGTGCTGTATGCACGAGGTCGTGAGGATGATCGCGGTGGCACATTGCTTGGTGGGACGCTATATATACTGGATATGCTGTCGTTGTCTCCAGGGCTTTTAGGCGACGGTGTTGGAGAAGATGGACCACGGTAGAGGGATCGAATGCCGTTACTCTCGACGCTGTTCTTCCTGTCTGGCTCAGCGTTCTCACCGTGTCGAGTGTCGTTGCTCGGACGTCGTCTCGATGTAACAGATGGTTTTAGTGTCATGTCTGTACGAGAGTTACTTTGGAGGATGTTGTTGGCCATAATATTGCGTGGTAAGGTATCAGCAAAGCTTGATTCGGTGACTTCACGAATATCTGATAAAGGCCGGGTCTTCGCCCAGAGAGAGGCAATTGAGTGACCTCTGGGTTCGCCGAGTTGACTACCAGTGATTCCGTCACGGCCTACAATCTGGCAATCAGACTCGGGTGAAGCGAAGAGAGAAGACAGACTGGTGCGATCCGGAGAGGGATCGAGGTCAGATGGTAGGTGATGTTTGCCAGGCGGCGGCTGCGAATGTCCTGACCCTTTCAGCAGCCGTCCCGCGATTTCGGAAAAAGTCATTGCTGCCTACCGTCAGCGGGATGTCTTGGTGGAGGCAAGACACTGCAAAGCACCCTCGTGAAGGATGTACTGCGCGCAAAGCTGGCGACTAGCGACTAGAAGCTGACCGAGTGATTGATGCGGGATCTGATACTGCTGAATTCAGGGGGAAAAGTCATATGAGCCTATTTCGATGCTTGAATATGCTGGTAGGCGAGTGAGGACTGTGGCTGGGGGTTGCATTGTCAAGATGGGTGCATATGGGAGCTGGACACGAATGCGGTGGATGCCATTGCGGCTGGAGGGTAAGCGGCTGGGGAAGGTTGCTCTTTCCACGCACTCGAGCACACGGCAACAAATGGGCAAGACAAGATTGAAGGGGGATTCCTTTCTTCGCACATGAGATGACAGCCATGCCTTTACGGGCTCTGTCATCTCTAGGAGACAGGATGGTTTCACGAGCTAGAGGAGAGTTGTTCATATTGACAGAAAAGAGATTTCCGAGAATGATTAGGTAGTCATGCACGCGTCAGATTCATCAACTGGCAGCATTTGCACGACTTTGGCCAGGTGCATGGACGCACTGATTACAGCCGCGTGTTGAAGTCAGAGTCAGATTCTCAGGAGATGGCGACACGAAGACATGTGTAGATACAACACACGCGGGTTCATGTCGGTGGTCTTGTCCGTCGGAGTGCTCAGTGACAATGCTAGTGGGAGTGCATGTGGATCAAGCAAGCATTGGGCGTGCGAGTCTCGACCGTGTTCAGGTCACCTGAGGGTTCAGCCGAGAAAAAGCGCGACGACGCCACGGCTGCTTCAGGCTAATAGGGCTCAGGTGGTGCATACAGTACATAGACATGGTCGATGTCGGGAAGGCGTGCATGTAAACAGTCGCAGCGCAAGGCAGTCGCCATGGACAGCTCTTTCCCGTAAGCAGCTGGACTCGTATCGACGGGAAGTTCCGCAAGGATCAAGCGCGTGACGGAGAACTCGGTGGCCTCTTGCGGGCGGCCGCGTTGCCTTCGTCCTGGCTACGGAGGTAACAGGCCAAGGTCAGCACCAATGCCAGCAGCGAGCAGCGTTGGGTGCATGTCGAGGTGCGCGTGTGATGACCTCATCCGGCCGAGGTGTGTGCGTGTTGGTAGGGCAGGGGCAGTCTACCAGCTCCGAGGTCGGTGTCGGCTGATGCAGGTGGCTAGGGCATTGGTCAATGGGCAGTGACTAGCAACGGCTGTGCTAGCCCGCTGGCGTATGTGTACGCGACGGGCTCCTCTAAAGTATGTAATTGCAATGGCTGCGATGAAGACGTCGAGGGAATTGCGACAGCGTCGCATATAAACATAGTCTCGTGGGGACTCGCCGTCGCTCACGGCACGGCGTCGCGTGCTTGGCAGTCAGCTCCCATGGAGAAGCCGGAGAAGCTGAGGAAAAACTTCTAGTGGCGCGGGAGCTAGACGCCCGCTTTGCTACATGCAGTATCTTTATGCAGCTCGGCAACAGGAGGCCTGTCCGCCCTCCTCCACCAGGCCTGCTCCAAACCAAAGCCTGGCTGCCAGAGCCGTGATGCAGCGTGAGCACCCCGCGAGAAAATTCTGAGCTTTCGGCCAACCGCACGTCCGCCCGCTTGGCCGTCATTGCGCGTTGGAGGTGCCCAGCTGCCAGCAGCGGGAGCACGCGTGCCATTTGCTGCCCGCCACAGAGGAATCTTCTGCTGGCCGTCCGACTGCGCCTTAACCACTCTGGAGGAGGAGCCATCTGGGCAAAAGAGAGAGTGGTCCGCCCGCCTTTTACAGTCCAGCACCTCCGCCCCTCCGTTCGAGCCCATCTTTGTTTCCATTACCCAAGAGCTTACCTCACAACTACTGCGCGACCACACACAGGCCCGATCGCTCTCTTCTTATCAGACATTATCAAAACCCCATACACACGGCTTCGCTATTCGACCCGGCGCTGCGGCTGCCCATCACAAGCGCGCCTAAGCGACCTGACCCTCTTGCCATCCATATCTACCTGCCTTCGTCGCCTCGAGCAAGACTCTTGGCGCCTCTGTGCCCCTCTATCAGCACCGAGGGGTACGGTGGCCGCACATGGGAGATAGTCTCGTAACAGATATGACGGCTCCCGTGGGCAAGGCGGAGGCTGAGCGCGATGGTTCCACGTCTTCTATCGGATCGTCGCCTGAACCCGGCCTGGCTGAGACATATACCCAGGAGGAGCCCCAGCAGCAGAAGCGCAAAGGCGGCCGTAAACCAGTGAGCCTTCCCGTTCACCTCTGCTTTTGATTATGCCTGCCATGACTGCTCCGATTCATGAGCCCATCACCGTGTCCAAGCTAGCACTAACCAAGCCTCGTAAGATATATGCCACTTCAGAAGAGCGCAAGCAGCGCAACAGGCAGGCGCAAGCCGCCTTCCGTGAGCGCCGTACTGAGTACATCAAGCAATTGGAGAGCACCATTAAGCACCATGAGGATACGCTGCAGAACCTGCAAAACAGTCACCGCACCGCCGCCGACGAATGCCTTATGCTCCGGTATAAGAATTCTCTACTGGAGAGGATTCTACTAGAGAAAGGTAGCCCCGATTTTCTAAACACCCCAGCCTTGCATGTACATGCGCTAACCACTGTTCCTTCCTCAGGCATCGACGTCCAGGCTGAGTTGCGTGCAAAGACTGGTAGTCCAAACTTGGGCCCAACCAGAGCCCCAGTGTCTGCGCATACTTCACCCAACCAGGCTCCTCTGCAGCAACGTGCCATGATGAATAGACAGCAACAGCGGCGCTCGCTACAAGGCCCGCCCAAGCTTGACGCCTCGAATGGACTGGCCATGATTCAACCGGATGGGCCTATCCAGCGCTCACCATTGTCCCAGCCTACCCCAGGCTCCCATCTTTCCTCGCCTGCTCAATCAGCAACGCGCTCGCCCAACTTTATGCCTCATGGTCAATCAGTGTCACCCAACTTTGGGCCCATGCCTTCACAGCAACAGCAACAGCAACAGCAACAGCAGCCACTACGGCCGCAGCCCCCTAGGTCAAACTTCACGCCCATGATGGGCGCCCAGCGACCCTCTCTAGTGACCAACAACCAGCCTCCGTCGAATGGCTTGTCGACTCCATCCACTGTCGGCACCAATGCAAATAACATGACACAGAGCAGTGGTCCTTCCTCTTTCTATCAGGCACAATTCTCGGACCACATGTCACAACTTGGCAAGCTGACCCGTTTCCTTTTCCCCTATTTACGTATAGGACTTTGAAATCCTAGGCTGATTTCGTTGTACAGAGCAGGAGTACGAGGAGCAAGCCGACTCCTACGATCACGATGACCCAAGCGACCATTCTGCCGGCCCCGGACCATTCCCCCAGCAAAACTTTCCGCCCTCGAACAACATGCCCCCGCCTATGCCGCCATCGCAGAACCCTCCCTTTGCCAGTCCAACCTCATTCGCACCTAGCGACGGCGGCCAAATTTTCAACGCTATGAACAACAACCACCTTTTCGACCCGTACGATCCGATGCTCGATGCCGACCCGTTTGGACTGTCCGCCAGCATGCATTTTCCGACCATGTATGAGAGCAGATGATGCTATGAAGATGATGGAACAGTAAGAGAAGGTTAGAGCGGACATGTTTAAAGGACGATACGAATCTCGCCGACTAATACCCTTCTTAATGACGCTGTTTAGCGGGCGCAATAACTGCTTTTACCATATGACCATGTGTTACGACCACACAATGGAGTTGGATATGAGACCATGAGTCTCGGATTGGGGAAAATTCAAAAAGTTCATTTTCGGTCTGGACGGTTTCTGCGCCAGTGTATTTGTGAAGGAAATTGATTGAGCACCTTCTTGCGAAGCGGCGGATTTGTATCAAACATGCACTCTTCTTCGACAGCGCAGCCTGTCTTTTCATATTGCAGACGGGACGTTGCTTGTACATATTGTAATATGAAATCGCCCGCAACGATCAGCCTATTTGCGCCAGTCATGTTAGGGAAGACGCCAACAGTCATCTTGAAACCGAGCGGCGCTATGTCTATACTAGCAGCAGTAAAGAGGGCAGGGAAACTTGTAGCGACGGATAAACCTCGGTTGAGGTGCCGTCGAGCATGTCGCTTGTTTCACTTGACGAGAAGACGGCTACTTTGGCGTAGCAGACCAATACCTCTGTATTAATGTGCTTTGGATGCATTGCCATCTGTGTTGTACGCAAAACAATCAAAGCAAGCGCCGTATGCGGCAGTAATTGCAGCGTCATTGCTTCATTGTCCTCTGCAGTCTGCAAGTCCGTGCCCCACTTTACTCGCTTACGGAAGCAACCCACGGCGATTTTCGAACCACCAAAACCTCCTGCCCGCAACATCGTGTCTATAACCCCGTTCGCGAGCCACCTCTGAGAGCCACGTCCCTAGTTTTTGTAGGGAAGCTCTCGCATTCTTCTTTCAACCCGGCAGATTGTGCATCTAGAAGGGCAAAGCGCGAAAGGCGCTCCAATTCGTCAAGATGTCGCAAATTGCTTCCAAGGTAAGCTCCAACTCACCCCGCCATCGAGTCCAACTTTGCGCTCCTTCTTGCCGCCTTGCGATGCGGCTGTGATCCTCTACCAGTTCAATGGCTAATTTTGAACGCAGAACATTTACGAGCTACTGGGTACGTCGCAGACTCACAGCACAGTCAAAAACATGTACTCATGACCCCGCAGGCAATGACCCAGAGCTCGACCCCAACAGGCCGGCCGACCCACCGACAAGGGCAATTGAGAAGCCCGTTATGAGGCATGGCAAGCGCGATGGAACCGACGCCCCCAAGCCCATTCCCGAGAGGAACAGCCACCAGACCAGGGCCAAGCAGACCGACAGCGCCAACGAGAACGGTACGTTGGACCCAAGAAGTATCCAAGACACAACCAAAGTGCTTGGGAGAGACACACTGGACACTAGCTAATTCGACACAGCATTCCGGGATCGCGGTGTAGGGTCTGACAAGAACCGCGGCAGGGGATCCGGCGGTGAGTGAAACCTCATTGGTCCATGCAAACACAGACTAACATCCATCAGAGCCCACTGGTACTGGAGCCCGTGGTGGCCAGCGTGGAGGCCGTGGTCGTGGTGGACGCGGTGGTGGTCGTGGTGGCCGTCACGAGGGTGACCGCCACAGCAGAACCGGCATCGCGTAAGAGACTACACATGTCTGTTTGACATATCTAACATTTATATAGTGAGCACGAAAAGCAGGCAGCTCATGGCTGGGGTGGAAACGACGGTGACGCCGAGCTGGCTGACGAGCAGGCTGGCGAGGCCATCGCTCACGCTGAAGAGAAGGAGGCCGTCAAAGAGGATGCTGAGGCCGAGCCTGAGGCCGAGCCTGAAGACAAGAGCAAGTCCTACACCGCCTACCTCGCCGAGCTCGCTGAGAAGAAGCTTTCCCTTGCCCCTCAGAACGTCCGCAAGCCCAACGAGGGCAGCAGCAAGAAGTTCCCCGAGGGCACCGCGCTCGCACGTGAGGAGCAAGAAGACTTCATGGCTGGCTCACAAGGCAAGGCCAAGCGCGAACGCGCCCGCAAGGAGAAGGTTCACGTCGAACTTGACGGTGACAAGATGCTTGCCCCCCCTCCCCGTGAGGGTGGTGCCCGAGGAGGACGCGGCCGTGGCCGTGGTGAATTCCGTGGCGGCGAGGGTCGTGGTCGTGGTGGAGGCGAGTTCCGCGGTGAGGGACGCGGTCGCGGTGAAGGCCGTGGTGAGTTCCGTGGACGTGGCCGTGGCGGTGAGGGTCGTGGACGTGGCGAGGGCCGTGGCCGTGGAGGCCGTGGTGGAGCCCAGTCCGGTCCCAACATCACTGACTCCAGCGCCTTCCCCAGCCTGGGCGCATAGATTGCGCCAACACTCATCGCGACCTAAATTCAGGACGTATCTGGATCCGACAGTTAGCTGTGGATAAAACGAACGAATGAACAATAAGCTATCTCATGAATGGACGAACGAGCGGAGAGCTAAAGCACAATATCAAGAATCTCTGAGAGAGATGGCAACGAGCGAAAATACTTACATCTACCGGTATTCAAAATGTAGTCAACTTGAGCTCGACCTTATTCTGTGTTTTGATTCCCCAGGTGGTCTGCCCCGTTTATGGTGCTTATGTTTCCCCTCATCTATAACAATCAAAAATCGTACCACTTGATGCTGCATGGTTAGTGATGTAGTCTTTTTCTACCTTGATGTCCATGTCATAGAACCAGCCTTTGGACTGTACTCTGAGCTTGTCTATCAGCTTGGTGGAGGTATTAGTAAAATAAGAGATGGGATATTTAGTCACTGTAGCTGTGAGCAAAGCCTGATTTCGAATCGCCTCGATAGATTTCCATAGCTTAGAAAGACAAGAGAGATTTTGAATCTACAGCACGTATGCGAGCGCCATACGGTATGCTAATTGTTCGAAAATAGTTGTAAAGAACCTCGCTAAGATGCTTCCACTTGAACTTCGTCTTGTGTATTAGGCAACGCTGTCGCCAGCATAATTTTAATAGGTCTAGTTGCAGTATGTTTTCCTCTTTTGCTCATGTTGGCTAGACATTAGAGTGTCCACTTTCCTTGATTCATAAGAGGAGTTTGGGATTTAGGATAGATTCCTTGTGACGGAGGTGCGGGATTTAGGGTTGTTGTAGGAAGACTGGGGTTAGGAGCTTTCATTCTAAGGGGAACATGGGTGATCTTCAGTATCGATTGACAGAGTGTATTAGACCTGTTGTCAAATCTTACTATACATGCAGGGACGCTTTAAACGCTACACATCCATATATCGAAAAGAAAGAAGAGGCAAGGTATGCCTTGTCATGGCTAGCAGTGTTGTATGTTGGAAAGTGTTCCCCTTGGTCCAGATTTGTAAATCATGGACAGAAAGAAATTAAGCAGGAAAAGGATGAACGCCCAATATATGCATCCGTTACGGTATTCCTCAGGACCCAGTCATCAATCATGGTGGTTACTGGCTCGTCTCGTTTTGCTCTTACTCCTTCCCCCCTTCTTCTTCATTCTTCTTAGCTTCCTGGGCAGCTATAATTTCATCTTTGCACGTGGCACAGACGAGAAGCCTGCAGAAGATGCAATCGTATGCGAGGCTGAACTTTGGTGTCGGTGTGATAAATACTGCCGAAGAGTGCTTCTCGGAAGATGCAGGCTTCTTCGATGCGACAGAGTTGTCTGTAAATGCCTGGCGGTGTCGCTTCATCTCCGTTGTCACAATCGTGTTGGCGTATGTCTCTACCACACGATCCGAGTAGCGCACATCCTCCATGGGCGAAGTATCCGGTACGCTCAGAGACAGTGGTGATGCAACGGCGGCGGTAAGATGCGGGGCTGTTCCAATCGTAGCATCATTTCGAAACAGGCCGCGAGGGGCTATATATCTCGGACGTCCCCTTGGCCTACCCGTTGCCCGCAGTGGTCCTCTTCGGATACCTCGTGCCGTTCCTCCTGCGTCTGCTGGGACTTTCTTGGCCTTAGACTTGACAGGCTTCTCGATTTCTGGATGTATTGCGCCCCAACATTTTACACACTCCATGCCAGTGGTTACTGGATCGCCAGCTAGCGCTTTTTTTAGGCTGATCGAACATGTGTGGAACTCGTGATAACAAGACCATGAGCGGTTCTGATAAATTTCCCCTGGTTCTTCGCCGAAATACAAGTCCTGTTGTTCCCAGTATCGTTGTCCTCCGCCATCCAGATTCAATAGTTGCGCAACAGCTTGAGGAGAAGCCAGCTCAGCTGATACGTTTGAGTTCTGTACTTGTGTTGGCACGGACCCGCTTTCATCCTGAATCTGTTGAGTCTGGGGTATCGCAGCCGCCTGTGACCCATCCTCACGTGCGTCCGGGTCCTCGACTTCATCGCTGGTATAGTCATCGTAATCTTCCTCGTCATTGATGCACCTTCCGCCACATTGATCGTATTCTTCCATACAAGCATAGCAGAAGTGGGCTCCGCAGCGACACTCCATGTGGTTGCATCCATACATGCGCTTAAGACCATGTCCACACTTTGGGCACTTCTTGTAACCCCAGCTCTTGAGTAGTTCTGTTGTTTCTGCATCAACCCCGAATTCCGAAACAGTGCACATACTGTTGGGGTGAGTGACTTGTCGACAGTCCAGGCAGATGCTTGCTTTGCATTCGGGACACGCAAAGGCCTTTGAAATTGGTGTTCCTACCCCAGAGTCTGGCCGCTTCCCACCTGTAGTTGCTGGGCCCGGTAAGAGTCGGTTTGGAATGTAAGTGGAACATGTCGGTATTGGACAGTAGAGGGGGTTTGGTGTCTGCCATTCGTCGTACTTTATCCTGAATTCGTCGAGCTTATCTTTACTCAGAAGAGGCTTTGCGTAGTGGATAGGTATTTGGTTACAGCATTTTGGTGGCATACGCGTTGTATCCTTGCACGCCTCGGTGAACATGTGCTTGATGCACGATGCGCAGTACACGTGCTCACACACTCTGCATGGCTTGATAGCCTCCTTCGCGTGTTTGGGGTCTTTTGCGTCTGGTAGCGTTGACAGGCAGATGACACACTGTACCGGTTCTTGGGCCGAAGCACTACTCGGCTTTCGCACTGGGTTAGGAAGGGGCGCGGGTGTGGGCGCAGGTTCACTGTCCACTTGCTGGATAGACATCAGTGTGTATGCCGCTAAACTGAAAAATCGCTCTCTTGCCTGCTCCATATCGGTGGAGGCTGTGGCGTCTGCGGACATCGGGGCAGGTGCGCTGTTGCGTCTTTGTGAGGTTGTCTGTGGGATGGTTGAGGTTGCGACGGTAATGTCGTCGTAGCATAGCCTTTCTGGTAATTGGGGTGTGAGCTCTTGGCATTTTCCGTGCGCGTTTGCGTTGTCAATATTGGGATTATGGGAAGTTACGCCTGGCGAGGCAGCGGCCTTCACTTGCGGCCGTACCGCTCGAGAGAGCCTGGAACCCATGATGATTGTGAGACAGTGTGTATGATTGAATGAGATATATTGGAAGATTCGACTTATATCTAACCCACAGCCTCAATGCATCGATACGGGATGTTTGACTCAGAGACTGTTGACTCAACGAAGAGCGGTTGGTTGCCTGCAGGTTGCCTGGCGGCGTTGCCAATCATTGGTCCAGATTAGGCAACATCGTGACACCCCACAAGCACCATGCACGCTTCAGCTGCAACGACATAGCTACGATTCGGACTGGTTTACTCTGCAATAGGGTATTGATTGAGCAAGACAGTCACGAGGCTGAGCACTAATGGAATTCAAGCTTCAGCCCTCAGCCACAGGAGCCGGCCCATGATAGCTATCACATGCTACCCAACGATATGGGGCACAAATAGCAAGGTTCGCCCTTCCAAGGGCTGTAATGCGATGCATGTATGATAGTAACAAAGGTGAAAGGGTACTTGGACGTTGATCCTCAAGACACTATAGGTCCGTGCATCGTGAAGTAACTATGCTGTTTCTGGTATGGTGGATAAGTAGGAGCGGAAGTGGTAATATGGGATTCATGAAAAGTGAAGAAGCAGGTAGTCAACATGTCGCACTGATCTGCCATATAGCCAGATCAAAATGCTCGCCACAAAGAGCACTTTGGCAAAGCAACAAGTGCTTGGTTTGTTTTGGACATTTTAGGTTGATTATATCATATGAGAATATCGGCTTGTACAAGCTTGAGGGTGTGCAAGGCGGCGCACATGGGACTGTCAATTAATTAATACAAGGCTGTCCCCAGAGTGACAACGGTCGCAAGCGTCCGATTATCACGTGGGTACTAACGAATCGGTAGGTAGTCGGGGGTGATTATGTACGCTCATCCGACGGCACTAGAGCGCCCGTGTACCCGGGACATGATTCGGACGCTAGACGGTACTTCTGCATCGTGATGACAAAACAAGGTGAGGGCGCCAACTACTGCTAGGACTAGTGAAGAGATACTGGGATGCTGAGTGCATGTCGGTGGGAGTACCGGCTCGATATTCCGGTCGGGGCGTTGGTTGTGGAGAAAGTTGTGATACGAATGGGTCATGACGGGTCATGGCAAGAGCCAGTTGGATCGGTGACGTGAGTGACTTTGCTGTGTACCACCTGCCGGGTGGAGCAATCGACGAGGCCAGGACCGATATCCTCGGTGCTTCCCAGATCATCCGGTGGAACTAAACCAATACGTACTCGGCCGGCTGCTAGTTCTCTGAAGATTTGCGCGAGTGGCAACGGTTTGGACGCAAACTTGAGCGCACAACGGATACAGTTCCCAATGTGTATTGCCGAAGAGTCGCCAAAATCTTATGCAGACGCGCGGAATCCGTCCGAGGAGCTATTCCAGGCCACGAACATGGTCGGTTGTGATACGTGTGAAGGGCGGACACGAAAGCGGCACAGTCGAAGGCGTTGGTATACGACATCGACCCCGCAATCTTGTGTTTACCTTGGCTTGGAGAAGCAAGTAGCGCGCCATAGGCAACTTGAATCGCCAGCCTGGTCGGGTCGTGGCGTTGCAGAAGTGGGAGCTCATGTGCATGTCAAGGCCTCCAGGTCGGTAGGTAGGTACATGTGCAAATGACGATGTACATTGACAGCCGATAGCGCGATCAACCCGGAACCTGGTCGTGCAGTGGTGCACCCTATCCAAAGGAAACAGAATGGAATCAATAACTGGACTTGCAGCATTCATCCCCGTCGACAGGCCTGACGTGGTGCATTTTGGAAGGAGGCTGGGTGTGCCGTCTTCAGCACATGCAGGCGGCCGCAGTCCCTGGGGGAAGAGGTCATGGGGTTTGAGGGGAAAATCGGTACCAAGTTATCATCAACAACAAGAGTCGGGGCAATTGTGGGGGGTCGTCGGGCTATGCTCCATGAGATGGTTGAGGAGCGGGACTAGGCAGTGGGGATTAGCAGCGTCCATGTCCTGCGTCCTGCGCGCCGTCCCCGCAAAAAAGCGACAGTCGCTTACGCCTGGGGATGTGACGGCGCATGGCGCTAGTGGTGCTGGGGAAGCTCTGCCCTTGTCAGTTGCTGCCGTGCAAAAGAATTAAAAGCTGCCAGCCTGCCCGTGAAAACGGCCCCATTGTGTCTGCTGCGAGCGCATTCAATCCTCCCTTACTTGCTCCCACAACAGTTCTACCGGAATTGTTATTGTTGTGGTCTAGCATCTCGCACCTTGCGTTCCTAAGCCAGCGCAACGTCATGTTGTGGCTTGCACAAGCATTGTTGGCGGGCCTCGCCCATGCCCAGGTATGTACTAGAAATCTGGTTGCAATACCACAACTCTATCTCCACGAGAGTGTTTGGGTCGCACAGTAAAGCTGAAAACATGGGGGATATCGCACATCTGCTCCTTGCCCTCTTCCCTTTCCTCCGCGCAGTACAATTGCAACTCCCAGCCCTGTTTACCGACTTTGGCTGACTTTAAACAAGTACTCGAACAACACACCATCGGGTCTAAACTTTGCTGAGAGTCCGCCATTCTACCCAAGCCCGTACGTATAATGTCCCTGTTGTGCCCTGCAGGACCCTGCCGCAAGAACATGGCGTCTATAAGCGTCTTGCCCTTGTGGGGAAGGAACACCACTCGACCAAACTTCATAAGCCACCAGGGACCCGCTAGGGACCTGTGCTGAACAACACGACTAACATTGGATTAGTTGGGTAGAAGACACAAATGGCGACTGGGCCGATGCCATCACAAAGGCAAAGGCTTTCGTCAGTCAGCTCACCCTCCTCGAGAAGGTCAACCTGACTACCGGAACCGGATGGCAGAGTGAATCATGCGTCGGAAACGTCGGCGCCATCCCACGCCTAGGCTTTGACTCCCTCTGCATGCAGGACAGCCCACTCGGTATCCGTTTCGCCGACTACGTCTCTGCTTTCCCAGCAGGTGGCACTGTCGCCGGATCATGGGACCGTGCCGAGTTTTACCAGCGTGGATACCAGATGGGTCAAGAGCACCGCGCAAAGGGTGTCGATGTTCAGCTTGGGCCCGTAGTCGGTCCGCTTGGCCGCAACCCCAAGGGTGGTGTATGTTCAGATTCATCCGAGACGTGTGCTTGTGCTAACGAATCATCAGCGTAACTGGGAAGGTTTCTCTCCAGACCCCGTCTTGTCTGGCATTGCTGTTGCCGACACCGTCCGCGGTATCCAGGATGCAGGTGTCATTGCCTGCACCAAGCACTTCATCATGAACGAGCAAGAGCACTTCCGCCAGCCTGGCAACTTTGAAGACTTTGGCTTTGTCGATGCTCTCAGTTCAAACTTGGACGACAAGACGCTCCACGAATTGTACCTCTGGCCCTTTGCCGATGCCATCCGCGCCGGTACTGGCTCCATCATGTGCTCCTACAACAAGGTCAACAACTCGCAGGTCTGCCAGAACTCGTACCTCCAGAACTACATTCTGAAGGGTGAGCTTGGCTTCCAGGGATTCATCATGTCGGATTGGGACGCTCAGCACTCCGGTGTCGCCTCCACCCTTGCGGGTTTGGACATGACCATGCCAGGAGATACTGACTTCAACTCTGGTCAGTCTTTCTGGGGGCCCAACCTCACCATCTCCGTCCTCAACGGCACCCTGCCCCAATGGCGTCTCGATGACGCGGCTGTCCGTATCATGGCCGCATACTACTACGTCGGCCTTGACGAATCTATCCCAGTCAACTTCGACAGCTGGCAGCGCGACACTTATGGATACGAGCACTACTTCGCCAAGACTGGCCAGAAGCTCGTCAACCAGCACGTTGATGTCCGCATGGACCATTTCCGTGCCATTCGCCGCAGTGCTGCCAAGTCCACTGTCCTTCTCAAGAACTCTGGCGTGCTTCCTCTGTCCGGCAACGAGAAGTGGACAGCTGTATTTGGAAACGATGCTGGCGAGAACCAGTATGGTCCCAATGGATGCGCTGATC